CTGCTAATAAAGAGAGGTTGCAGATGCCACAGCTTGTTCATTCATTCAACATTTTTTCAAGTATTTAGCATGTGTCAAACAGTGGGTTGAATTCGAAGAGTGGGAACATAAAAGTATCTGAAACGTAAGGACTCAATCTTTTCGAGTGTCACAATCCAGGTGAGTAAGTAAATTATAATGATAAGTCAATTTAACTTAGACAGTTTCGCTTCCACATCCTTCTGAAGGTTCTTACAGAGCACCGTTTCACAAACATAATGCTGATATCAAAGTCCACCTTGCAAAAATATTAATGCTTAGTGTCCCAAAGAAGGAAAAAACCGGGCCTCCCCGGTGGCACAGCGGTTGAGCGCTGGGTTGCGAAGCTGCCCGCAGCCTCTGCAGCACCAGTTCGATCCCCAGCCTCAGGGTGAGGGTCCCACATGGCACGCAGACCTCTCCTGCTGCCCGCTGCTCCCCTCAGCAGTGTACTTCGGTCCTTCTGCCTCTTCTGCTCCCTGCTCTGGCTCTGGTGAATTCTCTCACCCTCCCACGCTTCTGACTGTACCCAGTGCTTGTATAAATAAATAAATAAATCTTTAAAAAAAAAAACATTTAAAAATTAAAAAAAAAAAAAAGAAGGAAAAAACCTATTTAAGTAATAGTATATCTTTTCTGAGAATGAATAAAAGAACATGCTAAAAAATTCAGAGTCAAATCTTAAGACTTGAGAGAGTGTTGTGCTTTAAAGAGGAATTATGATTCTGTTGCTTCAACCAGTTTCTAAGCATAGCTGTTGTTTTTTTTAACTGGGAAGCAGAACAGGCAGATTTAATGAAATACACTGCTAAGGGGACCAGCGGGTGAGACAGGAAAGGTCTGCTGTGCCATAAGAGGGTTTGCTCCCTGGCCAGGGATCAGAGTCAGACTAAAGTGGTGATAGGGCTCAGACTTAACCCCATGCCACCAAAGTGGCCTCCACCCCATATTAGAATTTGATGCTCACAGCTTAAAAAGAATCACGGTATACATTCTCGTAAACACATTATAACTTTTTAAATATTCTATTTTGGGGCCTCCCTGGAGGTGCAGCGGGTTAAGGGTAGCGCTGTGGAGCTGTCCACAGCCTCTGCAGTGCAGGTTCGATCCTGGCCAGCCAGCGAGAATCCCACATGGTGCAGCAGACCTCTCCTGTCGTGCCCGCTGCTCCCCTCAGCAGTATATTTCGGTCGTCTGCCTGTTCTGTTCCCCAGTCTCTGGCGAATCCTCTCACCCTCCCGTGCCTCTGGCCTGTACCTCAGCTCTTGTATAAAAATAAATCTTAAAAAAAAAAAAATTCTATTTTGGACTATTTTATAACCAACACTTGAGAAAGCTGAACTGATCATTCTATTGAGAACATGCCACCTTGCCAAACAATTAAGAGTTAATACATGCTGTCTATGGATCAGCATTCAAGATTGCTTGTGATTTCAGCATATTGTGTGAAAAAGATTTCCTAACCTCCTCAGACAATTCAATCAAAAACTGAAAAGAAACCGTCTTATTGGTAATACCCAAAGAACATTTCAGTAATGAAAAATAAATCCCATACTAAAGTTAGTACTTCAAAACCTACTACCGTATAAAGAGCTCATCCCAGCTTTCCCAGCATATTACCGACAGTTGTTCAATCTAACTTCTGTTTGATTAATTAATATTCACCAGAGACAGAGTGGGGAACAGAAAAGGCAGATTGACTGAAACACACTGCTGAGGGGAGCAGTGGGAGAGACAGGAGAGGTCTGCTGCGCCATGTGGGTTGCTCCCTGGCCGGCCGGGGATCGAACTTGTGCTGCAGAGGCTGCAGATTGCTTCATAGTGCAGTGCTTAACCCCTTGCGCCATCAGGGAGTCTCTCATACATAGTCTTACCCCCAACACACAAGCTCTATTCCTGAAAGGCATGTATCATCAGCTATATTGTGCCTTTCACCATCACCAACATAATCTACCACTAGGATAAATTCAGAGATACCAATAAATGTTCAGCTTCACAACCACAATGAAGAGCTTGAGGTCTTCTAGCCACTGATACATGCTTCTCGGAGTAGTGTAAAGGTAGTGTCCTCTAACCTGGATATTCCAGACAACTGAGACAACTGAGAATTGACACTGACATTCACCAGAGAAACAGACATGTTCCCAAAGTAGACATCTATCTACCAAGAGTTAATGGATTGAGAAGATAATGTGTAGAGTAGATCACTTTGTCCAAAGAACTTCTGATCCCTGATCACACAACTGACTTATGTGTAGCCTTATATTCTGTGTCTTAAAATGCCAGAGATCTGAATCTGTGGGTCATGTCATTTGTGCTGACCCTTGTTCAGGGTATTTTTGATTTGGGATATACTGTAATTTTTTTTTATGTTTTTGTTCATTGGAACTTTGTGGTTATTTTTGAGACTTATGTTGGAGAAACCTTCCTCCAATGAGGATTTGTGTTCACATCTACTAGGCCTCTGGGGCACTTCCAACCTAGTTAAATGCTAATTTCACAGGTTGTCTTTGTATACACACAGAGTATGAAGTCACAAACCAGCATAAGGGCTGATCCTTAGTCACATTTTGAGGAGACTGTCTTCCCTCCAACCAGAAGAAAGGCAAGGCAGACAAGTCTCTCTGCTGTCCGCTTTTAAGGTAAATCTTTTTTTTCTAACTCACTTTCTCTGAGGGTAAAATGCTAATTTTAGGGAGACTCCCAATCAAAATCAGTTTTGAGTCTAAAGCTTTGTTCCCGGCCCATGTCACCTTCTTAAAACTAGAATTCTAGGCAAGTAGAGTTTTGGGGCTAGCAGATGCTTCCCAAGGCAACTAATTCCCTCAGCATTTTTTACTTCCCTAAAGGCGGGCTTATTTTTTTCTGGCTTAAGGACTTCCTTTTGCAAGCTGTCATGTTTTGAAAGGTGTTACTGTTGAACATTCTTAGATGCACTATAGCAAAATAATTTCTAATGTTTAGTCTGTCATATTGTCAAAGATAGAAGTCTACAAATTCTCTCTTCCTGGACATCTCATAAATCCAAAGCTTTAGTAGTGACCTACTCCTCCACTACTGTTACCTAATATGCCTTCAAAAATTAAAGAGACCACCTCCCACTCAATTTACCTAAGGGGGGAAAAAAAAGAATTGAACATAGACTACTACTTCTTTCAAGCTTTCACACCTTCAAGTAACTCTTCTTGATTCTAAGTTCTAAATATCTCCTGAATTTGTTGTTTCCTTCATTCTGATTACTACTGCCTTCAGAATGCATTTCTTTTTGGATCACTGAAATAACCTCCCTGTTCCAGGCTTACCGCCCTTAAATCCCTATTTCACATAGCTCCCAGCATAACCTATTTAAAGTAAACATTAACCATGTCATTTGCATTACAAACAATCTATAATGACTTCTCATTGCCATCAAGATGGTTTTAGTTACTTATCCTGGCATATAAGGTCATCTATAATCATTCCCTCTAAATTGTAATCATACCAATACACAATCCTCTGGTCACCCTCACACCTCATCAGCTTCACACCTCACATCCTCACACCCTCACACCTTCCTGGGTCACCTTTTAGGTTCATATCTTTCAGAACCCAGGTTAAGACTCTTCTCTTTCAGGAAACATGCAAATTCTCACCACACCCTTAGTCACATCACTGCAGGCTTAATTATTATTGCACTTATCACACTATACTGCAATCATTTATCTGTTGTCCCAATTACATTATAGATTATTTAAGGGCAGAGAAATTCTTATCTTTTTATTCACAGTACTTGGCACAGTAACAATTATATAAGGCACTTCGTACCTATGAAATAAATGTATCTGACTTCTACAATACCGTATCAAATTGACTCCTACCTTCCACTGCAACTATTAAAGTTCAGATCCTTTCTGCTACCTCTATCCTTACATTTTGCCTCTAGTTTATCAATATTTCTAATGTCTCTAAAAACCAATTGTGTTCACATTCTGCTTAACCTTAGAAACTTCCTAATACTAACAGTCCTTGCCTCATTTTCCCTCCTGCTCTAGCAGCTCACATAGTGACAGTACAGCTCCATCCTAATTACCAAACCAGCTAGCTTCCACTCTTATGTCTCAATCACCATCTAGTGAAGTTTGTTAATATAGACATTCCAGGTCCAAATTACAATCAGATGGTATCGGTGATAGCTATGTAACTCCCGAACAATCTAGCTACTGGCCTCCCCATTTCAACAATATGGAAAACTACATTTCATCATTCCAATTTACAATAGCGGCATTCTGGGGCTAGGGAAGAGAGGAGGAACAACATGAAGGGTAAACATTGTCTACAGAGAATTTTAAAACAATAAAGTTGACTAAAGGTCAGCCTTTTTATCATCATGAAATAGCAATTCCAAATAGCAGTAATAAAATACTCCTTCCTGCAGGACGCACTGGGCCCACCATTCCTATTTAGGCATCACTCCCTTCTGAAATGTTTACCCCACCCCAAAACAGAATTAATCACCTCTTTCTAGAAGCATAATGCACAGCTGAATCTCCTACAAGGCCATAAGCACATCAAGGGAACCTCATCTTTAACCCCAAGTACAGACATCCATGAACACACTTACCTTTCTAGACAATTCCCCTTCAATAGTTTGCCTCAGTCACCCAGTAAAGTTCACGGTGAATGAAACGCTCCAAGTCCTGGTTACTCTATGTTGCTGGGAGAAACCATCAGTCTTACTCTTACTTCTTAGACCAGACTATGTATATACATAAAGATTACCATTTGAATTTCAATGGCTTGCATTTACATAACAACATAATCTGGGACAGAGTTCAAACTCCTACTACTTAATCTTAACACTCTCCTTACACCAAACTACTCATACTCAGTGTATTTCTGATTGTCACACGTAAGTCTTCTTGTATTACAGTATGTTAAGACTGATTTAACTATTAAGTCCCAGAAGGAAATAAAAACACTGAGTCCTCTTGTAGTGCCTGGATGCAACAATCATTTCTATTTAATAAAACTAGGGACAATTAATACATAAGAGTAGAATACCTTTTTATTATATAATATTTATTTTTAAAAAACTTTATTTTTATAGAATACATTTTCACATTTGAGATTCCCAGTGGGAAAATAACAATTTATTTCTTCTAGTTCTGTGGATGGATTATTTGAGAGCAAGTAAAATAAACACATGTAAAGATTAAGTCTCACTTAAGGATTAAGTCTGCAATATTTTGATACATCTTTAGGGGATCTCTTCCCTACTTAAAATAGCAGCATTTCCTAATTTTAAAGACCCCTAGGCCATGTAACCACCAGTAATTGGTATCAACTGAACAGAAGGGGAAGTTCTCAAAAATTAAACACTGCCTAGTTTTCTAAAAAGTCTTTACGTATGAATTAATAGTCTTTCCCTTTCTCCTTCATTCCCAGGACAAATACAGAAGCTTGACCAGGTATCAATGATAAATGGTAATAAAGCTGAATTCCCTTTAAGACTTTGATAAATTAAAAGTCAAAAACTCATATTAATGTTTATTTAATGTTTATATTGTGAGTCTTATGAGAAGATGAGAGATAACACCATTTAGATTAAATTCTAAAAATAACCAGGTGATTAGGAGAAGAAGTTTCTCTCACCAATGGACTGATCTGTCATTTCCTCCTCATTGTGAGTTGAAATGGTGTGACAGAGCAGAGGCAAAGAATACAATCAATTCTCAAGGTATTTAAGTCAAAAAGTTTAAAGCCTCCACAGCATGGCAACAGCTTTGCAGATGCCCACGTCATTATAGTTGAAATAACAAAGCCCAGCAAAAGTTAAAGCTGAGAGTGCCAAAACACCCGCCTTGGCAGCTTTCTGCGTAACAGCCCCTGGAACATAGTCAGTAACAACTTGTCCAAGGCCCCTAAAAAAAAAAGAAACAGTACAAATGAAAAATCGCAAGTGAAGTTCAAATGCAACTCATAGTAATAATAATAGAATAAAAACATCAAAAAATTCTAATAATAAAAACATCTCTCACTCTTCAAATTCAATTTTCCACTTATTTATATCAGAGATAATAACTAATTGCTAACTCTATCTATAAAATCTTGGGTTGTTTTTTCCAAACTAAAGTAAATGCGCCATAAAATTTTTCATCAATTCAAAAAGAATTTATTAAATAGATATCATGTGCCAGCACCTGTTATGAATGTTGGGAGAATAATATAAAAGACAGCATTGCATCCCTGCCTTTACAGAACATACATTCTAGTGAAGGAAAAAGAAAAAGCAAATACACAATATACAATGAAGAATTTTAGAAAGGATAACCTAAATAAAAACACCGCAAACTAAAGTAAGGCCGACACTGGCATCTTTAAGGGACATTATAAGGTTGGTATGGCTGGAGCACATGGAGCTTAGAAAGGAGGGACAGATCATGAAAGGCCTTGAAGGTCAAGAGGAGTATGAATTTATTTATTTATTTGTTTGATTGTTTTAAAAGATTTATTTATTTATATGAGCACTGGGTACAGTCAGAAGCACGGGGAAGGTGAGAGAATTCACCAGAGCCAAAGCAAGGAGCAGAACAGGCAGAAGGACCGAAGTACACAGCTGAGGGGAGCAGTGGGCGCGGCAGGAGAGGTCTGCGCGCTACGAGGGACCCTCGCCAGTAGCCGGGGATCGAACTGGCGCTGCAGAGGCTGCAGGCAGCTTCGCAGTCCAGCACTCAACCGCTGCGCCACCGAGGAGGCCCTAGAGGAGTATGAATTTAACTGAAATACAATGGGAAACCACTAACATGCTTTAAGTTGGGAGTAACGTAAGTAAGGTAACTTTCAAATATTTTATTGAGATATAATTCGTAAACCATAAAACTAACTTTTTTACAATTTAGTGGCTTTTGGTCTATCATAGAGTTGTGCAACCATCATCACTATTTAATTCCAGAATCATGCCCAAAAGAAATCCTATACCCAGAGCCCACTCCCAGCTATCATCTCTATGGCTTTGTCTATTTGGGGCATTTTATATAAATTAAATCATACAGTGTGTGGCCTTCTGTGTCAAGTATCTTTCATTTAGCATGTATTCTAGGCTCACCCACATGGTGGCGTATGTCAGCACTTCAATCCTTCAAATGGTCAAATAATTAAGTTAGAAAGTTTACCCGAGATGGTGCACAGGTGCACTGGTGAAGGAAACTATGGGGACTATACCTGAGGGGGTGGGGAGAAGCAAATATTGTTTAAAAATGAACAATGATGTAAAAAAATAAAAAAATTAATATATAAAAAAAGAAAGTTTTACAAACTACACTGGATTCAGTAAGTAAATACTGGAAGTGCATTCATTCAATTAAGTATTTACTTAGTGCTATGTGTCAGGTACCGCTCTAGGCATTCGAGACACAAATAAATGAAAACAGTCAAAAATTGATTATCATATTTTGTTTTTTTAAGAAAGAGCAAGACTGTGGACTATCATATCTAAGAGGCACATGTGGGTGATAAAACTATGACAAAATGCAAGGAAGAGATTACTATAAAAATCAGAATAACAGTTTGGGTGGGGCGGAGCTAAGAAGTTATTACTGAGATGGAACTCATGGAAGAGGTTTCTGTAGTAAGCAGCGAAGTTCTATTTCTTGACCTGAAGGGTATTACCCTGATAATAATTCATTACCCTATAGATTTGATTCATGCGATTTTTCTGTACGTGTGCTTTCATTTTAGCAGAGGGAGAGAATACACAAAATAGCAAATAAATGATAAAGTATGCTAGGAGGCAGCAAGTGCTACTGAGAAAAATAAAACAAAAGAGGAGTAAGAAATGCTGGGAAAGACAAAGGCAATTTTGAGTAAGTGGTTAGAGAAGGTTTCACTGAGACGGTGCCATTTAAGGACATGAGGAAACAAACCGAGTACAGAAGTCAGAAGTCGAAAAAGAGTTCAGGCAGAAAGAAGGTATGCATAAAAAAAAAGGCCTGAAGCCTGGAGTGTCCCTGACATATATGGAAATATTATGAAGTCAGTGTGAATGAGGGAGGGAATAGCTGGAGAAAAGGAAAGAAACAAGGGCTGCATCACATTGCCTAGCAGGCAGGAGACTGTTAGAATTCTGATTTTTAGTCTGAGTAAGACAGAGGAGACAGAGGGTTTTAAGGAGAATGTCTTAACCTGAATGAACATTTTAACAGGATTACTGGGGCAGGTGTGTTGGGAGTAGCCAAAAGGACACCAATTAGGAGGCTACTACTGGAACCAAGGGTGATGGTTAAGCTTGGGGCTTGAACAAGTAGAAATGGAAATGGTGTTAATTCAGATGGGCAAGAGTACAGTACAGGAAAAAGATTTGGAGGAGATCAGGAGCTCAGTTTTACAATGTGCTACATTTTAAATACCTATTAGATATGGAAGTGAAGATGCTTAACAATCAGGTAGATACACAAATCTGGACACATATTTTATATGTTTCAAATTTTCTATAGATAGGTCTTGAATATCTCAAACAACTTTTCTGTCATGTACAATAAAGAGACAAGCTCAAGGCAAAAAAAAAAAACTAATCAGAGAACGTAATACTGAACAGAGCACTATACTTGCCAATGACTATGGAGAGTGAGGGTTGCGGCCAAGGAGTAGTCGATCGCAGAGCAAGGACTCATGTAAGCAGCTGGAAGCAGACCCAGGAGCAAAACACTGACAACTCTCTCACTAGTCCAGTGGAGAGATGCAGCCTTGGAACCAGCTACAGAAAGGAAGAACCAGAGTCATAAGTATCCAAGAGGGAAACAGAAAATCTCTCACTTTCAATTTTTCCACAAAATAATTGCAAACTGAGAGAACGACTGACTGTATTCCTGTAAGACTTAATTCCAAGCATAAAGAGGTTACAGTAAAGAATGTAAATGGTAGAGATACTATCTCCCTCTTTTAAAGTATGTAAGCACAAGGTGTCTGAACACCCACATATGTTGATTAGAATATAAATCCAAACAAGTTGATTAGAATATAATTACAGACAAGCAAACTTTGCACTTCAGTGTAATGGACATTACGAATATAATTTGGTAACAGCTAAGAAATTCTTTTAAAACATTGCTCTTTTATTCTACCTTCTAATCTTTGGAAGTAATGTAATATTAAAAATCCTCCCCAAACAAAATTAAACCAGCCAACTTAGAGAGAAGTAAAGCTCTGATGTCAACTTTTAAGATCATAGCCCTCTTGTCCCAGGTCTTACAAACAGCTCAAAACAGATATGATCATGGAAACTTTTAAACAGCTGAACATAAAATGGTTTTTAAGTATTTCTTTGAGAAACTCTCTCTTTTTTTAATTAAAGACTGCTTTGGGACTCTAATACAAAGCTAGAGCTATTTCCTGGGAAAATGCACACAAATACACATATTAAAAAACAACTTTAAGGAGAGCACAATGGACTACAGTGGAGGATACAGGTGCTTTGGTGGTGGGTAAACTATGGTGACCACACCTAAATGGAGAAATCATATATTGTGAAAAAATAAACAAGGATGCTTAATAAACAAACAAACAACTTTAGGGGCTCTCTTTCAGTCCTATACATCCCAAGTTAAAACTACTCTCCTAAAAATAACTGAAGTAAGCAGAGGAATGCAGAAACCAAAAACTTTACAGACAAGTAATTCGAGAAAGCAGAAAACTATACATGCCTAACCTGTCATAATCAGACACAATTATATATATATATTTTTAAGATTTATTTATTTATTTATGCATGCATGCATGCAAGCACTGGGTACAGTCAGAAGCTCAGGAGGGTGAGAGAATTCACCAGAGCCAGAGCGAGGAGCAGAGCAGGCAGAAGGACCAAAGTACACTGCTGAGGGGAGCAGCGGGAGACAGGAGAGGTCTGCGCGCCATGCGGGACCCTCCTCCGGTGGCCGGGGAGCAGATGGGGATCAAACCGGCACTGCAGAGGCTGCGGGCAGCTTCGCAACCCAGCGCTCAACCGCTGCGCCACCGGGGAGGCCCCACAATTATATTTAAAAGGTGACTTGAAAATCAAGAGAAGTTTTTATCTCTGTAAAATTTTATTACATAATATTTATTTCAAAAAAAACTTTATTTTGGGCCTCCCCAGTGGCGCAGCAGGTAGAGCGCAGCACTGTGAGGCTGTCTGCAGCCTCGACAGCGCGGGTTCAATTCCCAGCCAGCCAGGGAGATACCCACATGGCACGGCAGACCTCTCCTGCCTCGCCAGCTGCTCCCCTCAGCAGTGCCTTTGGTCTGTCTGCCTGTTCTGCTCCCGGCTTTGTCTCTGGTGAATCTTCTCACCCTCCCATGCCTCTGACCTGTACCCCAGTTCTTGCATAAAAATAAATAAATCTTTTAAAAATAAATAAACTTTATTTTCATAGAATTCATTTGCTAGACTTTAAAAATGAAAATATAGTTAACTCGTTATTCACCTATGAGACATAAGATTAATTTTAATATTTAAACAATATTCAAGAACTGCCATATGGCTTTAAGATCAAACAAAATAAAAAAAGCAATTCAATTAACAGCTATAAAAATCCATGACTTTTTAAACTGTCCACTATTCTAAATCATTCATATCTGGCTCATCTCTGTTAAAGAAGAATGACTGAACTATATTAAAAACTCTTCCTACAGAGGTATTTTCTTTAAAAAAAAAAATACATTAAGTTAAGAGATTTAGACCAGAAGGTTCCCTATGAGTGTAAATGGCATCATTCAACTCCACTGGCACTGTCTGCCCAAATGTATAAAACTAGTGACATGAGGTGGAGACATGAGTGCCCCCATCCTCTCACCCCCACCCCAACAACCCCCACAACAGGTCCTGCCAAAGGCATAATCACTGGCCCAGGTGAAGATGTCCAGAGCCTGGAAAGCAGCAGCAATGGAAAAAACATACCATGGCGGCTGGGAGAGAGGTGAATGTACTGTGTCCCACACCATCCTGGGGTAGGTGGGTCCTGTAGAAATGCTGAGACATGAGCAGGTCTGATCACTGGGGTTCGAAGCAACAGCGCTGAAAAAAAGAGACATTAGGGAGGTAATAAGCAACTTTCCCTTAACAAGACTGGCAGACTTTCTAAATGACTATAGGCAAGCCACTCAGTCCACATAGGAGATGACATCTCATTGTAAAATGAGGACCACATCATTTCACTGGGCATTTGTGAGGCCAACTAAGCAACCACTGAAAGAGTTTTCCAATCTCATATATGAACCACTCACGTTTGGGCCCCATTTTTACTAATTTTTATTTTTATTATTTTTTTAAAGATTTATTTATTTACATATACAAGAGCTGGGGTTCAGGCCAGAGATGTGGGGGATGAGAGGACTCACCAGAGACAGAACAGGGAACAGAACAGGCTAACTGACTGAACACACTGCTGAGGGGAGCAGCGAGCAAGACAGGAGAGGTCTGCTGCGCCATGTGGGTTTCTCCCTGGCTGGCCGGGGATCGAATGCGTGCTGCAGAGGCTGCCATTGCTTCATAGTGCAGTGCTTAACCCCTTGCGCCACCAGGGAGGCCCTCCATTTTTTACTAATTTTTAAATATATGTTATAGCTCCTTTCTGCTTCTATCTATTCATCTACCCAATCAACAAACATTTATTACTGTCAAGATATGCTCTGCACTGGTGCAAGAGAGAAAAAAGACAAAGTATTTGTCCTCCAGGTATCTGATATTGTTTGAGAAGCTCATCTACTACTTTCTTCCTCATGAATACTGACCCTTTTTGGATCCTATCTCTTGGTTTAAAAAAAACAACAGACCTGCATTCATGCAATTGCACCAGTTATTAGCTGTGTAAAGCACTAAGTTGAACTGGCTCTCTATGCCTCAATGTTCTCACTTACAAAACAGAAATAACAGTACTTACTTCACCATAGTCTACTGAAAAATAACATATGCAAGCTGCTTAGCATATTCCCAGGAAGTTATAACTATGAAATAAAAGTTATTTAATCTCTTCTTCCTTCCCACTGGCCATTTTTTCCTTGACTGATATAACAGATTAAACCTTTCCCTTGACCCTATGTCCTCTAAATAAAGCCCATGCACTCCTCTTTCCAACCACACATTTTTAAAGTGTTTTTTAAACCGTTTCTACTTCCTCACTTCTCAGTCCTTCCTCAACTCCAAAACTGGTTTCTATCTCCACTGAAGCTGCTTAGGTAAGTAGTCAAAGGTCTCCATTGTGGCCACATCCCAGAGGTATTGAACAGTCATCATCTATTGAGCCTTTCTGCATGACCAGGCACTGGTGCCCTTTCCTTCCTTGTTTTCTGTGACAGAATTTTCTTCCAGTTCTTCCTTTCATTCTTGACCATCCTACAACAGTCTCCTCCTGTTCTCTTGAGTATTTCCCCAGGATTCCATCATCTGCCCATTGCTCTCCTCACCCCAGGTCCTTCCGTCTATTCAGCTTCTACTGCTTATAAGCTGAAGACACCCAATTCTGTATAACCAGCCCTGATCTCTCTCCAGAGTTTCAGAAGTTTAAGTGCCTGCCAGGCCGTTCCTCTGAGATATCCCACATGGTCCTCAAACTCAGTGTCCAAAACTGAAATCACCCTTCAACTCACTTTCCTATCCAAACTTGTTTACATGTTCCCCACTTTACTTAGTGACATCCCAACCACTCTTTAAGATGCCAACCACTCTTTAACCTATTTCAGAAATCTGGATTTTGCACCAAGTGCTAAATCCAACTACCACACAGTATCTACACCTTCATCAACGTGTTTACTCATTCCAATAAACTCTAACTGTAACGTCCTTCCTTCCTCCCTTGGCCTGCTTTATCCTCCACAATCAAATCAGGCACATCTTTTCCGAAAGCAAGACAGGGTAATTCTTTCCAAAACAGAGCTAAATATATTCTTTCTCTGCATTGGCGTAACACATGCACAGCACAAGAGGTTTTGCTTTCTGCTAAGTAACGTTTACACGGGTTTCCCCTGGAAAGATATAAACTCTCTTGAAGACAGGAACTATCTTCTATTCACGTGAGTCGCTCAACCTTACTACAGTGCCTGATATAAAACACATGCCCAGCTGACTGATTATCAGATTGCTGCCCCCACCCCGCACTCAAACACACCAATTCCAGGGGAAATTGGGGCCGGGAATTGGGCCTCAGATCTTAACACTCTTCTCCGATTCCGGGTGGGAACATTTTAGGGACAGTGACGTGGGAGAAAAAGAAGAGTCCTATGGACAGCTTAGCAGGACGCTCATTTCCAGGAGGGTCCCTTCAGGTGACCCCACCTCCGGTCAGCCCGAAGCAGGGGAAAGCGGCCGGCGACGACGGGCATTGTTGTGGCTTCAGCAGGAGGCAGGGGCCCAAGGGGATGGGAGGATTCCCCGCTCCTCAGGCGGCCCCGCCGCCCGGCAGCCCAGCTCTCGCCACAGCCCTTCCCGTCTGGAGCTTGTGCTAAGCGCCCGGGTCAGCCCGGCCCCTCACCTCGGCCTCCTTGGGCACCGCAGAGGGCACTCAAACGCCAAAGAACAGCCATCGCGCTTCTACGTGCTCAAGGTCACCCGGCAACCCGGAAGCAGTCCTGTGACAACGGCCACCCCTCCGTGACGAAAGAAAACAAGGAACCGAGAACGCCGGGAGAGCCGGAAGTCGGGCGGCGCGCGCCCCGCGGGCATGCGCACACACTCGGCGCGCCCCGTGGGCATGCGCACATGCTCGGCGCGCCCCGCGGGCATGCGCACACGCTCGGCGCGCTCCGCGGGCATGCGCACACGCTTGGCGCCCGGTCCTGAGCCTGAAGCAGGTGATGGCGGAGCTCGGGGAGGCGGGCGAGGCGGAGCTGCAGCGCCTGGTAGCGGCCGAACAGCAGAAGGCGCAGTTCACCGCACAGGTGCGGGGACGGGGACGGCGACCCGGGTGAAGAGGGAGAGGGACGTGCGGAGCCCGGCGCGGGCGGCGCGGTGAGGCCGCCATGTGCTCGGCGCGGCTCCACCCGCCGCCCGCGCCGCCGGCGCCCCGCTCAGCAAGCCCCGCTGGGGAAGTGACGCGAGCGGAGAAATTGCAGGGGCTCGGGGATGTGACGGCAAGCCCTTGAGCTGGGACTCGGAGATCTGGGTCCTGACGCCGCCTCTGCCCCTTCCAGGCCACGTGCCCCCGGGCACGACACCGGCCGCGCTGGGTCTCGGCTTCGCAGTCGCTCCCGGCCGCGCCGGGCTGTGCGTGGAATGCGAGGATTGTGCTTGAGAATGGTAGAGCAGAATACCGTCAGAGAAAGGTGGGCGCTGAAGTAGTCGCGCTAGACTGTCAGTTTAGGACGAGGTTTTATGAGGCTTCAGGCGTGGCGCATGACCTTGGGCTACTTAAAACGCGACTCTTAGACGGAGATGATTGTCATCTTTTAGAACCGCAGAAAAGACTGACGGAATTGACTAGTACCCAGCCTCCCAAATAGCCATTTCTTTGCGGGTGGGCATTGGGAGGGCTTACAGAGAATGAGCCTCAAGAACAGTGGTTGGAAATCTTTGGATTCTGATTATGAAGGTGCTCACATCTTGTCTGCATCCGTATGTACGTTTTTCTTCATTAGTTTGCAAATGTGTCCATGACCCCAAAAAGGTTAAGAACTAAGAACTGTACTCTCTGGGAGCTAGATCTGAAATGAGATGAGTACAGTATTGTTACTGTTCCTTCCCAGTGTTAGATGGGGGGGGGATATCAACAACTCTGACAGTGGGTAAGGAATTGACACAAACAGTGGTGTTCAAGGAGGCAAGAATTTGAACTGTCTAGATGAATGGATATACTTTTAGGAAGAGAATTACTGAGTCCAACTGAGAATGCTGTGTAAGGACCTCACAGGAACAGTAATGGGTTGAAGTTAAATAAGGGAGTGGGCTGAAATTGATGCATTATGCAAAGACAGGAATAATTTGAGGGAAGGTATTTAATTACTTCAAGAGGAGGGAAAATAGAGAAAGGGATTGTAGGGATAAGGATATAGCCCATAACAGTGACCAATTAGGAAATGAGGAAAATCCATTTTTGATTTAAAGAATGTTTTAAAAGATTGATAGAAAACTAGAGAAATGGGAAAGGAAGTAAGAAAATTGGCAGGTAGGCCTATCTGTAGCTCCCAGTGATTGTTATTTTTTCTTTCCCCTTAGGTGCATCACTTTATGGAGCTATGTTGGGACAAATGTGTGGAGAAGCCAGGGAATCGTCTAGACTCTCGCACTGAAAATTGCCTCTCTAGTTGTGTGGACCGCTTCATTGACACTACTCTTGCTATCACCAGTCGGTTTGCCCAGATTGTACAGAAAGGAGGGCAATAGAACATCCTCTGGGAAAATGGCAGAAGCAGCAAAAAACTTGTCACTAAGTAGACTGAATGAAGCTCACTGGAGGAATGTTAACTGTCAGGTCAACTTCAGGTTCTTAGGAAGCCTGTTGGTGCTAAAAAGTAATAGATCAAATGTTCAAAAGATGAAATTTATTTATTCAGAAATTTCAGGTTGTAACACAATTATTCAATAAATGTGAATTCTCCAGCTTTTTTCTTTTACATCCACTTTAGGACTTAATATAGAAATCTCTGATTGGCAAGAATACTAGAAATAAATATTTCAAGACCAGTAGTGCAAATGGAAAATCTGAGGTTTTTGAGGAGCCACTCTAAGCCATCTTTAAGGGGGCTGAAAGAACCACCAAAGCCTTGGCTTAAGGCATAGAGAATTTGGGATTGAGAAAGATGAAAACAGAAAATAGCTTTATTGCTTATATTGGACCAAGAAATTTAGGTAAACATGGCAAAAAAAACAAAACAGGCATAATGTGTATTTGTTAAGAGATGGGCCTGCTAATGTGGGAGGAAAGGAAGGTCAAGACCCAACAGAACCAACTTCCTGGACATAACTTGTCTCATCTTCCTGAGGCTGTGCTTAGGAATTAGTACTCTTACAGCACAGAAACAATGCTAAAAAATACATGTTGAAAACTCCAACACAGATTTCACTTGCTCCAAGAACAAAACAATTGCTTTAAGCTAAGAGGTAGTGATTATAGACCGCTCTTCCCCCTTGGGCCCCTACTAATCCAAAAGGTAAAAATATACACCACGGAACACTGAGTACCAATGTACCAAATATTGTAAGTATTAATATTTCAAATAAATAACCCAAAAGGTAGCACCTGCTGATAATCAAGAGATAGGGAACCTCTGGCCAACCATGTTTTAAGACTAAACATTTTTATTAGAAGGCTGTCTGTAAAGAATAAAGTTTGTCATCAGAACTATAAAATATTACCACCTCATGGAATGTTGTCATAGTTATATCTATTGCTGGTGTCTTACACTGTCATGCTACCATGAAGTATGTGTTACTCATGGGGAAATTAAGGCAGGAAAGGTTAACTTACCTGCTCCAGACGTCACAACCAATTAGTTGCAGAAGCAAAAGTCTGAGTTTTCAAGCTTTTTACTCAGCTCACAAGGTGACAACCAAGAAAACAATGTCACTTGATCTGCCAGAGTGAAAAAGTGAACTTATATTCTGCCAGACTTCTTTCAGTGATATCTTAGAATCTTAAGAATCAACATAGCAGGGGTCACAGTATATAGTATAAAGGAACTAATGTGGTCTCTGCTTGGTGCTTTAATCCAAAGTCAGATTGGAAGTAAGTGGATATATCCCTGAGAAGTCTTTCATTTTAGAATTGATTCAACTTAGTTTCAGGGAAAAAGTTCATTAATAGGTTTAGGAAAAAAACAAGGAAGACATTTAAATGGCAGCTGCTGCTCTGAATCCAGTTCAGAGCACCATCAGACAGCATGACTAGTTCCCAATTCTTCCCCATTTAGTTGAGAACTTAGCTAAGACAACTGAAGAAATAATTTTGAACACAAGTCCATTTAGGTAATCTCCAACAATCTAAAGAACATTTTACTATCCAATTACCATGTTTTAGGAGTGTAACCAACTGTGGAAGGGAACTTTAACAGAAAACCCTGGTCATATAGCAGCTATCTATGGGTGCTATCAAGAAGGGAAAATTTGTTCTTATGCTCATCTCCTCATTAAGTTAGCTGGATCCCATCCCTGTAAGGCCAAAATACAAAAGGATCAAAGCACAAGGCTGAAGACATAGCCAAGTTGTGGCATGAGTAACACGATGTTCCCTTCCACCATTCTACATAGCACTGGTTCCAATCCAGCTCTTGATCCCAGCCTTTGCTTCCCCCAAATTCAATGTTCCAATTGGTGTACCCAGGTGATGAGAGATTCCACTTTCTGGGTCTTAATCTGTTGTATATGCTCTCTACACTAAATGTGATTAATTGCAAAAAAATAATCTCTTCAAGAAACCTTCATAACAAAATACTAGCTTCCCTATTAACAATAGGTCAAGTTTAACAGGCCGAAAAAGACAAGTCTGTCAAAAAGTACATGGATGGCACAAGACAGCTCTGACCTGAGGACCCCTGTGCTGAGCACAAGTCACTGGCAAAACCCCAAGGTGTAAGAGCTGGAAATACCCACAGTCCTGAGGAAACCGAAGAATTTCTCCTTTAGTCATCCTCTGAACTCTCCGCAGACCTTTCATCTGTAGCCACTTTCCAATTTGTGCGTTTGTTTGTCCTCTCCTGTATTTCATTGTTGACTACAGGGATATGAACTTTTTTCTCTTTCTTTTTCCTTTTGGTTTTCTTAGTGTCTCTTTCCTCACTCTCCTCAGAACTGCTGGATGAGGAATCATCTGACTGGGAAGTGTCACTTTCTGCCTCTAAGAATAAAGCAGATTTTTTGAGAGACTTTTTCCTGGATTTTTTCTTACGCTTATGTGATTGTTTCCTTTTCTTGGTACTAGAAGCCCCAGTTTCTTCTGAGAACTCACTTGAGGAATCCACTGTTAGATCTGTGGCTTCCTTTTTGTTTTTCTTCTGTTTCTTGTGTGATCTTTTTTTTTGCTTTTTTTTGTGGGATTTCTTTGACTTCTTGTGTTTGTGAGATTCGTGCGTAGATGATTTTACCTTGGGAGATGTTTTTTTCCCATTGGTAATATCTTGCTGATCACTACTAATAAAAAAGAGAAACTTCTTTATTATAGAAAGTTAAAAATGAATTTGTATTTTAATGTTTTGCATCCTAGAAAGGAAGTTGGCATTAACATAAAATTTAAAGCTGAACTCTGATACAGGGTTATAACTTCATTACTGAGTATTTTAAATGAAATAAAAGTTCTAATCTACAATACTAAGTTACTATATGTAATAATAACTATGCCAAACGAATCAAAGGCAAAATACCAATTGTCTCCCAACTAAATAATATATCACTTCCCTCACTAGATTTTTAATGGTAAATATAATGTCCTTTGCCCAAGTCAGGAACTCAATTTATCGTTCAGACTTTGTACTAAACTTAAATTTTTTTAGTCAATTTGCCTTACCTGTCTGTTTCAAATTCTTCAGGGTATAATTCTTTATAACCACTGTGACCCCATCTGTAAGAAGACATATCTTATTACATGTATTGGTAAAGCAATTCATACATCTTTAAAAATTGAAGCAAATTAGAATTAGGAAAGCATGCATAGACACATATAAGAATAGAGAAAACAGAGCCAACCCCACATTATAGCTTAGTAAGTTAGCCAGTTACATCTTCTGTACTGCACACTATCATTTCAGATACAAAGGTTCACTTAGAAATAGCTACTTAATGAAGCTTCTCTTCCTTAAGAAATACAAAGACATGGCTTCCCTGGTGACACAGGGATTAAAGTCTTAGCACTGTCAAGCTATCACCAGCCATTGCGGCCTGATCCCCAGCCAGGCACAACAGACTTCTGTCTCACCCACTACTCCCTACAACAGTGTATTTCAGTAGATCTGTCTGTTCTGCTCCCCACTCTGTCTCTGGTGAATCCTCTCACACCTGGCACCTCTGGCCTATTCCCTGGTTCTTGTATGCATAAATAAAATAAATCTTTTTAAAAAAAGAATACAGGCCTCCCTGGTGGTGCAAAGGGTTAAGCAACACACTATGAAGCAATCCGCAGCCTCTGCAGCACATGGCACAGCAGACCTCTCCTGACTCACAGGCCTGTACCCCAGCTCTTGTATACATACATAAATAAATAAATCTTTTTTCTTAAAGATTTATTTATTTATACAAGAAGGGGGTACAGGCCAGATTCGCGGGAGGGTGAAAGGATTCACTGGAGACAGAGCGGGGAGCAGAACAGGCAGACTGACGAAATACACTGCTGAGGGGAACAGCGGGCGAGACAGGAAAGGTCTGCTCGCCATGTGGGACCCTCGCCGGCTGGCTGGGATTGAACTGGCGCTGCAGAGGCTGCGGACAGCTTCACAGCACGGCGCTCAACTGCCTGCACCACCAGGGGAGGCCCAATAAATAAATCTAAAAAAAAAAAAAAAAAAGAAATATAAAGACTCACAAGCTGCTCTTTAGCTGTGAAGCACTTTTCAAAAACACTTCACAACATAATACTGTATACACTGGGACAATTTTTAAAAATAGTAACTTTATCAAGATACCCTTCATGGACCCTTTTCAAGTATAAATTCAGTGATTTTTAGTATATTGTTATGCTGCCAACACCACAATCTTATTTCAGAATATTTTCATCACTCCAAAAAGACTACATACATTAGCAGACATCTCCATACCTTCTTCTCCTGCAGCCACTAATCTACTTTCTATCTTTCTAGATTTGCCTATTCTGGATATAACATACAAACACAAGCATAGTAAGTGGCTTTTTGTGTCTAGTTTTTTTTCACCAAGCATGTTTTCAAGATTGATCCATGTTGTAGCATGTGTCAGTACTTTACTCCTTTTACTGCCAAATAATATTACATTGTATGAATATACCACATCTTGTTTATCCATTTATCAGGTGATATCTGAATTTAGTCACTAACCTGTCTGGCATGTTAGCTTCATAATCATACAACTTCTTGTTCCAGGATTTTGCCTTAAGAAAATCATCTTCCAGTGTCCCAGAAATTTCATTCTTTGGTCTCCAATAGTCTCTCTGACTTTCTTCATCAAAACCATCACTACGCATCCGACTAGAAGAGAACACAGAAGAATTTAAGATTTAGAAGCAATATGTGAGATCACATTATGGAACATCATACACAAAACGCATTGAACAAGCTAAGGGGAGAAAAGAAAACAACTTGACATTACTGTTTTAAAAAATTATGTAAAACACGCAATTTCTTCCTCTCTATAAGTGTGTACAGTTGTCCGATAAAACTCTCACCAAAACAACCATCCTCTTGTAAAGGAAATGACTTCTGAACTTCTAGCATGTTGTAGCTCCCTCAATGATTCTCAACTAGGAGGATATGGAGAGCATAATGACATCCCTGGAGATTCTGAAACATGCTCTCCGAAAACCCAGCGACTTGCAGTAGTGAAGTCATAGTAACATGGGAGCAAAGGCTAACCAGATGAGTATGCTGAAGAAAGACAACTGAAAATCACTGATCCAGACTGCGCTTACATTTTCCACTAACAGGTGACCTAGCCAGCTAATTTGTTATCAAAAATGTTTAAGGGCCTCCTCCATGCCAGGCATTGTTCTAGCTGTTGGTAATAGCATCTGAGACAGTCAGAATCCTTGCCCATATGATGATTATGTTTTAAAGATTTGTTCACCATGATGATAACAGTTCACTCTAAAATAGTACTTTGTTTCTGGAAATGTGACTTGGAATTGAACCACCAACACAAAACAAACCATCATCTGTATTAAATGTACTTCTAAATTCTCAAAGGACCATCTTCAAAGAAAAAAAACAAACTGACAGAATATTTATTTTTATGTTTGATACTGCCTTCTTTACCAAGACCATCCTCAATACTTTCCAATCTGAAGCCATGTACACATAGACAATCACACTCCAGAAGTCCACTTACTACACAGGCAAACTCATACCTTAAAACACCTCACTACTAACTACTGATTTCCCTGTCTGACTTTAGAAATCAGCATTATTAATTTATAGCCATTTCTCGTACATACAACTCTACACTGACAGCACAAGAGATGAGCCCCAAGAGATGTTGCCAGCTGCTCAGACATTACTATACTTCCACAGGTAAGACACCTGCATAATTCTTCGTATTCACGCTCAAAAATATTAAGATAATGTGAAAAGCTAGGTGACTTGGCAAAGACCGTGAGCAGGGGGAAATGAAAAGGCTGAAACAGTATGAAAGACTAACAGGAAAACAGCAGCGCGAACAGTCAGTTAAGCGACAAGATACCACTAGAAAATCCCAAGGTCAAAGCCATCAACTAAGTCAGAATCCACAGAATCCTTTAACATTACAATTGTGCAAGGAAGAATTTTTAAATTCCCCGCTTCAAGTAAGTACGAACAGTCGGGCAATATGCATCATAGCCTATTATGCTTTATGCCTGGATTTATACAAGACAGAAGACTGAAGTACTCTTAGAACTCAATTCATCTACTTTCAACAGACCAAGTTGCTTTAAAGCAAAAGCCAAAGATTCTGAATAAAATGGCAAGTATTTTGATTCTCAACTTCACCTTGAACTGCTGGGTAACATTTTCCTTTTGGTTCCCCGGTAAGCATCTTCCATCTGCTTCTCTAATTCTCTTATTTTCCACATATCTGATTCCTCCTGAATCTAGATTAAAAAAAAAAAAAAAAGGAAATAAAAATAACACTTTATGACTCAGAAAAATAACTGGAAATACATTTTGCAGTAATTATTCAACAGCAGACTGGGTTATGGTCAGAAACCTGGGAAACAAATTCTTAACAACAAATTCTCAAACAAATTCTTAAACAACCCAAACCAATAACCACAAACATTTAGAATTCTGCAGCAAGAGGAAAACCTTTTAAAACTTATCACCTTATGAATTTTCCAATAAGCAAATGATAACCCCTTTATGTTTCTAAAATACTTTATGACTAATTTTACCATCTCAAATTGAACCTTTAACAATCTTATGAGGTAAAGAAAGCAAGCCCCATTATCATCACATTTTACTGAAAGAAAGGTTCAGAGATTTGACCAAAGTCAAAAAGCTAAGAGCAAGTTTTTAAACTTCTAGGTTAAGTCTCGTTTAACAATATCACAATTTTTGTCAAAAACAAATAGTTTGAGGGCCTCCCTGGTGGCGCAGCGGTTGAGTGCTGGGTTGCGAAGCTGCCCGCAGCCTCTGCGGCGCTGGTTGGATCCCCGGCTTGCCGGGCGAGGGTCCCACATGGTGCGCAGACCTCTCCTGCCACCCGCTGCTCCCCTCAGCAATGTATTTCGTCAGTCTGCCTGTTCTGCTCCCTGCTCTGGCTCTGGTGAATTCTCTCACCTTCCCGCACTTCTGACTCTACCCAGTGCTTGTATGTATGTATGTATGTATGTATGTATGTATGTATGCATGTATAAATAAATAAATAAATCTTTAAAAAAAAAAAAGGTTTGAGAATTGCTAGAGTAATTTCCTGAAAATCTAACTACCATAGTAGTTTACCCAAAGACTAAGAATACATTTTATTTCTATGTCCTCCAGTAGTATTTGGCAAAATCTGTACTAGGCTTATCTTTTTTAGATATCACTTTCAAATATAAACTCACCATCCAGCTAGCGGTGGTTTAACACAACTGCAGAGGTTGCTCAGGTAACAACTGTATCCTCATTCACATTCAGAGTATCAGGTAATACCCGTAATAAAATCAAACAAGGGCCTTTGGCCCTCTTTTCATTCTATGTGCTCTCCTATGTGACCTAACCCACTCTCATGACCTCTGTTATCCCCAAATTGTATATACTGCCCCAACTTTTCTCTTGTCCTTTAACTCTTGGACATCCTATAAGTACCTCAGTATCAGCATGCTCAAAACTAAACTAATTTCCTTTCTCATCACATTTATATCTTTTCTTTTGTCGCCTATTTCAATTAATAGCACCAGTCATCATTCAACCAGTCACACAAAGGTAATTATATTTGATTGCTATCATTCTATTATTCTATCAGTCACTAAGTTCTTTGGATGTTATCTCCTAAATTTCTTATTCCATCCCTACCGTCACCTCTTTTTATGGTAACCATCATTATCTCTCATCTGGAACACTGCAAAATTGCCTAATTGGTCTCTCCGCTTCTTCACCCTATCTGACCTATCCTTTATCCAGTTAACAAATCATCTTTCTAAAATACAGATATGATCATGTCACGCACTGCTTAAAAACAGTTGCTGGCTTCTTTATCGCCCAGAGTAAGTAGTTTAATCTCCAACCATCACTATTCAACTCTAATTTACCACTCAGGCCTCATCTTCTGCCATTAGCCCCCAAATTCCCTATTTTCTGGATGGCTACAATTTCTTGCTAAGCCCCAAGTGATTCACGCTCTTTCTTGTTGATTTCTACTGTTACATAATGTTCTCTCTGTCCTGGTAACTTGGACCCATTAATTGAGAACTAAATTAAATATCAGCTGCTCAAATACCACAAATTCTGTGACGCTTCTCCAGATTTCCCAAGGCAGACTTCCTCCCTCAGAGCACTAAAGCACTTTGTACATGTTTCCTACTAATAAAACAATTATCAAGCAGAATCATAATCATCCACTTACTTCATATTTGCATCTCCCAATTGTTCCAAAATAAAGAATGGCATACTGTGTGCCCTCATTAAGAATTATAGAAGTGGGCCTCCCCGGTGGCGCAGCGGTTGAGCGCTGGGTTGCGAAGCTGCCGGCGACCTCTGCGGCACTGGTTCGATCCCCGGCTGCTCCCCGGCCACCAGAGGAGGGTCCCACATGGCGCGCAGACCTCTCCTGCCGCCCGCTGCTCCCCTCAGCAGTGTACTTTGGTCCTTCTGCCTGCTCTGCTCCCTGCTCTGGCTCTGGTGAATTCTCTCACCCTCCCGCGCTTCTGACTGTACCCAGTGCATGTATAAACAAAGAAACAAACAAACAAATAAATAAATAAATAAATAAAAAATATGCCTCTATTAAAAAAAAAAAGAATTATAGAAGTATGGGGGCCTCCCCCGTGGCGCAGCGGGTTGAGCACAGCGCTGTGAAGCTGTCCGCAGCCTCTGCAGCGCGGGTTCAATTCCCAGCTGGCCAGGGAGATTCCCACATGGCGCGGGAGACCTCTCCTGTCTCGCCCGCTGCTCCCCTCAGCAGTGTATTTTGCTCCATCTGCCTGTTCTGCTCCCCGCTCTGTCTCTGGTGAATCCTCTCACCCTCCTGCGCCTCTGGCCTGTACCCCAGTTCTTGCATAAATAAATCAATCTTTAAAAAAACAAAAGTATGCTGTGCCTCTCACCTTATTGTGAGCATCTGTGTGCCGGATGACATTCCTCAAGAGGACTTTCCCCAGTGGAACCCGGGACATTCTTCAATCTGAAAGGAATCAATAACTAACATTTAATAATAACTTCCTTTATTACCTTTTATTACCACGTTATAAAGCATAAAGTAAAGAAAAGATCACTGAATTGGAAGTCAAAGGTCCTGAGGAAGTTTTTCCCTCACCATTAAAAGGGTAACGCCTGACAGAGTAATGACAGCAGGAAAGGCGACAGTGAACATTAGAGTTCTTGGAAACTGCATATAATTAAGGGTTTTCAAGAGCGCCATTTAGTTAAGCCTCAAAATAACTTTATACGAGGCACGTACTTTCCTCAGTACTTGCCTTCCTATTTTGCAGATGAAATCCCCTAAAGCCATAACCTGCCCCAGGACACACAGTCCGGAGGCAAAGTCCACAGTGGCCATTAACGCTCAAAACCCGAAATTAGATGGCGGTGAAGCAAATGCCTAGATTTGAGAACGTCAGTCAGGGGACCACAGCCGTCCAGAGCCACACGACAGCAAAGGCACCGATGCCCGCAATTTCGCCATTCAAGGAAAGGCTAGTTTCTACTTTGTCCCCTGGCGTCCAAAAGAGAACATGCCCGTGTGTAGCTAGCAGGAGCTTTGTGCAACCACCCCGCCGCTCACTCACCCCTCGATCCTGAGGAAATCGGGCATCTTGTTAGTGGGAGACGAGGAACCACTTCATTACAAGCTCTCCTCCGACCCAGGAAGCCAAGGAGTCGGGGCTCAAAGGCAGCTCTGCGGCTTCACCCGAGGCCTTCGTGAACACGCAGCCTTCCCACCGGTCACTCTGCCCTCACCCGCGGCCCCGGCTCCCGCCGCCGCGCCCCCAGCCCAGCCCGACGGGCAGGTCTTCCTCCCGGACGGAGGCCGCAGGCGGCGCCGGCGCGGAATCCCGACGGCCCCGCGGGCTGGGGCATCCCCCGCTCGCGCGGCGCCGGGCCGGGCCCGGGGCGCGGGCGTCGCTCCCCGGCGAGGCTGGGGGTACGTTGGCGGGTGAGACCCTCGGCCGGGCCCCGAGAAGAGGGTTCAGAGCGCCCGGAGGAGGGGTCGAGGCTTCCGGGAGGAAGACCGAGGCGAGTCCCCCATCTTTGTTACCGGGATCCCGGCCCCCCAACGGTCACGGAGCCCCCGGCAGCCGCCCTCGAACGCCCGCCCCGCACAAACACACAGAAACACGCCCATACCGTGCGCCGCGGCCTCGCGTGGCGGGGGTGGGGGAGGAAGCGCTCGGGGAGAAAGGGGCGCGCGCTTCCCGTCCAGGCCGGAAGCGGTGCGCCCGAGAAGGTCTTCCCACCAACAGGAGCCGCGGCCCCGCCCGCGCCCAGCGGTTCCTGCGCGCTCTGGGGGTCGACGGGCGCCGGGAGGAGGCGGACGGGGAGCCAAGTGGGTCGGGCTCGGCGGAGAAGCCAGCCCCGCCCCAGTACGGGGAGACGCCGGAACTGGATAGGAAGAGATCGTGGCGCCTGGAGCTTCCCGGACCCGATTAGGTGTCGTACCCGGCCTGGTTACCTAGGTAACGGGCGTCGCGGTCCGGCGGGGAACCGCTTGCGGAGGTGGGTTCTCCGACCTCTGGAATGGCTGGCAGTCCATTGAGTTAAGTTTCCGGTTTAGTCTAACCCTACCGTCGTTTTCGAAGAACCCAATCCGCTTTTCCTCGTTCTGTGGATGATGTGGGACGTCTCTGCAGTCAGGGAGGGGGTGTGACGGCTTCTCAAGACGGCGAGTAGATGCTCCCTAACCCCTATTAGTTAGTTTCCTTAACCTCACAGTAACCCTGTTAAGTATGTATTATAGCCTTCGTTTCGAGGAGAATAAATCGAGTCACTTAAATTGTTCAAGGTCACACGCTACTAAAGGAAAGAGACAAGATTAGGATCTAGAGTCCATGTTTTATATATATATATATAATATTTATATTTTATAAATATTTTTATATTTATATAAATATATGTATATTATATATATAATTTTATTTTATATATTTTTTACATCATTTTTCATTTTTGCCTTTTGGGTGTCTCCAGGACACTCACTTAACTACAAAAGATAAAAATAGACTGACAGTAAAAGGATGGAAAACAATCCTACAAGCAAATGGACCAAAAAAGAAGACAGGAACCAGCTATACTTGTATCCGATAAAACAAAGTCCATGTTTTATTGACTAGACTATGTTGAAGATTGAGGATGCCTCAATTTCCCCTCACTCCAAACACACCTCTGGCAATTTTACACTGGGAAAAAAAGTTGCCAGGCAGATAATATCCAGGTTTGGGAACAAGATCTCTAGGAATTCCAGCCTCAAAATGACTGCTTTGTCCCTTCAAGGCTTGTGAGGTAAAGCCTTAATTGAGAGGACAACTTGAGAATTTAGGAAGGGCTATTAGATAACCAGAAAATAAGGAAAAGATAAAGTGGTGCTAATTCACCATCTTTTAGACACAGATATTAAGATAGCTGCTAATGTCACCAAAACAATTTCTGAGGTGTTCCTCTTCCCCTGAAAGCAAAAGTGAACCAATGATTACACAGGCCTTTTTCCCTTTGTTTCATGTCTTTTCAGACTTAAGAGGCCCATTCTCTTCAATCATGGAAACATCATCTGAGGGCCTGCTCACCCAAGTTACTCAGTTCTGGAACCTCCTAGATGATTTGGCTGAAAGTAACCCTGAGAGCTATGAGAAGTTCATTCAACAACAGATCAAAGAGGGGAAACAGCTCTGTGCTGCCCCAGAACCACAACTCTGTATAGAGACCAGGATACTGGTAGGTGGAGTTGATGCCCAGTGGTGGGAGGTACTGAATGAAATTATTCAGGGGTACCCCGAGAAGATATTCCTCTTAGCTATATTGCTACACAATAAAACTAACACACAAGAAAATCAGAGAAACTGCCACTCTAAGTGGAAAATGAAATGCAGTGTGGGAGATTGTGTTGAAAGAATAAGAATGGGGTGTTCATACATGATGTTCTGGACATCTTAAAGTGAGCCATTTTTTCCCTGGGGAATGAAATTTAGAAGTAATGCAATGATTTAACAGAGATTCATAGAGTTGGATCTTTTTCAAAATAAAGAGAACTTCTGGGCCTCTCTGGTGGCTCAGGGGTTAAAGTCTCAGTGCTATCAATCTATTGCCAGCCACTGCAGCACCAGTTCGATCCCCAGCCAGGCCTGGGAGCTGCAGACTGCTCCTGTCTCACCTGCTCCCCTCAGCATGTATTTCAATAGTAGACACGCCTATTCTGCTCCCCACTCTGTCTTTGGTAAATCCTCTCACCACCACCACCCCTCCGGCACCTCTGGCCTACACCCCAGTTCTTGTATGCATAAATGAAAAAAAAATTTTAAAAAGAGAATTTCTTTGTTTGGGGAGATAAGGAAGTAGTGAAATCGGGTCAAATTCCCCTGAAACAGCTGCTTAGCTCATTCCCTTCTCCCTCCTCCCAGTTCTTCTGGGAGCAACAAGTGGATTCTAGGTGAAAATCCCAACAGCTTTGTGGAAATCAGGTAACAACATCATTCTCAAGCAAGGTTTTAATATATTGAATAACTTACTTGGAGCCTAAAATTCTTTCTTTTCCAATTCTGTGATGAGTGATGAGTTATTGAAAAATTAAAAAGTAGATTTTGAGATATGCAAAATCATTTTCTTTCTAGAAACCAAAAGAAAAAATACTTTTTATCAACCTATGTCAGTGGAAAAGAATCCCAGCTCCCCAGTCACACACTCATCCTGTACCTATAAGTGTCGGCAGACCAGAAGATATGTCTGAGACATCAGGTACATAGAATTATGGGAGAAAAAAAGCACATTTTTAAAAAGTTATTGGAAATAAGAATGTGACAGCTTTTACTTGATAAAAGGCATTCCAAATAAAAATTTTCATCTAGTTATAGTTAATAATGACCTATAAGTATACCTTTTTGCAAACAGCATACTGTTTACTTTTTCTAATAATATGAGCTGTCTTAACCCATGTAAAATGCCAAGAAATGCCCTCATTGGAATTTTGAAATTCCTCATTGGAATTTCCTGAAAATACAGGAATAAAATGTATAGCTTTATCAAGATATGGCTTAGTATATCACCTGAGAATATCACTACTGAAACAAGTGTGTTTATTTCACACCCTCTGAATTATACTCAGATGTTTACACAGTCCTCGATGTTGCCTACAATCCTGATGTTATCCAGGCAGCAGAAAAGGACCCGGAGAAAAAAGGTCAATTGATACAGATGGCCATGAAGTGCATTGAAGAAAAATTCCACTTCACTCTCTCACACTCTTACCATATTACAAAGTGTAAAATGAAAGGAAGCATTCAAAGAATGAAACAAAATCTAATGGGAATCCAAACTGACCCAAAAGATTTAAGAGAGAAAATGAGAAATGGTAAGTTAATGTATGTAAGGGAATGTGGTAAATAAACTGATTTAAAAGGTATTTTTTTAATCCTGTGTACATTTTACAAACTAGAAGTCTTGATTTTGAGAGATGAGAAACTTAAGATAGTTGGCCTCCCTGGTGGCGCAGGCAGTTGAGGGCGGTGCTGTGAAGCTGTCCTCAGCCTCTGCAGTGCCGGTTCGATCCCCGCTGGCCTCGGAGCAACCCACATGGCGAGTGACCTCTCTTGTCTCGCCCACTGCTCCCCTCAGCAGTGTATTTCATCAGTCTGCCTGTTCTGTTCCCCACTCTGTCTCTGGTGAATCCGCTCACCCTCCTTCACATCTGGCCTGTCGCCCGGTTCTTGTATAAAGAAAAAATAATATCTTTAAAAAAAAAAAAGAAAGAAAGAAAGAAAGAAGCTTAAGATAGTATAATACAGACATTAGATATTGGAAATATGAGCATATCCTCAAAGGTTTTTAAATCCTGTAGATTTTTTAAAATTTTTTTTAAAGATTTTATTTATTTATACAAGAACCGAGGTACAGGCCAGGTGTGCGGGAGGGTGAGAGGATTCACCAGAGACAGAGTGGGGAACAGAACAGGCAGACTGATGAAATACACTGCTGAGGGACGCAGCAGGAGAAGTCTGCCATGCTATGTGAGACCCTCGCCGGCCGGCTGGGATTGAACCTGCGCTACACAGGCTGCGGACAGCTTCAGAGCACGGCACTCAACTGCCTGCGCCACCAGGGGAGGCCCTCCTGTAGATTTTTAAACCAAATTCTTTGTTGTTGTTGTTGTTGTTGTTTTAATTTAAGATTCCCAAACTAGCCACAGCTTTATCTGCCATCTGGGCTAATACTATATATATTGTACAATAGCTCATTGCCTGATAATATTTTATTAATTTTGTGATCCTCCCTTTTTTTCATAAAGAACTAACCCTTGATCAGATAAAAAACAGTACAATGGACAATTCAGATCACCTTCCTCAACTTTTACTGCCAAAGGACCAAGTTTCAGGAAAAGCAGGGCGTCTGATAGAAGAGATTTCTAGTACAGAGATCCAGGTGGAGATGAAGAGACCTGACTATGAATTGAAAATTGTGGAAGATCAGAATGAGAAACCTCTGAAAATTGAATTAAAAGTTGAATTACCTGGTGTTAACTCAGTATCTGTCTGTGATCTTCGTGTTTCAGAGGTAAGTTGAATAGATAATACTGTAAGTTGTGTCAGGCAGCATTCACACTCTTAATGGCTTACAATAATTTGCCCAAGATACATACCAGCTTGCTCCTGCTTTGTTCCATGAGTCTTGCACATTTCAAGATAGAGGTGAAGGAACAATTCCGTAAGAGATATGCCATTCTCATGGCAAAGCAAACCTAGAAATGGCCAAACCATGTTATAGTTCCTAAAGTTTCCTCTCAGACATATCACTTCTACTTACATTCTATTGGCCAAAGAAAAAGTCCTATATCAATAGAGCTGGGAAGTATATTCTTCTCACAGGAATCACAGGAAGTCACATGACAGGGATGTATAATCCTCCTACAGAAGAAGGGCAAATAATTGGCCATAGTCCTACAATCTGTCACATTCCAACCACTTCCCAAAGGAAGAAATCTCCAATCCCAGCATCAGGCTCCGAAGTGTAAGATTTTGCTATTATAATCTGCATTCTGTTCCTTTTGAATCACGTACCTGTGGACTGCTAAGACAACCTATCTACTCTTGTAACCCCCTGCACCATACATTGTGGAATGGAGAGAGGATAGCCATAATTAACAATTCAAAATGGAAAATATGAGGCACAATCTGGTGCGCAGCAATTCTGAAATCCCAGTAAGCCGATATTGTGAAGGATCCCTTTTCTAAGGTAGAGAATGTTACTGCTTAGGTCCCAAGTCAGGGTTCATCGATTACCTAGCTGCTTACTTCCATTGGTTTCCATTACCTTCAGCTCCATTCTCTGGGAAGTTTATTTTTCCTTTTCCATTATGCACCTTGGCCATATCTGAAAAGAGCATTGGAAAATATGCATCTTTAAGTGCTAAGCAATATTTTCAGCCTACTTGCTACTGGGGTAGAATCCAAAAGTTGTTTTATGTTAGATTTAGTCTAGAATGATAGCATTTCATAGCCTGATTCAATCAGTGCCACATACAATTTTTTTCAGATGTCCATTTTTAAATGACCTTTGTCTTAATTGCTGTAATTTTGGCAAAATTTAAGGATTTACTGAGGTCCACTTTAATCCAATCAGAGGTTTAACAAAGGACAAAAGTACTTGTGAATCTGGTCTTTACCTCTAGACTGTTCTTAATCAGTGTTTGTTGATAAAGTAATTCTCAACTTTGTTCTTTATGGTAAAAAGTAAAAATTAGTTCCATTCCTAAAACTGAAGTCTTAAAATTTCTGGGCTGAAGTCCTGAAGTCTTAAAATTTCTGGGCTTGTATTATTCCCTTTCAATTTTACTTGAAAACTAGGAAATTATTTTCTAAACTCATCTCACAGTATCTTGATAAATGTAGCCAACAGAACCAAAGCAGGCTTCCAACATTCCACTCTCCCACTTTACCTAAATCCACAAACTAGTTACATTATTTGTCTTCTAAATTGTGAGTTTTACTAAAAGCTGTATCAATATAAATGCAGATCTTTTAAGTTTCTTTAGTTTGTTGGTCAACCCAGTTAATGCCATATACTTTAGAATAGCAGGGCCACCCTGGTGGCCTAGGAGTTAAGTCTTCGTGCTCTCACCCCTATGGCCTGGGTTCAATCCCCAGCCAGAGCGCTAGCTCACATTTGGCATGGTAGGCCTCTCCTGTGTCGCCCTCTGCTGCCCTTAGCAGTGTATTTCAGTAAATCTGCCTGTTCTGCTTCCCACTCTGGTGAATTCTCTTATACCCTACACATCTGGCCTACACTTCAGTTTTTCTATGCAAAAATAAATATATATTTATAATATGTATAAATAAATAATTTAGAATAGCAACATCCAATTTCTGGTACTGTAACCTTTTTATGTCTTTGAGCAGCAATAACCTCAATATCTCAGGAATTTACAATGGCAACTGTATTGCCAGGTACAAGTCTCCTGCCTGTAAATGAGATCCTCTTTAAGGAAAGTAGTGAATAAAGGGAAGAATAATACAAATAATACAAATTATAACCAGGAAATATTTTTCTAGTTTCATCTTTTAAAATCTTTCTTGGTTTATTATTCTTAGGATGATTTATTGATTGAGGTCTCTGAGAAGTACAGACTACATCTGAACCTTCCGGAATCTGTGAATACTGAAATGACTACAGCAAAATTTATCAAAGAGAAAGCAACATTAATCGTCACAATGCCATTGATATAAGAAAAGAGCATCATGTTTTTGGTTTCCAGTGCTTAAATCGTGAATTATAGGGCCTTTATAATGGGTGAAGAGTAGGTTTATTTTAAACACGTTTCCTATTTTCTAAGAGTACCTTTTGATGGAATGAGATTTTCTTACCAATTGTCATGTTTTATCTCTTTAACTCATTCTTTTACCTTCTCAAACTTGGTTAATAAGCAGATACTACTAAAAACAGCATTACCGTGACATGCTTGAAGATATTTGTAGAAACCCTAAGTGATTTAAATTCAATTGAGAAAATTCTGTTTTCAAATAACATGCAAGAACTCTTGGTTTACTGAAACTCTTGGTTGAAAAAAATGTTCTTTCTAAATCTAGTAAATTTTTATTATATCAAGAATAAATCCCAGACTGTGCAAGTTTTTTATTACAAGGATGGGCCATAGCAGTGTAAGTTTCCTCCAGCAATAAAGATAAAGGGCCAATACAATAACATGCAAATCTATGCCTCTATAAAAGTTCTGGCAGAAGTCCAAGCTACATAGGCAGGCCTTTTAATATCAGGGATGGATATTGGATTGTCTGTGGATTGGATACAACAGTAAAGTTACTATCGTCAGACATTGTAACATGATCCAAAATAGTTGGAACTCAATTTTAAAGGAATTAACTTTGGGACAATTGTCTTTTACCTAAAAAAGTAATCAAAAATACAGTAATGATGTACTGTTCAACTCCCATTCAAGTTTTCAGATGGTTGTTCAAAACAAAGGTATCAACTTTCCAATTTATACCCCAAGTAGTGTGCACATCAAACATTAAACATCCCTTGTCTTTCCTAGACACAAAACAGCCTCATAATTAGTACTCTAGTTCAACATACATCTTTAAATAAAGTTGATTATAAAGTTATTAATTTTAAAACTTTTTAACTTCAGAAACTAATGTTATATATGTAATAGAAACAACCGATATGTGACATTTTAAAACAACTATAATTTTCTTTAACCTGACCTGGGTTTGTATTCTAACTGTAGGATGTCCTAAAAGTAACAAACCTATTATAGTCTCCTGATCACTCAAAAAACTTTATGCTCTTGCCTTACCTTTTCTTCTATAATAATAACTGGCAGCATGTATTTCCTAGACACTCCCATCCCTACCTACTTTTGCACTCTCAGCACTTAGGTGTCACCTATATGAGCAGCTATGTGTTTGTGTACTCATTAGCAAAATGCATATCAAGATCTAACGTGCTTAATATTAAAATGTTAAATTTTTATTTGAGAACATTCCCACCTCTCATTATATGAAGCAGCTTTGCTGAAGGACATAATAAACTGTGTATTTATACTTCAATTTTAATCTTTAACATTTTTTTCCTTCAAAACTGAAACATTTTGAGATATACTTTATCATTGATTTAGAGATAAGATTTTTCTACAAATATGGTTTTAGATCAATTGTCAATAGTGATTATTTTCCCAGGTATTCTAGAGCTTGTAATTATTATGAAGTGATGACCATCCCTTGTAATATATTCCTAGCATCTTCCATGTTGGTCAACAACTCCTGTAGTAGACCAGGCTTTTAGATACTTTACTCACAAATCTCAGAATTAGAGTAGAGTATCTAACAGAGACAGACTACACATTAATCATGTTAGAATGTGTCACACCCTCGACCCCTCAATGTGAGGTTCCTCAGTAACTCCTTGAGCTTATTAAAGCCAGATTGTGTTTATTATATTATCCTAAACAAAGTCCTTATTTTTTCAATTCTATAAACTCCAAATGTTTAAGAGTTTATACATACATTGCCATCCCTGAGTCTTACTTAATATGAAAAATAATTACCATCAGATCAAAAATTAGACCAGACATGTTGAAAACAGTTTAATTTTAACCAATCTAATTTTAACCAAAACCACTATTTCTAACTTTTATCTTTCAGTTCTGACAAATAGACTGAATCCATATTTAGATTATACTCAGATTAATTTTTAACTCAAAAAAATTAGAAGGCAACTTTTTATTTTTCTTTCAAGGGAACAAAAGAGCCATGGCATTGGCAAAGAATGAATTATCGTTGTAGTTCCATATATTTGAACAAGATGTGGCTCATACTGATGATGATGATGATGGTCCCTCGTGATAAGCTTGTTCCTTCTTCATAATCTAAGTTTAAGCTAACATTACCAGTTCCTGAAAAACTGAATGAATGTATTGAATTGTTTTTGTATAACACAAACAAGGGAATTAGCTGTAGAATATATGGAGTGTCACTTATGCACCAGGTAATAATGAGCATTAGAGATACTTCAATACTGAAAAACCTAAATTTCAGTGTATACCTCCACATATTATACACACAAGGAAGCAACAGATTTATATAGTTGTAAACAATTCCAAATAGTTATTGAAACATCAATTCAATAGAAAGTCTGGAATTGTTCCCAATTCATTTTTATTATCCTGAATATCTTTCTCTTCCATTCCTAACAGAAGAAAGGCAAACTGTAACAAAATGGGTGAAAAGATTATAAAGTAGCAAACTACATAATTTTTCTCTTCAGTAGAAGTTTAGGACCTTCTTACTTTACATATGACAATGCTAAGGTGGAAAAACACAAAACAGTTCTTTTGGTACACATTTTTTACTTTATCCAAGTAGGAATGACCACTTTGTTTTGATCATCATCTTTTAACACTCCAAACTGTTCATCATTGTATGTCTCTCCTCCTTGTCAGACAGTTTCTGGTGATAAACGGACTTTGGCACAAATCCAACACTAAAAACCATATTTTACATATGTACACTTATTTTATAGTTACTTGCTATAGTTTTCCAAAGTTATTTGAGTAATAAATTCTGGTAATTTATTTGCAAGTACCCACCAGTTAATCTTGGAGGAAAAATTCCACTTTCACAATTACTCTCTGTTAAATCCATCAGTACATTCTTTTATTTGGAGGAAACTATAGATTTCTGCTCTCCAAGTTACATTTAAGTTATTAAAATAAATACCCACACAAATTCTCATTTATACCAAGTAGCTGATTTATATTTGTATCTTTATCTCAAGGGGGTAAAACAAACATTTAGGAATCCATAGAAAAATAAAGGACAGTGGATTGAAGAGGTCTATGAAAATGTTGACTTTTAAAATTTTACTTATTTTCCTTGAAGTTTTCTACCCTTCTTATCCATGATAGACCAAGATCATGTAACACAAAAGTTTTAATTAGGGTTAAATTCCAAAACTATACTTCAATTCAAACCCTTCTCCAAGAGAACTGATTTTCCTGACTTTTTCTTCTTCCCTCACATCTAAGCAAAACATTTGAGGCAATTAAATTTCAAAACCTCAAATGTCACTTTTATGTACATATCTCAACATGGAATCACAAGTCTAGCTCTACATTTCCCAATGGAAGAACTTATCACCAAAGGGCTAGGTCACATGTACCTTGACTAGGAGTACACAGCTTAAAAGCTGGCATTTATTAAATGTGCACAATATTTGAGTGTAATTGGCATTGAAAAAATTCAGTAATGCCCATTACAAATAACTTATCTGAACAGACTAAAAAATAACTGGTTAACTTTAAAAAAAAAAAAAAACCTGCTTAATAATATATAAATATCTTGATAAGAATGAACCAATATGACTTCGGAGTGTCTAGAAACTCTTAGATTAATTATAACAACATGGTGACAGGTTTTTCAAGGTACTTTCTAAACTCAGCAAGCCACTGTGCTCCAACAGCTCCATCCACAACCCGATGATCACAACTGAGTGTAACAGACATCATGCTAGCCACATCAAATCTAGAAAAAGATAAAACATAATTAAGTATTCTGAGTGCAATCACTAGATTTTAGTAACCAGCCCAAATGCCAACTTCTTTTTTTTTTTTTTTTTTTTAAGATTTATTTTTATTTATTTATTATATTTATTTATTTATACAAGCACTGGGTACAGTTAGAAGCGCGGGAGGGTGAGAGAATTCACCAGAGCCAGAGCAGGGAGCAGAGCAGGCAGAAGGACCGAAGTACACTGCTGAGGGGAGCAGCGGGCGGCAGGAGGGGTCTGCGCGCCATGCGGGACCCTCCTCCAGTGGCCGGGGAGCAGCTGGGGATCAAACCCGCGTTGCAGAGGCTGATGGCAGCTTCGCAACCCAGCGCTCAACCGCTGCGCCACTGGGGAGGCCCCCAAATGCCAACTTCTATCCCACAATCCCAATCTGGTAATGTTATTTCCCACCTATCATTTATGTCTCCTATACCACTAGCTCAAAGTAGTAGCTTGAAAACAAAGACCAAAACAAGAGCATGGGTAAGCAAACTAAAGGTTAAAAAGGTCAAATAAAAATTTATTTGAATTCATTTATGTATTTTCTATGCCTGCTCTCACACTTCCATGGCAGAGTATTTGTAAGAAACTATATGATCCAGAAAGCCTAAAATATTTACCAGCTGGATCTTTAAGAAAAAGAGACCTGATTCCTGAACTTAGTGTAAATAAGACTGCTTTTGGTAAAAGAGGAATTGCTACTCTAAGAATCTTTTTTTCTATACTTATTTCTGATTCTATCTAAACCTCCAATATACCATGTCAATAAATATAAACTTGAAATGCAAAGCCTCATACAAAATAATGAAAATTAGTTTACAGTTCTCTCTTCATTTTTGGTACTTACCCTTTTTCATTATCTGCAGGAACCAGCCTATCCTCTGAAGCACCAATTGCCAAAATACATGCCTGAGGTGGGTTAATAATAGCAGAGAAGTTCTTAATTCCAAACATTCCTAAGTTGGATATTGTAAAAGTGCCACCCTATAGGGAAAAAAAGATTAAAAAACAGATTGCGTTAATTATGTGTCAAAATAAATCAGAAAAAAATGAAAAGATGTAAAGAGAACCTTTTACTTTGTTCTAAGGCCTCTGAACTACCAAGATGACCTTTTACTTTGTTTTAAGGCCTTTGAACTACCAGGAAAAGGAAAATGTTAAGTATACGAGGTGATAAATGTTAACTAGCTAGAGTATATTGATATTTCATAATGTATACATATATGAGAACATCAAGTTGTACAATTCAAATAGATACAATTCCTATTGGAAAATTATATTTCAATAAAGTTGAAAGAAAACAGAAAAAGGACTGAAGGGAATATATATTTTACTGAAACGATTATAATATGAACAAAAGTCAGTTGGGTGGCTTCTGCATACTAGTTGGAAAATGTCTTATTTTCAACTTTTGATAGACTGCTCATTTTTTATTTTCAGGACCTTGTATCAGTGCAAATACATGGCATAATCAAAGAACAGAAAATGGAGTAAAAGCATAACGCCCAACTTAAAAAGTAACATAATTTTTAACAATAAGGTAAACAAATACCTGGAACTCATGTGGCTGTAGTTTACCCTCTCTTGCTTTGGTTGCTAAAGAAACAACATCATTAGCAATGGTTTCCAGTCCTTTTATATGTGCATTAAATACAATAGGTGTGATGAGTCCTGCAGGAGTACTAACCGCAACACTGATATCAACAACATGATTTCTATTTAAGAAGAAAAAAAGAGAAGGAAATCTCAATAATCAACAATGCCTATTTAGAACTTATATGTCAGGTTAAGCATGAATACCCATATTTACTTCAGTTTGAGTTTGTGCTGCAGTTACATCAGAGATATATTTCCTAGATTTTATATTTTGCCATGCTCTATCCTTGACTTGCACTTTGAAAACTGAGCACCACATCAGTCACATGCCACCATAATACTAACAAATATAGTTTTTGGTTTTGTTTTCAATCCTGACCCCCTTAAAATCTAGCACAACTAGTTAGTGAACAAAAAGGATTTACTCTGCTTTGTGAGAATTATCAACTTAATCATACATACCTGTACACTTACCTCTTTTTCCTGAACTCTATCTCATAAGTAGCTTTGTTTGCCTGTGGAAATGAACTCATCCCCTGCTGTGTATTCCATTTCTCTTTATCCCTTACACTCCCAGTTAAACATTAAATAACACAAGAAAACTGCTGACGAAATACACTTTCTCCAGAAGGGCTATACTTACTGTCTGATTACTGTGTCCAACCAAGAAGAATTTGCTTCAGGAACTTTTAAACATGCTAAAGCTGATGCTTTTATGATGAAGTCATTGACAGAAATTTTGCTTTTCCCTTCTAACATCTGCAAAGACAAGAAGCCATTGTAGTAATATGTAAATTACACTTGAACAAAGTAGGCTAAAAGAACTGAATAAAATAATACACTGGACATATATGTTTCATGCCTAATTTCAAAGTAAATTTATTAGAAAATAGCTTTAATATTTTGACAATAAAAGTATGCCATCACTTTTAACCTGTTTAGCCAGTTACAAAGCTCTGCTGATGCTTCATTTCTTCATTCATCTGTTCATTTATTCATCTAATATTTGAAAGTCTATTTTGTGCTGTGCATATAACTCTATAGTCCTGGATATAAAGCAGTGGGAAAAAAAGATAAAAACTACTCTCAAGGAGAGTATATACCAAAAGAGAATCCAGGAGTATGACATCATACTGACTCGGCTAGGCTAAAATGGATCCATGGCAAAGTCAGTTTCAAATGATATGTTTTAATCAAGAGTTAGGAAACAAAAACTTTCCAGGATGTTCTCTGCAAGTTAAAATTGACACATCCACTTCCTATCATCAATTGGCATATTCTAACAAAAAATAGGGGCAAAAATATAAATGCTTGGTGGGAAAAATCAAAATTTTCAGAATTTATAGAGTTGGAATTTTCAGACCTTTTACCTTATTAAGTTCTTTCCGTACCAACAAAACTTCTCCCATATTTACATCAATAGAAAGGTAATAATGAGGTATGGTCTGCTTAGACTGCATTAACCGCTGGGCAATAACCTAAAACGAAGAGATTAAAAAATCAATTATCTTGAGTTGAGATCTTACCCTGTCTGCCCCTTCACCCCACTTTCTCAGTAAGGCTTACCACAAGTATTATTTGGATTAGAAAATGGAGGACTACACCATAACTTAGCTCCTTCTAAGAGTATTTAATCAGAACATAGTTTTCGTTTATCCCAAACATTTAAATGGTGAAACCAAACATCTCTTTAATCATCTAAGATTCTCAACTAAAAAAAATCCCTGTTACTGTTTCAAACTACAAGTGCAATTAAACAGTCTGAGAACAGATGCCTCCAAAAGTTTTGGTTCCAGATTTATGGTAATACTCTTACTCGACGAATGTTGCTGATAGGGATATCTGTGAAGACACCTGTAGGAACTGGTGCCACTCCTGGAGCCGGAGGAGGCACAGCAGCTGCCGGAGCCTGTGGATTGAAAACAGTTCATAGTAACTGTGGTTCAATCTTAGCATAAGCACCAGATTTCAAGTGATAGTGACTCTTTTACAGACCACAACATAAAAGTTAAAAGGCTTATATAAAAATAAACATCTTGGGCCTCCCCGGTGGCACAGCGGTTGAGCGCTGGGTTGCGAAGCTGCCTGCAGCCTCTGCAGCGCCAGTTCAATCCCCGGCTGCTCCCCAGCCACTGGAGGAGGGACCCACATGGCGCGCAGACCTCTCCTGCCGCCCACTGCTCCCCTCAGCAGTGTACTTCGGTCCTTCTGCCTGCTCTGCTCCCTGCTCTGGCTCTGGTGAATTCTCTCACCCTCCCACACTTCTGACTGTACCCAGTGCTTGTATAAATAAATAAATAAATCTTTAAAATAAATAAATAAATAAATAAATAAATAAATAAATAAATAAATAAATAAATAAATGAATAAATGAATAAAATAAACATCTCTATCCCAAAGGAGTAAAAGGAACTCAGATTTGGACTGCTTAAGATTTTGTTTTTTAATTTTTATACTTAGAATTTTGTAATCAGTTTTAAGTGTCATTCTTCTTGAAGCCAGAGCTTACATTAAAATTATTTTGTGTAAAATTTCTTCAAGAAAAACAACTGAAGTATTCTTAAATTGAAAGAATTAGAAGATAAATATAAACCAGGTAATCCATTTTCTTTAAGTGTTTAAAACAATGACAAATCTTTATTTCTAGCTGATATCCATGTGTCTTAATCAAACAGAAACTGGACACATGTATTAAATCTCTGTGTGAAATAAAAAACTACATACATAAAACTTAATATTCAGTCCAACAATTTGCAAGCATGCTTCTAAAAATAGGGCCTGAGGCCTCCCTGATGGTGCAGGGATTAAAGTCTCAGCGCTATCAAGCTATCACTAGCCACTGCAGCCTAAGTTCAATCCCAGGCCAGGGAACTAAGCCACATGGTGCAGCAGACCTCTCCTGTCTCGCCACTGCTCCCCTCAGCAGTGTATTTCAGTAGATCCTCCTATTCTGGTTCCCACTCTGTCTCTGGTGAATCCCCTCACTCCCCACACCTCTGGTCTACACTCCAGTTCTTGTATGCATAATAAAATAAATAATTTTAAAATAAAAATGGGGCCTGAATTAGGAAGGACAATGATAGAAAAAATTTAGAGTCACCATTCAGAAAAAAGAAAATTTGGAAAGCAGGTAGTATATCATTTTTGCTTTTATACATGAATGACAGCATATTCATATCTATGTATTCCTAACCACTGGAGTTAGGGAAAACACAGTTCTGGCTATTCTTTAAGTATGAAATACTGTATGAAAAGATCTAATAGGTTGAACAAGTCTCTTGCCCCAGTAAAAATTGAAATATAAGTAAGCTGAATATAACTCACAGGAGCAGCTTTAGTAGGCACAAAAGAGTCAATGTCTTTCTTGATGATTCTGCCTTCTGGTCCCGTCCCTGGAAGAGACACGTAAGTATCACAAATATGAGGCATATCAATGGTTCTTCCACATCAGCACTATAATCATGAAGGGAAGGGTTCTCTACCAAAAACCTTCTGAAGGGATGATTGTCTTCACCCTTGGAAAAACCAGCTTTTGTTAAGTATTAATTTGAATTCACAGAGTGCTCTTGCTTGATTTGTACTGGTTCTTTTCTTTTTAACTACAGCGTGTTATTCTCTTATTTTTAGTATTTCTTTTAGAATTTGCTACAATTAAGTTGTACTTTTAAACTAGGAAATCCCAGCAAAATGATAATGCTGAGTACAATTTACACTTCCAAAATAAAATCTAGCTGCCTCTTCCTGCTTAGCTCCAGAAAACCCTTTCTGAAACCTGAACTAAAATCAACCTCATTTAGGCTCTAGATTCATTCCACCATGCACAATTCCCTTTATACAAAGTTAACAAATATGATAACAATTGTTTTGGACAAAGCAGACAAGTCCATTTTTCTAACCCTAACTCTCATCTTTCAAATTACCTCATCTTTCAAATCATTCATTATTTATATGGTCTCCATCATTCACAGCTTGCTCAAAAAAGCCAAGGCTGTATGTTAGAGAAAAACGTGCAATGCACACATGAGAAAAGATCTTTGAAGTTTTTAAATAGGCTTAATTATATACATTCGATTTCCTTCTCCCATACAAAATCTGTTAGGTTTGACTGTAGACACAGTAGACAATCCTGAACCTACCTCTAAGGAGATTCAGAATTTAGTTATCAAAATACCTTTTACACTGGCCCCCTTCTAGAAAAAAAAGAAACTGGTCAAATGATTCATCACCCCCCAGGGCATACTTTTAAAGGGACTCTCATGTGCAGTTCTTCTCAACTCTTTTCTTTCATTACTAAAATTGAGTTGGCTAGGATCGTTTATCCTTACCAGAAGCTCTAGAACAAAGGTGGCAGCACTCCTATTAGATACCCAGCCTTTATAGAAGACAGAAATCATAACCTCCCCTTACAACCAAGGCTGACCTGGACACTGCAGTCCCTCAAGAGGAAGAAAGCTGTAGTATTATTGCCTTAAACTAAGCTTTAGCCACTCACGGTAATTCCATAACTATTAGGAGTTAGTGGAAATCCTTTAAATTCTTTTGCCTATCTCCCTAAGAAGGGACGACAGGCCATCATAAAGCAATATGGTATAACGGGGAAAGGTCCAGACTAAAAGTAGAAAATATTGGGTTGTTATAAAAAGAATGTAAACTAGACAGATAATTATAGTCACTTAATCTCATCTGGCCTTTAATCTTATTGGCAGAATAGATATTATAGTACCAGCCTCTGGTCACAGAAATTCTGTGATAAAGATAAAAAGGGGTAACAATGAGAAAGTGTTCTGCATCAAAGACACATAAAGCATTACGTGAGTAGTCTTGAAGCAAGTCAAATTCTTATTAGCACTTAGGTTTTGACACAGTTTCTCCCCGAAATGATTCCATTTTGATCAAATTTGCTAAGCAATCTGTCCCTTCACAGAGGGGAGGCGGACTGAAGATTGAGTCCAATAACCAAAAGCCAATAATTTAATCACTCTTGTTCTCATAAAATGTCCATGCTCATGGATAGAAAGAATCACTATCATTCAAAATAACTATGCTGCCTAAAATAATACACAAATTTTAGGCAACCCTCATCAGAATACCAGGAATATTATCCCCATCAAAATACCAGCCTTAAATACCAGAGAAAATGAACAAAAAAAGAAAGAAATTTATAACGAAACCACGAAAGGCCTCAAATTGCAGAAGCAACCCTAAGAAAGAAGGAGAATGAGAACTATCAGCACCTGACTTCAAAGTTTACTATAAAGCAGCTGTATTAAAAACCACAAAAAGAGACATGGAACTAACAAAATCAAAACTCCAGAAATAAATCCACATACATACCAGCACCTAATCTGTGATAAAGCAGCTGTGACCATAAAAGGGGGGAAAGGAGAGTCTCTTTAATAAAAGGTGCTGGGAAAATTGGATAGTCACATTTAATAGACATTAAGTTGGATCCTTGATAATTCCATCTAAAAAGGTAAACTCCAAATGATTTAAAGATTTAGATATAATACCTACATCAATAAAATATAGAAGAAAACACTGACAATATGTTCCTGTGGCAACAGGAACCCCTGTGGCAACAGAATTAAAAACAAACTACTGGGAGCACCCCAAGTTAAAAATCCTTGTACAGGGCCTCCTTGGTGGCGCAAGGGGTTAAGCAACACACTATGAAGCAATCCGCAGCCTCTGCAGCGCGAGTTTGATCCCTGGCCAGCCAGGGAGCAACCCACATGGCGCAGCAGACCTCTCCTGTCTTGCCCGCTGCTCCCCTCAGCAGTGTGCTTCAGTTGGTCTGCCTATTCTATTCCCCGCTCTGTCTGGTGAATCCTCTCACCCCTGAATCTCTGGCCAGTACCCCAGCTCTTGTATGCATAAATAAATGGATCTTTAAAAACAAACAAACAAAAAAGCCTTTACAGTATAAGAAAATCTAAGACAATTAAATAAAAGAAAACATTTATACAATATATAACTAACAAGGCATTACTATCCAAGGTACAATTCAACAATAAAATAACAAGAAACCCAATTAATAAATGGGCAGCCAAAATGAACAGATAATTTACCAAAGAGAATATGCAGAAGGTCATCAAAAGACATGAAAAAATGTTCATCACCACCTCTAATAAGTGAGATACAAATTAAAAACACAATGAGATACCACCTCATCCTGTGAGAATGGCACATATTAAAAAGAATCCCAACAGTAAGTATTGGAGAAGATACAGAGAAAAGGGAACTGGTGAACATGTAAACTGGCACAACCATCATGGAAAATCAATCTGGATTTATCTTAAAAAACTAAAAATAGAAAAACCCTATGAAAAGTTAATTCCATTCTTGGGCCTATATCCACAAAATGTAATACCATATACAAAAACCAACCAACCCCCTTCTGTTCTACAACATTCACAGCAGCATTATTTACAATAGCTAGGACATGGGAGCAATTTGGGTCAAGAAGACAGGGTCTACACACCATGGAGTATTATGCAACCATAAGAAAGAATGAAATGTGGCCATTTTCAAAAAAATGAAGGAAATCTGAGAATTATGTTCAGCAACACAAGTAGAATGATAAAAATAAATACTGGACATTTGCATAGCAGATAATGTGATTGCATAAAACACTTTTAAAAAGCCACTGGACATCAGTGAACACCCTGAGAGCGAGGGGAGGGAAAGAGACAAGGGGATGCAAGAAATGATGCATCCACCAAAACCAAAACCAAAGCAGAGGGAACACTAAAAGCTCATTCAGTCTTGAAAAAAGATTTGAGTGCTCACAATAAATATTAATAGATGGAAAGACAGAGATACAGACAGATAAAATCACTCTAAGTAGCCCACAAAAAAGTACATATAGGCTGACTGTACTATAAATCCAGAGCCACAACCTAACCACAAATTATGGCTCCCTTAAATTCACTTTCCCAATCTATAAGAGCATTATTTCACAATCCCTCTACCCTCAAACCTCCCCACTCATTCCCCAGCTGATATCCTCACTTCATACTTTATTGATCAAATAGTAGCAGCGAGAGATTAACTCTCATCTTCTATGACCAAACCTATAAATGTCCTTTATTCTCTGCTCCCATAAAAAGACAAAATGTCCCTTATTACTATCAAGTCAAGACTATCCCATAAACTTTGTTCCTTATCAAATTATTCTGCCCTTCCTCCCTTTCCGCATCATCTTTTTATTCCTTTCTATCAGACCCCTGGTTACCAACCAGGGCAATTTGCCACACCCAGGGAACATCTGGTAATATCTGATGATATTTTTTTTTATTATTTCTCATAAAAATAAAAAATATCTCATGATATTTTTGGTAAAGCAGGGGTACTTCTAACATCCAGTGGATGGAGGCTACTAGGACAACACCCTATAATGCACAGGATACATCCCCAACAAAGATTTATTCGGTCAAAAATGCCATTAGTACCACAGTTGAGAAACTTTATGCTAAGCTCAAGATACTATTACTTATTTTCAAAAGCCCTCTCTTGAGCCCATTTTCTCAGTTTTTATGTCTTGCTTCATAGCAAAGCTTCTTGAATGAGTTGACTACAATGTTTTCTGTACTTCATCCACTTTTCAAGTGATACAGACTAGATTTTATTGCACTGTTCTCCTGAAGTTATGGTTGACAAGCCCCCAAATCTAGTCCTTGACTAAGTTCTGTTGTATGTTAATGTATCTTAAAGCTGTTGACTGTCACCATTCTTGTCTGAGCCACAAACATCAGCTCTGGCAAAAGCATCTTAAAAGGTGCCTTGGCTTTCACGTAATCCATTTCCACAGAGCAGTCGAAACGCTCTTCTAAATGATATATATCATTTTAGGTCACTTCCTTGCTTTAATTTTTGAATGACTTCCTATTGCACTTAAAATTCAAATCTATCACAACCTATAAGGTCCTGTGTGTTCCTACCCCTATGTTTCTTTCCAACCTCATTGGCTACCACTAGCCCTTTTGCTCACTTTTGCTCCATTATACTGTTCTCCTTTGAGCTCTTCAAACACGCCAGGTTCTTTTCCACTGTAGACTATGTACTCTGGTCTCTTTACCCAAAAAATGCTTTTACTCCAGTGCTTTACTTAAGAACTGACTCCTCAGCTTTCCGATCAGATCAAATATCATTACAAAGATATTCCCCAACTATGCTGTCTAAAAGCAGTCCTAATTACACATATATCTACCCTAGAAAAATCACTCAATTTATTTCTTTCTTAGCAATTAAATCATCTAAATAATCTTTTTAATAAGTATCATTAAAGCTAATACCTATACAATACTTTCTATGTGCAGCACTGTTGACTATTTAATTCTCATAAAAAGCACTATTTTAAAATAGAACTGAAGAAACTGGGACACATAAGGGCATACAACTAGTGCACGGCAGAGCTGGGATTCAAATCCAAGCAGTCGAGTTCCAAAGCCCACACCCTTAATTACTATGCTGTACATCCTTTCTGTTCCTTTCTTTCCTTATTGCTTATATGGGTAATACAAGCAACTGAAACTGAAATATTGTCTGTTATATAAATGTGACATATGTTGATAATACTCAGTGAACATTTATTTAAATAATAAATAAACCACATAATGCTGCCTGCATAAGAATATTGGGATTTTTCCACTTTTACCTTTAGTAAGTTAATAAGCATTGCTAAATATCTAATAAATGACCCTTTGTTTAAATTGTTCAGATATAATTACTAACCTTATTATACAATCCAGTCCTATAACCCAACTTGGCTGATCAAGAGCATTAACTTCCACCAACAATAAAGCATTTCCCATGAATAGAGAAGGCGGGGGGGAAGCTATTTCAATTGTCTGCATCCCAGACAGATTAGCTCAAAATGTTTCCCTTCTCTGCAGGGATAACAAAAGAAATATTTCCCTCCTTCACCCTTCTCCCCACTATCCCAGTCAAGATGACTATATACAGTTGTACATGCTGGTCTTAAGGAGGAAATTCAACTAAATTTTAACTATATAGTCCCATTCTACCGAAAAAGATTTACCTTTTACTTGTGTAAGGTCAATCCCTTTCTCGGCTGCCAATTTCTTTGCAAGAGGGCTAACAAACAACCTCCCCTTTGGTCCAGCAGGCATAGCTGGGCGAGTGGCTGAAGGTGTAGGGGCTACAGGTTGGGGAGTTGGAGGAACAGAGGCCACCTTTTGAGAAAAGTCACAAATTATAAATTTACCACTGCAAAGGTTGGTCTGAAAGATCAGTAGTTTCAATTAAGTAGCTTTCACCTTTGTTCCAAATGTAATGCATAACCTGCTTAACCAGTGATATGGCAATAGGAATAGTAGTAACAATACTTTATATCAAAGACAGAAAAAAGTCAAGTTATCTTACTCTGTGATAACATAGAGGCAGGGAATTTAACACTGCTGACAGTATATGATAGCTTTACAGCCTTTTTTCACTTTAATCTCTTGCCGCATTAATGATTCTCTTACATCACCAACATGGTTTTTGTTTTTAATCTAATTTCAAAACACAAAATCATGCTGGATGGTTCCATTTTGAAAGTACCTTAAGAAATAAACCAAGGTTCCATGTTGAAAGTACCTTAAGAAATAAACCAACACTGCTATTTGTCAGTTCTACATAAGTGTATGACAGTCAGAAACCAAGTTTTCTCTTGAAACAGGTACTCAAATGAATCTAGCCTCTTCAGAAGCCTAATTATGGTGTTATTAGTGCTTCTACTTCATATAAGCTTGTTACAGGTACACAGTGTACAGTATATATGTATACATATAGAATGTAAAGACTGAATTCTATTCAAAACAGGGTATGCAAGGTCAAGATTCCAATGTATTGCAAACATAAACTTGCTCTACCATAATATGTAAAATACCAAGGGACAGAAACTGTAAATTCTACTGAAAACACAGAACAAAGCATTATCCTCCCTAAGCAGATCTATACCTCAAGCAGAAAAAGAACATGTCACTTAAGTTTTGTTCTTGGCTGGACTCAAGGCAGCAGGAAAAAAGAATCAAACTATTGAATATTAGGTGAATGGCCTAGTGCCACACACTTTACAGGCCTCCACAAATGTTAACTGCCTCCTTTATTCACAGGCTCTTAGAACTAAAATATTATCTAATCCATTTTCCATAATTTAGAGATGAATAAGGTAAGTGTTCCTTTATATCTAGAAGCATACCTACCGGGGTTGGGGGTGGAGGAGGTACTTGTGGTTTTAAATCAGTTACTTCAGTTGGCCTATAGTCAGCAAAGGCTGGAATATCTGCCTCTTTTTCTACAATGATACAAAGTGGGGTTCCTAGAGGGACATCTCTTGTCCCTTCTGGAATCAGGATTTTTGCCAGGTAACCTTCTTCTTGCACTTCAAAACCTTGAATAGAAAGAAAAATTATTAAGAGACTTAAAGAACGCCAATATACCACTAAACTCAAAGAAGGATTTAAGTAAAAGACTTCTCTGGCAAACAAGCTACATAGTCTTTTTGTAAGCTATTTAATCTTAGTGTCTCGCTTCTTTACCTAAAGTAAAATGGGGATAACAGTAACATTCTCACAGGAAGATTATAAAGATTCAATGAATTAATACTTTCCAAGTATTTAGAAACAGTACTTAGTACAAAGCAAATACTAAATAATTGTCTGCTAAATAAAACATGAGCACTAACAGGTTAGTTCTGAGAGTTGTTCTTAAACACATCTCCAATGGCAGTCCCTACAAAGACACGAGAGACTCCAAGATGACACCAGGTGTACTGGTAAATATGACATCAGCTATGCTGTTAAAGACCAGAACCACAAGGATGTTAAATTGAGGAGCAACCACCTGGATAGTGGTGTGAGACTACACACCTAAAAGCATCTTTGGAGCTTTTTAGAGAGGTTAGACTTGGAATTACACTAAATATTTAAAGAAATATAGCATAACTATAACTATATAGTATTGACAACTTACACTTTACCAGTTACTGATTTTTTTCCAAGGAACTTAAATATAAAGCGTTAACAAAAGTAAAACTCAAAGAAGCCATCTGCAGAGTAGATCTGCCTTCTGGATCTTGGCTTCCTGTAACATTGTGCCTCTTTGAGGAACACATCTTTGGGAATCCTTCCATTTCTCAATTGGGAATTAATAGCCAATAAAAGATGTTTAAAAAGAAGTGACTCCAAGGTCACAATCCAGTTTAAAGAGTTTCACCAAAGTTATACTTCCCCAGAGACTAGAGTCTCTAAAATACCAGTCTGTATGGAAACACTGGTATACAAATTAACAGAAACCTTTCATCCAATAAAATCTTCTGGGGAAACACAATGCACAAAAAGATAAAAACGAATTGCTTCGTGGAAGTGGAAAAGGGGACAGGGCACAGTGGAGCCCTGCTTATTAAGCTTTCCTTCATGCCAAGATGCCATCACGAGCCATGGGATTTGAAGAACCATCCAAAACACCCACTTCAGAAGATGCCCACAAAATCTCTTGCTACATCTCTGGGGACTGGGCAGGGAATAAACAGTATTTACAAATATCGTATTTGTATTTACGAACAGTATTTACAAATATTTATAAATATCACACAAATATACAACTGGATTTTGTTTCTGAGCATAAAAAACAGAACAGGAGCACAATGTGTAATCTAAACACACATGTGTGTAAACATACATATATACACACACGTGTGATAGAATACACACACACACAAAGATCAAACTATGAAAGTCTAAACCCTGGCTTCAGTTTTTCCCCAGTCATCTTAAATTCTTTGGCATTTTCCTGCTTGAAAGTTATTTTTTCCTGTTTCCTCTATTTTCTCCCAATACCCAATTTAGATTACAGCAGTTCTGATATAGCTTTCCAGTAACATAATAAGTCTAAGAAGCAAAGTCTGGCTTAAAATTAATCTAAGTTGATATTCCTTGATTCAGTGAGAGTGCAATATGAAAGTGGTAAGTCTGACTATATACATTTTTGTTATGAGATACTTTGTTCCAGGAAATGAATGCCAAGAATTAAAATTTTGCATGTTATCACTCACTCATTTTAAGATAGGACAGCAATCCTCCCTCTTTCCTCAATGGGAAACTTAGTGCCTCAACCATTAAAAAATTGAAGAAATCTCACCTATAGTGGCCTTATCAGTCTCTATCTCTGCCAATAAGTCTCCTTCATTTAGCTTCTCACCCACTTTTTTTTCCCATCTCTGAACTGTGCCCATGGTCATTGTAGGAGAGAGGGCAGGAAGAACCACCTGTGAAAGCAAACACATATTATTGCTCAATATTAGGCTAACTTGGATACAATGGCACCCAGGCAAGATTGAACAGTTTTATGGTAGGATAGTGACTATGACAATCCAAATTCCCATCTGCCTGATACACCAGAAAAGCTAAAGCTGAGTGCCTCAGTAGTATCCTATCAGTTAAATCTCAAATTTTACAGAATCAACTATATTCCAACCCACTCTCTAAAGTTAAAAGCAATAGGCAAATGGGAAAGAACTCTCTCTAGACAGTGAAAATTAATTCCTTGGCAAATATCTAAGCACACAAAATCTTTTCATCCTAATACTTAGACTAAGCTAGAAGTTATTTCCACAAAATGATCTTGGTCCAGACTATTCAATTAAAATTTTGCTGTGCTCTATATTAGGCCTATCTCTTTACTCAGAGGAAGTGCTTTTCTCCCAAGCTTCACAGATACCTTTACAAGATTTAAAACAGAACAAAACAAAACAAATCGCCAACAACAATTAATATTAAGAATTGGTCTTACAACAGTCAATAAAGTCCAAATATCAGGTTTTCTGGTCTAAATTAAAAATGTTTTCCTATTTATATGGCCTGTACATCTACTGAATTAGGACTCTTATTTAGTTATTACAGATTTTTGAGCTGTCGTCTTAGTTTTTTGTATCTAATTAACAACAGAATTATGCAGAGAGAAAAATAATTTTAATTGATGCTGTCTCAGGAAGGCAGGGGAAAAAAGTAAAGACTTATAACTCTAATACTTTTTTTTTAAGTTTTTCTTGTTTAGAATTGTCTTCTTCACTACTTCTTAAAAATTAGTGAAGCCAATAATCTCTACAAACTATTTTAAAGAGTGATTAAGATATACCCCTAATACTTGCACACAAACCCATGGACATAAAAGGGGGAGAAATGAAATGAGTTGTATGTAACGAGATAGAAACTGCTGTACAGTATAAAACAAATGTGTGAATGAACATCAGGCAAAATTTCATCATTTGTGATTGTTAATACTAGATCATGAAGTAGAACATTATTTCCAAAGTAGAAAATGATTCCTACACAGAAATATTCACAAATAAATTAAGTGAAGGAAAAGTTTTACTCTTAATTCTTCAGAAAAATGACAGTTGGTTTTTATCCATTTCCAATGACTGAACACACAAATGTACATGGGATAACCCTAATAGCTAATAAACTGATATGTTCTGACATACTATTTAGTTAATAGAATCAACAGTGAACAATAACTTCAGCTTTGTTGCAATGCTAGTATACTGATTTATTTTACGCTCACGCTGTCAGTTTTCTCATTTATTAATATCATAGTACTCCTTTACCAACTGTTAGGAAACATGTCAAAGGAAAACACAAATTGGGGATTTTCATTCAACAGCCAGCACTTGGGACTGATTAAAACCTCTATTAATACAGGGAGTAGACGCAAGTACAAATGATCCTGAAAACCTAACATAATGTTCTTGAATGAAAAGTTCCAAAAACTGAGGCTGAGAAAGTAACTTGTCCAAATTTACTCACCAGGAAATAACTAGTAACAAAAATGATCACTTTTTACGTTAAAATCTCTGTTTACTTCCAAATGACAAGAGCTAGTCACATTTGATGCCAATTTCTAGAATGTGATAGCCAAAAAATGAAATAAAATGAAAAATTATCTAGAGCAAACACTCAGAGGCTGAGCCTCACCTGCATGTGAGTGGGATATGAGCTACCAGGAGCCTGAGCAGAAGGTGTAGGTGGCGAAGCAGTAACAGCAGGGGTTGGTGCTGGGGCTGCCTGTGGGGTGGGTGCTGCCGAGGAATCCAATGTATAATTTTTAAAGGCCTCAACATCCTCAGGCCTAAGGAAGAGAAAGAATGCATAAATATAAGGGGATTATAAAGCAGATTTAGCTCCTACAGAAGTAGCCTTAGAAGCCTTTAACACCTAATTTTTCAATTCTGGGTTAAAATACTCTACTAAGCATAAGGTAAGTTCCACAACTTACCAAGGAACTACTCACTTTTCAACTGTAATACAGATGATGGCTCCTATTGGCACATCTCTGGTACCTTCAGCAACAAGTATCTTTGCCATGTAACACTCCTCCAGGCTTTCAAATCCAACGGTGGCTTTATCCGTTTCAACCTTTTAACAAAAAAGCAGGAGCTTAGGCTTGGACTGCTAGTATAACTTTTATTAGCCTGTGTCTAAAATCATACAGTTAAGCATTCAAGTGAAGATAAAGCCTCTATCACAGATCTGAAAGAAGGAATTTTTTTTTTTAAGTTGTAGCTAAAAACCTATTTGGCGGGCCTCCCTGGTGGCACAAGGGGTTAAGACGCAACCTATGAAGCTGTCTGCAGCCTCTGCAACCCGTGTCTGATCCACCTGATCCACCGAGTCTGATCCACCTGATCCACCGCCAGGGAGCAACCCACAAGCATGGCAGACCTCTCTCCTGACTCTCCTGACTTGCCCGCTGCTCCCCTCAGCAGTGTATTTAGATCAGTCTGCCTGTTCTGCTCCCCACTGTCTCTGGTGAATCCTCTCACCCCCCCCCCCCCGCCTGTACTCCAGCTCTTGTATGCATAAATAAATAAATCTTTTAAAAAATGAAAAATAAAAACCTATTTGGCAAGCTGCTGACAACTTATCGAACCAATCACCTCCAACAGCGAGTTGCAAGAAAAATTGCGTTACTTAAGCAAAAGGGAAGACTAACCACCCAGAAAGTTAATGCTCAGTTCTTTCCAATTCATTTCCATACTGTAAAACAACATACCTCTGCAATCAGTTCACCCTCATTGATTTTTTCGCCTTCCTTTTTTTCCCACCGGGCTATAGTGCCTGCCTGCATTGTGGGGGAAAGAGAAGGCAATGGAACCTAGAAGAGAAAAAAAGTGAAACACTAAATTTAAAAGGGCTGTCTCACTCTCGGTCTGGTTTAATGTTTCATTCAATTAAATGTAACTTAATGCAACGAGTATATACTGCGTCCCCTCTCAGGCGGGGCACACGGGATGTCAAGGGAGTTCCTACCACCACAAAGTTGTTGCTCTCCAGGCTTCCTGTGGGTCTGACAGGGCACAGACCTCTGCACACTTTCCACCCACAGGCCCACACGTTCGGAGCTCGTCTTTCAATGGAACAGACGGCGAGGGGGAGGCTCAACAGCAAAAGCAAAGCTGGGTCTTGGAGAAGGGGCCATGACATATACTGGGAGTGGAGAATCCCTGAGGCCTTTGGGGAAGAATCTGGAGACCAAGAAGCCTGCCCTGAAGGACAACGGGGTGCCGCGAAGGGCAGATCTGGCGCTCACCTTCTGATGCGGGGGGAGACTGTAGCAGCGGCGGCCTGGCCCCCCGAACAGCTGCAGCAGGAGGCGACTCCGCGGCGCGGCCCCGCGGCTGAGGCTGCAGCCGCTGAGCGCCCGGACCCCGCCGTACCCCGCGGTCACGCTGTGGCCATGAGCCGCAGCCGGGCCGGTGCGCAGGGTCGCGCCCGGGGCCCCGGGTCTCTCCCTCAAGGCCGTCCCCTGGGCCCCGAACCCAGCCCCGGGGGCCACATTCCGGGCCCGTCGCGCACAGACGCGCCACATCGTGCCGCCGACCCCACACGCCCCAAGCCCAGCGCGTCTCCGGAGTGACCTCTCCGGGCGCGGCGCCGCGCAGCCGTCAGCCACGCCGCGCAGCCGCGCGCTGTCGTAAAGCCGCCCCGGCCGCGCCCCCGCCCCCGCCCCCGCCCCTCGCGCGCGGGCGCGAGCGGCGCGACGCGGTGCGACGCGGCGCGAGCCGGAGAGCGGGCGCGGGGGGCGGGGGGGGTTGTGGGGCACGGCCGGGAGTTTGGGACTAGGGCCCGGCCCGAGACCCGGGAAAGGCAGGCCTGCGGGCAGCACGGGCCAGAGCGCGGGACGGCCGACGGGGAGGGGCCGCGGCGGGCGCGGGCTGATGGCGGCGCAGTGGGCTGACCCGTGGGCTGAGGGGAGGGGCCTCGCTTGGCGGAAAAGCCGGGGACGGAGCCCGAGCCCCGGCCGGGCGCCCGAAGCCTGAGGCCGCGGGGCTGGGCGGGGGATCCCCCTTCACCCCCACCCCCGGCAGGGAAGCGCCCGAGGTCCCGGGAATCCAGGCGTTTGGGTGCTGCGCCCGCCGCCCCGGCTGCCCCGCGGGTTTGGGGGCTCCTCCTTTGCGCTCGTCCTGGCTTACGGGGTTCTCGTTTCAGGGGTGTAGCCCCAATTGTTAGGGGGAAAAGGATGTCCCAAAGCTAATTCCATATAGGCTTTGTGGACTCCACCCCCACCCCAAGCCAAAGCCAAAGACACGGGGAACTCCAAATCCCATCACCACCAAAGGGAAGGTGGCTGGGACCTGAGGGTGGGGTTAAGTAGCCAGGTGGATAGAAAAGGCAGACACGTGGGCTTTGGGGGTCCCCCATTTTTGGCTCTCCACCAGCTCGTAGCGTTCGGCCAGCTTTGAGAGTGACTTTGGGTTTTCAGGTCGTCGGATTGGGTAGGACGCATTAGCTTTGGGACATCCTTTTCCCCCTAACACAACCAGAAACCAGAGGGAGCAGGTTTTCAGGCCCTGTGGTGTGAAGGGCTGCCAAGAGGAAGGTGCTTTCCCACCTTTACCAAACCTTGTAGCAGGATTAAGCCCTGTACTAAGAGACGGGTTTATAAAGCAGATGTGCGGCTGGGATTTGCAGAAGAATTACTGCAAAGAGCCACGCCTTTGTTATGCTTAGTGTATTTCGTACTAAAACTAAGCCCTCAGCCGGTGAGGGCTGGAAGCATGTCGATTGTTCTTCCATGTGACCCGGTTTAGTATCTGATAAATTGTGGAGGCTGGATAAATGTCTTTTGAATGAACGAACGAAAGGTTATCTGCACTTTGTTCAGAACAGTTATATTGCAGGATTATCAGCCTATAATTAGAAAATATTTGAGCTGAGTGACATTTCATTAAGAGGAGGAGGCATGGGCTGTATTTATAGCACCAAGTAAGTCCCCAGTGTAAGATGGTCAGAGAGCATCAGCCCAAGAGTAGAAGTGTTATAGGACTTTGATCGCCAAATCTGTGATAGGACAGGGAGAGGGTCAGCCCAAACCCCGCAAACCTGCCTATTCTAAATGGGTTCTGCCATCCGCCGCATCAACACAAAACATAGGAGACTTTAATGGGAAGGAACTTTAATAAAAACTAGGAAACAATACAGGTGAGGCAAAGAGTCTAGTTTCTAGATGAAGCACCCAAAGCTACCCATCCCCTCGTGGGTAAAAGTCCATCCATATGGGAATGGCGCAGAGCAAAGCCCCAAAGCCTGCCACAAGTCTAAAACATTTTCCAGTGGGGACCCACAGAAAAGGGTCACAAACAACTGGACAAGCCCGGAAGGAAAAGAGCAAAATCAACATCCAGATAAAAGCTGCCATTGTCACCTCCCCACGGGTCTCACCCACATCTGTGTCACCCAGTCCACGACCAAAAGACAAGCGCAGTTTCTTCACATGTCTCTAGGCTCCATGCGCCTCCTCCAGGTCTCCTGGCTCCATCTTGCTTCCTTCCTTAGTCTCTTCTGCAGCTTCTCCTCTTCCTGCTCAGCTCCACCCTCCCTTGGGTGGGGCAGGGAACCTCCCCCTTTCCTGGGGACCACCCTGTTGCAGAAGGAAGAAACCAACTTTTGAAAACAAGTTCAACCTCGCTGGTAATAATATATCTAGGAAATTGAAACAGCCGAGAGGTATCATTTCGTACCTACTAAATTGCTAAAAACCCTTTATGAGATTGCAGAGAAAGAAATACTCATTAAGGGCACTGAATATTGTTTGTAGAGATGCCAAGCAGTAGGAAAAAACGTTTACATCTTTCCTCAAAATCCTATGCTAGTATCCTTCAGGCACTCAAAACAATATTAAAAAATGTTTAGTATCTCTTTAACAGAAATAATTGGGAAAACGATCCAAAAATGAGGAAAAGATTAATAGCAGGCACATTCTAACAGAATTCTAACAGACGCCTAACAGAATAATATGCAGGTAATAAAAACCTATTTGAAATCCTCTAAACGGGTTGGATAATTTAATGAAAAGGAAGACTCAAGTCTTAAGATTTGAAATCTTAAGTCTCACAGAATTGTTGATACACAATGGGTAGAGAAACAGAGGAATTAGTTGGTAATGAAAGATTCTAAATTAAGCTCTTTACATATTTAACTTTAACGTGATCAAATAACCTAATTAAAATGGACTTTAGTACTTGAAAGTGTGTACTTGGATGTCAAATAGGGCTAAAGATTTCAATATACAAAACATTTAAATGGAAGTGATAAAGCCGACAAGCCTACTTAAGTTTTAGGAAGATAGCTTTCAAATTAATTTGGAAATTGTTTTTTTAAAAATTAAATTTCTGAAAGTTTTAACAATGTTGCTTTGCTCTTGCATTACAGATTGTCTTGTCATGTAATTTACACTCAGGTTATGTGCATATGTACATACAATTGCACAAAAATGCTAAATCAATGAATTTGCTAATAATAACCTATTTTGTGCTTACACTAGAAATACCGATAGTAAAATAAGTGCAGCAATAAAGTCACCCTTATCTCCACTGCCCAAGTAATGAGTAAACATGCTACCTGGGAGATCACTTGAGGAAATTTACTTTCACTTTGGTAGCCTTATTGATTAATTTCAGTCAATAAACACAAGTGAAAATGATTAATGGTATTCAGTTTGCAAACTCCATTTTATTCATAGTTCTGCTTTTTCTTTTTTAATTAGTTCATAAATCTGGTACATACAGGCAGTTAAAACTGGTTATCACTTTGATAATCAGGAGCCTCTGGTATAACACAATCTTCATGAAAACATTGTAAAACAGGGAGAATACACAGTAATTAATAATCTCTGAGAACAATGGTTGCAAACATCCATGTTTCTAAGAAAATATAACTTTACATATATATGTATTTTAAGCAAGCTATACCTCTTACATAAATTCAGACAATAGGAGGAGTGTGCAATCATAATGCTTACTTTGTGAAACAAAATAATTATAATTATGACCTAAATGCTTTTAAGTAGAGTCCTCTGGATTAGATGTAGAGCAACGATATTTTCCCTAATTTACAACCATCCTGGTCAAAAAGCTGGAAAGCTGGCCAGTAAGTAGGATTGCTATTACCAAGTAAGTTTAACCCAAATTCTTTAGGTATAAATTATTAAGTATTCTGATTCCAGTTAATTTAGGAAACAGAATAGTCTTCAGTTTTTAAATTAAGACTTTCAAAGGAACTTCACTTTCTATTTAGACTAGGTTTCATAAGAGGGTCAGGTTTTTTTTTAATCTAACAGTTTAGAGATTATGGATTCTATATAAACATTCTAATTCCTTAGTTTGCTTAAGGAAAAGAAAACTTCAGCAGTAGAAAAAAAGGACCATTCCACACAAATGCAATTAGGGGACAATAATCTGAATCAGTGAGAGGCCTAGCCTCTGTGTATCATAGAGGAGACTTTTAAAACCAGAATGAATCAATGCACACTCCTCAGCAAGCTCCTCTGTCTTTAGAAACTGGACTGAGGATTACTAACACATTTTATACAAGAATTACTGGAGTTACATCCTGTAACAGGGATATTTAGTCATTACCCGTGGCATTTGAGATTAATGAACTAAAGGGGAAAAAATTAGCTTATTTATTCCCCTGAACTCAACTTCAGCCTTCTTGGGAGGCACTGAGGCCATGCAGCAACTTTTCCAAAGGACATAGAGTTAAATGAGGTCGAGAACTTTGACATTTTTCTCTGATTTAATTTTCTCCAAAAACTTAAATTCTACATAATGACAAAACTGTTGGCTGAAAGAAAACTGACAGGGAAAAACTCATTTTAAAAATGAGACAGACATTCAAGATAAACTATACAGGAAATACAATAATGGATTTTGGCCTGATAACCCTCATGCTGGTATATAGCAAAACACCAAAATTCATGCAACAGAGAAACTGGTGACATGAAGACTTTTTCTCTGGACTTACTGGGGGAAAAAACAGAATATATTGGTGGGTTTTTTTCCTCTTTGCTTTCATGATGAATTATTCTTGCAATTGACTTGACTTTCCTAGTCTTTTCTGAAATATTCTTCAATAGAAGAAGATCATTAAACTTACATGGAAGACATCAAGTGTCTTAAGCTCCTTCTTTCTGCTAGAGGTGCAATCAAGTAGATTACATAAAACTACCTCAACGAAAATAGCAGGTAGAATTGGAACAGGAATTAGTTGTCATTAATATACTCGTAATAAAATAAAGCTTGTTCTGAAACCACAAGGGCTGGTAAGAAGAGCCTGTATAAAAGCTACTGGGTTCCCTAGAAAATGGATACGGTATACAGAATGTGAGAATATACAGGACTCACACTCAAGTTATAAAAATAGACATGGTTCTCAGACAAAAAGCAAATGAGTACAAAAGAATTTTCCAAACATGAACTATTTTAGAAAGACACACCTATATAAAACAACACAATGTCATCTTAGAGCGCCAGTAGTCTGCTGAAATGGCTGAAAAGGGAAGATGAACTAGAGACAGACAGGTCAAGAACCCCAAATTGATCTGTTTGCCTCTTCTGGTTGGCAGTGTACATCGGTGATCACAGGCAGACTTCTTTTGGATATATAGACATATAAATATATCTATATATACAGATACATATGAAATTGCTGATTGGTTGATAGTTCTTGGCAAATGAATGAGAAAACCCAAGTTATTCAGTAATCTCTAGAAGTTTCTTTTAGCTTCTACACTTGACAATGTTGCACATGAGAAAGGATTCTAGGGTTTTGTTTTTTTTACCCAGAATCAACCCTGCCATTCACAACCCATGCTCCATGCCCCATGGTTTCTATTGTGCCCTAAAGGATTGGCCTAAATATATAATAGAAAATAACTCTGGTCTTGAAATGAGGAGGCACAGACCAGTAACTCATGCTCAGTAATCATAAATCACAAATACTGAAATTAATGGTCTGTCTCCTTTTGACTGCAAAGGAGATGCCATGAGCTAAAGAAAGTTGTAAGACGAAGAAAGTCAAGAAGATATGGGTAGCAGCACCTTTTCATACCTGCCTGGATTTTTCAGGAGTCTTTCACTCCTTATTTCTTTCAAACACAAAGTTCATCAGTTGAAATGGAAGGGAAAAAAAAGGCTCTAAAATTAAGAGTCCCCAGAGAAAACTAGCAGTACATAAAATGTGCCCTCTGTGGGCTAAAGGACAAGCTGCAGGAACAGGTAACACGGCAGAGGCAGCCCAAGGTCTGTCTTAGTTATGTGTTAGCACGGTATAGCACAGTATGGCCAGCCCTTTTTCCATCCATGTCCAGTTGAAAAGAAACTGAAGAGTGGGCTTCATCTTTGGTACCACCTCATGAGTTATTCTTGGTTTGCAGTAACTGCAAAGAAGCAGAAAAGTTGGTACCTTTACCTTGTCAGTGAGTACGAATGCTGGAACTCTGATTGCTGCAACCATTGAGGCCAATTAAAACAATACTGTAACACACCAGAATGATGCATCCAATTATCTGTTTCTGGATACTAGCAGCCATGCCCTTATAGGAGCGGGATCATCCATCCCCATTGGTTAAGGCCTTCGGTTTGTTGTCCTCAGAGTAGAATAAAACACTGCGTTCCCACGGACAAGGAACTCCAGATGAAACCATGGTCTACAGAAGCCAGGAATTTCAAGTACCATGTAAGCCAGGCACAGTAACCAAACTGGCCCATGGCTGTCACACTTGGAGAAGCTTCTGTTTTGTCAGCACGAACTGGAAACTTCTTAGTGTTTTCTGGGTTTAGTCCTCTTTCCTGAGTGAAGCAGCCAGGGAGAGCCAAGTTCCACAACTCCCAATCTAATACTCAGCATTAATTCTCTCCATGGTCTTCTTCTACCCAGGCTACAATTTTCCCTTCCCATCCAGGAATGGCATCATCATCATGAAAAACCTAGAGAGGAGAAAAAGCCACAATGAAAAAATAACAGCAAGAGAGGGAGTCTCACTAAACAACCACTGTTGATAAAAATAAGGCCTCAAACATAAAGGTTAAAGAAGTATAGAGAACAGCCTCAAGAAAGTCTGTGTCCTTTAGGTGTTTGTTCCTAAAGTTGTTAACAGGTTAAAAGTGTGTATGTGTATGTAAATATGTATATTTATATATATAAATACATTTACATATAGTTATACACACACACACACACACACACACACACACACACACCCCACACTTATTTCCACATCCATGGAGTGGGGAAAACATTCCTAACATTATTTTGCTCATAGAGACTCATTAGAACTAATGAGCTATAAATGACAGAACACTCTGGGCTTCTTAGGAGAAAGCAATAGTATAAGCATTAAAAAAATGAGAATGGGGAAAATTTTGGTCTCATGTACTGTAAAGAAAAGGCTAGGAAGAAGGCCAATTTAATGTGTTTGCATTTACTTCTTTTCATCCATTTCTTTTTATTTAATGCATAGAAGAACTGGGGTGTAGGCCAGGGGTGTGGGAGGGTAAGAGGATTCATCAGAAACAAAGTGGGGAGCAGAACAGGCAGATTGACTGAAATACACTGCTGAGGGGAGCAGCGGGCGAGACAGGAGAGGTCTGCTGCGCCACGTGGATTAGCAACCTGGCTAGGGATTGAACTCATGCTGCAGTGGTGGGCAATATCTTGATAGCGCCGAGACTTTAATCCCTCACTCGTCCACTTCTTAAGCCACTAATGAAACAGGTTTACTAAAATATTTCAATGAGGAAGAAAATCTTTAAAAAATAAAATACTGAAGAGAGAAGTGTGTGGAATGAGTAGATAGCAGTTATCTGATAGTGCAAATGGCACTAGAACTTTGGGGGTGGCTTGAACTTTTCAAGCATGAAGCTATGCTCCTAAAATTTACATTTTACGGCCAGCCAATAGTAAATCAATAAAAGTTAATTTTTTTTAAATGGGCTTCAATTTTTCTCATTCTATAACCACAATGAAAGCACTTACAATAAACCACAACCCAGAAATCTCTTCCAAAAACGTTTATATTTGTCAGATGAATTATAAAGAGACGTATAGGCTAGTGAAGGGACTGAGAGAATAAGATAACTGCAAAAGTTCCACATTTTTATAATCTGAGAACCCACTACCACAAAATATGGTTCCAAATACCTGTTTTTTTATTTTGTTCTACACAGGAAGCAGAAAATTTTCTTAGATTTGGGTACAAATAGAAAAGGGGGCTAAAAGCCAAGCTTTTATCCAGGGATAGGTTTATTTTCCTTAACAAAACCAAGCTTTTTTCTTTTTAAAAGTTTGGTTTTGTTTATAAGTTTGGTTTAGTTTAAAAGTTATGGTTAAAGTGAATAGATCTTGAACGAAAGAAATTTGGACCATTCCCTGCCCTCAGGCTCACGGAAATTCCTAAACCTGGTTAGGGAACTCAGGTACTTCTAGATACTATTTCTTGAGTTGGAAGCTCTGGGGTTCAGGGGAAATCACCCAACCTCCCCCTGAATTCTGTACCTCTTCTTTGACAGTGCCAAACTCCGGATCTAGCGCTTTGAAGTGATACCGGTGATTCCCTTCCCGGTCAATAGCTGCTTTAAAATCCTTCAGTGTCACCTCCCCCAACCTGCAATAAAAGAAGAAAGCACTAAAACAGACTGTTAAGCAATAGGTTGGAAGGAAAAAAGGTTAGCTTTCAACTGAGGTCCCTGCCAAAGTCTCTTTGGGCAGAAAAAGCATGACCTGTAGGTCACCACCCTGACGACCTAGAAGATTCTAAAACAGTAGAGGTTAGGGAGCCAGTCCTCACTAGGGGATGAAAATGGCATTACCTATGGGGTGATCTGAGAATTTAGAATGGATTTATTGTTTCAGCAGCTGCCAGATAACTTCTCTGATTTTCTCTGGAAAAAAAACAGAGTCTCTGAAATCTAATCTGTTGAACAACTACTAATATGTCTATGTTATTTTGATTTCCTTTTTTGCAACAATAATCTACTTCCTTAGGTGGGTAGAATTAAATCAAGTATCATCATCTCTATCCTTCTGGCTTCAGAAAGTTCCCCTCCAACCTAGATCAAGTAAGTAGACTCTCAAGCAAAGAAAAATCTTACCACCTCTCTCAGGCAGTAGTTCCAGAGTTTAAAGATCTTTATTTCAAAGCCATTTCCTTGAGGAGAGAGCATAACAACCAAGTGTTTAAGGTTTTAATATGAACTCTCCCAAGGTTCCCAGCTCTAGTAACAAAGAACAAGGAATACTATAGCCCTGGAGGCGCACCACAGCCCTGGCTCTCAGAAAGAGCTACTTGGAGCACTTAAAAATTGTTTTTCCGGGGCCTCCCCTGGTGGCGCAGGTGGTTGAGCGCTGGGCTGTGAAGCTGCCCGCAGCCTCTGCAGTGCTGGTTCAATCCCCAGCCACTGGGCAGGGATCCCACATGGCGCACAGACCTCTCCTGCCACACCCGCTGCTCCCCTCAGCAGTGTACTTCATCGGTCTGCCTGTTCTGTTCCCCGCTCTGGCTCTGGTGAATTCTCTCACCCTCCCGTGCTTCTGACTGTACCCAGTGCTTGTATAAATAAATAAATAAATAAATCTTTTTTTTTTTTTTTTTAAAAATTGTTTTTCCAGGGCCTCCCTGGTGGTGCAAGGGTTAAGACACAACCTACGTAGCAATCCGCAGCCACTGCAGCATGAGTTCCTTTGAAGGTCATAGAGGTGACCCATGTGGCGCAGCAGACCTCATTTGACTTGCCTGCGGCCCCCCTCAGCAATGTATTTCAGTCAATCTGCCTGTTCTGCTCCCCACTCTGTCTCTGGTGAATCTTCTCATCCCCACCCCACACTTCTGGCCTGTACCCCAGCTCTTGTATGCATAAATAAATAAATCTTAAAAAAAAATTTTTTTCCTAACTTGGAGATTATCTGCCTACTTGCCAGCACTGAAGCACTATTACTGTGTCTGTCTCAAGCAGTGGATCAGGACTTGTCCCTTGTGATGCTACTGGCTAGTGATAAAGCTAGAACTAGAATCTTATGTCCTATACCCTCTCACTACACCATACTGCTTCCTAAACACCTCTGGGCTCCCCAGGTGGCCAGTAACTAATGTTGTCCTGTTCTCTTTAAAAGAGAAATAATGATCCCCGAAACTCACCTCTTTGGTATATTGACCATGAAGGGCGTAAGTGACCGGTCGGTAAAATACAGCACTTTAGTACAGGCGCTGCTGATGGCTGGGGAGCTCTGGGAGTGAGGCAACTCTGCAGAGAGAGACTTTGTGATCAGAACATTCCATTTGCTCCCCACCATCCTTCACTTATTCCAGTAATTCAAAATGCCCCAGGAGAATGCAACTGAGGTTACAACACAGTTCTCAGTCCCTTGCCAACACCAACTCCACAGGCTGTGACCTGCAGGACATCTCCACCGGGGCGGGAAAGACAAGAGGCGCTTCATGCATGAACACTATCACGAGGACCATGAGGACTGTAGTTTTCACCCATTCCAAGTATCTCTAGCAAAGGAGTAGCAGCCGTAGTGACAGGCATTGTTGCTAACAGTCAAAAGAGGTTGGGGAAGCCTGGCAAGATTTCCACTGGGGAGGAATAGACACACAGCAGGAGCAGCAGACAACATTTAGATTCCGGAGGTCAGTGATGGAGCACGCTCAGGTAATCCATGAAAAGAGAAATGAACTGGAGCAAAGTATCCTTAGAAACTGAGATTCCAAGTGGCCTTAAGCTTCAAGTCTCAAAGCTACAAGACCTACCTAATCCCTTAGCTATAAAGGATCTAATGTGTTGGTCCCACAGTCTTAGGCTTTTTGATTCACATTTGGTCTCTACCCTTTGTGTAGGTACTCACAGAGAAATACAATAAATGAGTACTGTGATTTGACTTTAAAAGAAGAGGAGAAAAGACCAGCCAGAAACTCTTAGCATAAAGACCAAACACAAACACTGAACTTGCATTAAACTCTGTCCTGTAATTCCACCTACACATATTGTCTTTGTAAGTTACTCTAGGCACTGTTGTAAGTCAAATTGGAAGCTGCAGGAAGCAGTTCTAGGAAGGGGTTTTAAATAAGGAAAACTATAGAGAATGAATTAATACAGGGGAGAGAGACAAAACATTCTTTGTTAGAACAGCAATTATAGTCAGCCAGTTTTAAGAATTTTTCTTCAAAGAATGCCAATTATTGAAACATACAGTAGGCCATAACGTTCCCTTGATTCCAGCCCCTAGAAGAGTGCCTGGCTGGTTAATAAAACAAAATATTCATCTTTTAGCATTAAATTATATCACTGATTTTTTTTTATTCAACAAGTATTTACATAACACCTACTAAGTACTACTTTTTGAGAAAATCAACTATATGTGGTCTCTGACAAAGAGTTTACAGTATACTAGGTACAACAGAGAGGATTACAAATAATTAGAGCATACGAAATCAAATGTGTACAAACAGCACAGTTAGGTTAAAAATAAAGTGGTTCATTTCTCTAGGAAGAGGTCAGAAAGGGTAGTCCCTAGTTAAAGAGTCATTAATCAGGGGCCTCCCTGGTGGTATAAGGGGTTAAGATGCAACCTACGAAGCTCACCACAGCCACTGCAACACAAGTTCAATCCCTGGCCAGGGAGGTGACCTACATGGCACAGCAGACCTCTCCTGTCTTGCCCACTGCTCCCCTCAGCAGTTATTTCAGTCAGTCTGCCTGTTCTGCTCCCCGCTCTATCTCTGGTGAATTTTCTCACCCCCTAAAACTCTGGCCTGTACACCAGTTCTTGGATGTATAAATAGATAGATCTTAAAAAAAAAAAAAGAGAGAGAGTCATTAATCAAAGAACCTTAGAAAAATCATCAGAGAAGCTGGAAAGAGCAATTCCAAGAAGAAGGAGGATAAAAGTAAAGGCATGAAATACGTAACACTGAACACAAACCAGGAAGGCAGGAGCATAAGGAGTACACTGGGAAGGTGTGGAAGATGAAGCCAGTAGGACGAGCAGGGGCCAGATCACAAAAGATCTGCCAGGCTAAAGTGCCAGATGTTAGTCTTAAGCTATGGAGAGAATCTAAAAGGGAGTGATAAGATCAGACAGGTGTTCCAGAAAGGTCAGTTTATCAGCCAAGTAAATGTAAGGGTTGGATGTGAGAAACTCTGGAAATCAGTAAGAGGCAACTAAAAGAACCTGAGAGATAAGGATGGGCAAGGGGCAGCCCTGGAGCCAGAGAAGAGATGCTCTGAGAGTCCTTTAGAAGGTGCCAGTCTTAGTACTTGGGATTGTTTGAGGGTGGAGGACAGATGAGAAAAGTGAGAAATAACAGACCCATGGTCTGGGGAAACAGATGCACAGGTAGCTGAGAGAGAAACAGAAGTGTGCTATCATTCATTTAAGATGTTCATCAGGTTTCTACTATATATCCAATAGCAGAGATGCCAAAATAAAATAGATATAATCACCACACTTAAAGCTCAAAAGCTCAAGCTAATGAGGTGAAATAGCAAAAACAGTTATGTTATAATAAAAGAAAATATGAAAATAATTTTGCTGTGACCTGAATTATGTCTTCCCAACATCCCTGTGTTGAAGTACCAAGGCCCGTGTGACTGTTAAACTGCAAAGAGGGCCTTGAAGGAGGTTAAATGAGGTGATAAGCCCTGATTCCACTGTACTGGGGTCCTTATCAAAAGAAGAGACCCCAGGGAGCACTATCATGTAAAGACACAGCAAGAAGCCAGCCTCCTGCCATCGTGGAAGAGGTCTCTCCCCCACCTGAACCTGATCATACTGGCACCCCAATACTGGCAGTTCCAAGCTCCAGAACTATGAGAAAATAAAATTCTCTTTTTTAAGTTCATGAGTTTTTGGGGTTTTTTTGTTTTTGTTGTGGATGCTCAAGTTAATACAAATACTGTATATACATCTTGTGTGAATTTCAAAGAAGAGTAATCATGGTATGAGATGACATACAGAGGTGCAGGTTTAGCAAACTGGTCATGCATAACATTGCGAGAGTCATCAGGGAACTAGTGAGTTGAACTGCACAGACTTGGACCGAAAAAGTGAGAAACTATCCTTATTCAGCATTAAATCATATGATAAAACGACCTTGTTCCATCAGGGTAGTATTACTATAAAATTATATACAAAAATCTCAGAGAAGGGGAAGGAAGTGGAGGCAGGACTCAGAGACTACATGGCCCCAGAAATATAACCTTGTGTGTACGTGCATGTGTGTGAGCACGTGTGTATTTGTACATTTAACCATGATTTTAAAATCATGATTTTAACATCAATTTTAGCTTTCAGGTTTAGGTTGATGATTGATTCACTAGAGTTAACTTTTTTATATGGTGTGAGGTAGGGTCACCTTTTTTTTTTAACCTTAGATCATCTGTTGAAAGCCTACCCTTTCGCCACTGAATAGCTTTTGTACCATTACTGAAAATCAACTGACCAAATAGATTATTTGAGTCTTTTTCTAAACTCTCCACCTTGTCCCCCTGATATGTGTCCATCCCTTTACCTGCACTGCACTCTCCTGGCCACCCTCCCTTTATAGTTAGCTTAGACGTCAGATGGTGTGGTCCTCCAACCACTTTGTTCTTCTTTCTCAACTTTTGTTCTGAAGCTCTTCTAGTCCATTTATTGTTCCACATAAAGTTTAGGATCAGCTTGTTTTAACCTACAAAGAGCCTTGGAAGGATTTTGTTGGAATTGCATCGAAGCTATAGATCACTTGGGGAGGATTGGATCACCTTAACACGGTTGAGTATTTGATCACCTTAACACAGTTGAGGATTCAATCTATAAACATTTAGCTCTCCTTTATTTCTTCACTACTTTGTAGCTTTCAACATAAAAATGCTGCACATATTTTGTAAGTTTTACATGTAAGCATCTTGTTTCTTTTGGTGCTACTTAAAGTACAACTACTATTGGTACTTCAAATTCTTTTTTTCTGTTTCCAAGTATTCATTGCTAGCATACAGAAAAAGTACAACTCACTCTGTGTATGTTGACCTGGTTTTTAACTCAGGTCCTATGACTGTACAAAACTCACTGCCTAGTGAGAGTAGCTTTATTGTACATTCTCTGGTATTTTCTATGTAGTCAGGCTATTTAGAAACAGATGCAGTTTTGTGTATTCCTTTCCAATCTTTAGGCCTTTTCTTTCTTTTTTCTACATCTATGTTCAGTAGAGATGGTGGTGTGGGAATGAGCATAAGACAAAGTGCATAGAAAGTGTCCTTCTTCTACTTTCTAGAAGAATTTGTGTACAACTGCCACAAAACTGTATGCTTTAAGTGGTTAAAATGGTCAGCTTTATGCTATGTAACTTCATCTCAATTAAAAAAAATGAGTTTAAAAAAGGCATGCAGTTCTTACTTCTGCCTAAGACATAGAAGACTAAGGAGTCTTGCTCCTAGCCTAACAGTTGGATAACCTAGTAACTTTGAACCCACTGGAGAGATGAGATTAAAGAGCAATCAACTAGCCTGACGCGCAAACAGGTGACTCCAAAGAGAGAGGACACCAACACAGGCTCATTTGTGGCAAACATGGGAGGAGGGTGAAGCCACCATAAAAACATAAGTATTCTGCTAAATTTTAAATGCACTGTTAAAGCTGGGCAGAGAGCACAGGAACCCTGGAGGCAGGAAAGCTTGCACCCACTTGCAGATTCCTTTCCAAAGATCTATCCAATTTGAACTCTGTTATGTCTGGCATCTTTCCCTTAACATAATGTTCTCCAGGTTGATTTATGTTGTAGCATGTGTCTGTACCCTTCCTTCTATGGCTGAGTAACATTCCATGTGTGCACACTAGAATTTCTTTATCCAATCAGTAGATGATGGTCATTTAGGTTGTTTCCACATTTTAACTACCGTGAATAATGTTATTATGAACATGTCTATACAAGGTTTTTTTTTTTTAAGCAGCTGATTTTCTTTTGTGTAGGAACAGAACTGCTGGGTTACACAATAAGTCTACATTCTCAGTTCCAAAGGTCAGAAAAGCATCAAGGTTAGAGGTGAATGTTTGAAAATGATCAGTACACAGAATAGTTGAAGCCATGGAAGTGAGAGGGATCATCTAGCGAGAACAGGAAAGGCTGTGGTGTAGACCTCCAATGGAATCCCAGGGCCCATCAATACTCAAGGGTCACACAGAGGAGAAAATATGGGAGATTGTGTATAGTCACTGGACTGCGAGGCCAGTGAGGACAAGCACCAAGTTTATCCTGCTCATCTCTGTGCCTCCTGTACCTAATACAGGGGCTACATATAGATGCTCAATAAATACTGTCAATGGGTATTTATTAAAGTTAAAGGAGAATGTTTTCAGGAGACCACTCAAGAACAACAAACACTTTAGAGAACTCGGTAGAAGGTAAGGTTTGAAAAGTAACTGCTTTGATAAGGCAACAAGAAAGTCAACAGTGATCTGACAAAAAGAACAAAGTGGAATTACTTGAGTAAAAGTTCAACTAGTGGTTTGAGCAGTTGAGTGGGAAGTAGGATGAGAAAAGAGCAAATGTAGAATATTCTTTCAAGAAGCTTGATGTAGGAAAATAAGAGAAATAAATTAGAAAATATTTTCAGCAAGAGGGCAAGTTATACATGTTTTTGTATTTCTAGATGTGAGACACTATAGCTTATCTGTGAAAGGAGATGCTAGTTTACAAGCAGCTGTGAATTTATTTGTAGTACTTTAAATAAGTGTTGCATAGACACAAAAGAATTTCTCCAAAGATGGAAGAATTTATTAGACTTTTGAAAAAGAATTTCAAAGTATTTGAAATTTTCTTTCTATGTTGTCAGTTTATACTAACCTAAAGAAAGTATTGAAGAGAATAACAACAAAATAAAGTCTTCCAAGAAAACAGAAGTGATTATTTCTCAAATGCTAGAAAAAGAAGCAGAAATCAATTTTGGGCACTAACATAATTTGTTTCATTGCCAATAGCTACATCCTTCAAGAGGAAAAGATATCTGGAGTCTTAAGAATGCTAATTTATTTACTCTACAAGAAATATTTTACTTTTAAAAATTGTGCAAATATTTTAAGTGTTTTACTTATAGTTTTGTTTATTAATGTGGTTTCAAAATTTGTATCACATAAAAAACTGACGTTATGGTCAGCTTTTTACTCCATTTTTTTTTTTATAAACTATTTAGATCTTTTAAATTAGGTGTGGGTAAACTATAAAAGATAGGAATATGTGAGTGTTATTAAACCAAACATTAAGATACAGAGTGTAATAGAAATTATCAGGCAGAGTAGTATCCCAAAACATTGAAATAAACAGGAAAAAAATGCAGTGAGTGGGCAAAGTGTGGGTCAAAACACAACTTCCTAGCCAAGGCCACTAGGTGGCACACATATATTGGAGCATTTAAACAAAGAAATGAAACTTCTGAACTCTAGGAAGAACTGGAAATCATCTGTGCTATTTAGGACTATCAGGTGACTTGTATGCATTTGTTGTTTTATGTTTTGCTTGATGTGGTGTAACTGTTTTGAACTTGAGTATTTTCTAAGGATATTTTGGTCTCTGAGTGAGCAGTATCAAGCCTATGCCTAAGTTGGTACTTGGGGTGATGGTGGCAATGATGATCGTATGTGTCCTCACAGTCCTAGAAATAAGTATATTCGAGCACTACTACAGAAACAACGTAGCATAAGGGTGAAGTAATACCAGAAAAAATTCTATCTCCAAAAATATCAGTAGCGGGAAAGTTACTAAATTTCTGACCTAACAGTCCTTCTTGAACAATGATGAGTACTTACTTGAATTAGGGGGCCAGGACTCCCAGTAGTCACCACCTGCTTGAGTTCTGGGTGACTTGCCCCGAACCTGAGGAGCCACACAAAAATCACAGTTACAATCAAAGGGAGAACTGAACCAAGAACTTTAAATTATAATGGCGTATCTAAAATATTCTCTTTTCGGGCCTCCCTGGTGGCACATGGGGTTAAGACGCAAACTATGAAGGTGTCCTCAGCCACTGCAGCACAAGTTCGATTCCTGGCCAGGGAGGTGACCCACATGGTGCAACAGACCTCTCCTGTCTCGCCCACTGCTCCCCTCAGCAGTGTCTTTCAGTCAGTCTGCCTATTCTGTTCCCCACTCTGTCTCTGGTGAATCCTCTCACCCCCACACCTCTGGCCTGTACCCCAGTTCTTGCATAAATAAATAAATCTTTAAAAAAAATAAAATACTTTTCTACCCCATCTTTCTCCATGGTATATAAAATTGGACATATCTATCTCAATAGTAATATTGTACATTTATAAAAGACTGTTTCCAGTGCATGTTCCTGTCTATTTTCACATTCAACTCCAAGTTCGTTTGGGGAGAAGGGGCAGGAAATAAGCAGTGAAGAAAGGCCCTGAGTAGGGGAAAAACCACAATTCCTTAGAAAGTGGTACAGTTTCTAGGAGGAAGAGTTATCATAAACTTTCTCCCAGGGTTGTGAACCCATAGTAGTCAACTCCACAGAAAGGAAAACCAAAGAGAAAAACCCGGCATAACTTCAGCAGGGTCTTACACCTCAGCATTCCCTACATTTAAATTACAACTAGCAAGACCAAGCTTCTTCAGGAGCGAGCTTATGAGAACCACCAGAGAGAGAGGATTACCCTCTTGTCCTGTTTCTTCTGCGTTTCCATGACGTGCAGGCGCTCCATGAGGCTGGAGATGCCCTGCTCCAAGCTGTCAATGGTGTGGTGCTGAGGATCGTGGCCGCTGAAGCTATTGCGCAGGCTGCGGAGGGCATCGCGAACCAGCTGCAGGTCGCTGGTCTGCGAGAAAACATGAGGTGCTGCTGGGTGGCACGTGCCATAGAATTAGCCACACCCCCAGAGCTGGGCTGAAGAAATATAGGGAAGAGGTTCCCAGAACAGATCTGTTATTTTAAGGGAGGTGAGAACATAGGATGTTTTTCTCCATAGAAGTAGGCCCATGGATTCTGAGTTTTGGATGGCAAAAGCCTCACATATTTACACACTCAAAGAGATACAAGAATTAGGGAAGTAGGATATAAAAGCTCATCCACTGGCCACGGCAAGGGGGCTTGTCTGTTTACTGCTGGAAGTGGCAGATCTGTACTCAAACCTAAGAACATACCCCCCTGTGGATGATCGAGGCAGCTGCTTTTCCTGCCACTGGGAGGAGAAAGCCATTGCTTTGAGAGCTGTGACTGTTGCAGTTGGTCACCTAGAGCAGCAAGAAGAAATGATGCTTGTTATCAAGAACTTCTCACCAAGATGTCCTGTGTGTTACTTTATCTTCTTCCTATCTATCACTTCCTGAAATAATAGATAATTAAAAGGTAAGTTTATGATGTAAGCAAAGACGTGGTTCTCTTTTGTTTGGTGCTGTATCTCCAGTACTGGACAGTGGGCAGCACTGTTGAATGCAGAATGAATGAAACAGAAACCTGGAGGCCTTCAACCTAGCCTCAGCCCGGCACTTGGGAAAGGGAGAATGCTCCAGTGCCTCCTGCCTACGAGTCAGTAATGTAACCATAAGAACCATGACTAAAGCTTCTTGAACCTGACCTTCTGCCAGGTGGCTCTACCATGACTATGTTTGGTTATTTACATGGATTATCTCATATATTCTCCATGATGACGGAGAGGAACACTGCCCATTATTTCCATTTTCCAAATAAGCCTTATCTGGAAGGGTCTGAGCTAACGACTCAAGGCCACATAATGGAAAAATGGTTAAGAAGGAATGGAAAACCAAACATGCTTATCCTGGAGTGTGCACGCTTAACCCACTCATCACAGAGACTCCTACTAAACAACCATCCAGTGGCCTGGGTTCAGTGCTAAATCAGAAACAAAAATCTCCTTCTTTGTCCCTGTTGATGTGGGAGGGGACAACCCGAGTTGTGGTTACCTCATCTGGCTCTCTTTTCATACAATGAGCCAAAAGGACATCTTTGTGTTCAAGCTCCCGCTCTAGATCCACCTGCAAATCAGAGACTCCATCAGAAAAGGATTTCTTCAGGCCAGAAAAGTCAGTGGCTGACCGTGTTCCCACCTGCTGGTAACTGGCCTCAGAGAGTTTCCTCAGAGCTTCCTCCAACTTGGCCTGGTGCTGCTGCAGGAGGCGGTCCTTCTGCCCCAGCTCTTTCTGCAACAGAGAACCAGCTTTTGGAGAGGCGGAAAGTCAAGGACAATGAACACTTCCCTCTTTGTGGTGCAATTTGTACCTAAGGAAAGTAGGACCTGGAGGGGCCATCCTTTCCTCAAGCTACACCAAAGAAGATGTGCCACACCCTGGTCACGTCACAGAGTAAAGGTTTGGGAAGGGCCAGGAGGAAGGCGACCACTGTTTGTAGGAGGACCACTAGTGCCGTCTACTAGTTAGAGATAAAGCTTAAGATTGAACTGTTAAGATTGGTGAAATAGGGGCCCCCCGGTGGTGCAGCGGTTGAGCGCTGGGTTGCGAAGCTACCCACAGCCTCTGCAGCGCCGGTTCGATCTCCAGCTGCTCCCCAGCCACTGGAGGAGGGTCCCACATGGTGCGCAGACCTCTCCTGCCGCCTGCTGCTCCCCTCAGCAGTGTACTTCGGTCGTTCTGCCTGCTCTGCTCCCCGCTCTGCCTCTGGTGAATTCTCTTACCCTCCCGCGCTTCTGACTGTACACAATGCTTGTATGTATAAATAAATAAATAAATAAATAAATCTTAAAAAAAAAAAATTGGTGAAATAAGCCAGACACAGAAAGAGAAACACCACATGATTCCACTCATGTGATCTATAGAGAAAACATACAGATGAATTAAATAAAACAAAGAGACACTTAGATTATGAGATCAACTAGTGATTACCAGAAAAGAGAAGGGAAGGGGGAGGGGGACAGAAAATTGAGTCCAAGGGGACAATGGTTTAAAGAAGGACATATTGGCCTTTCAGTAGCTACATGAACTGATTCTCAACCATGCAGACTGGAAACATGCATCACGTTACAATGCAATGTTACTTCAATTAAGAAATGAAAAGAGGGCCTCCTCGGTGGCGCAGCGGTTGAGCACTGGGTTGTGAGGCTGCCCGCAGCCTCTGCAGCGCTGATTCGATCCCCGGCCGCTCCCCGGCCACCGGAGGAGGGTCCCACATGGCGCGCAGATCTCTCCTGCTGCTCCCCTCAGCAGTGTACTTCGGTCCTTCTGCCTGCTCTGCTCCCCACTCTGGCTCTGGTAAATTCTCTTACCCTCCTGTGCTTCTGACTGTACCCAGTGCTTGTATAAATAAATAAATAAAATATATATATTTAAAAAAAAATGAAAAGAGAAAAAAAAAGACTGAACTGAGGCTTCCAGGCTCTTAGTTCTGTGCTCCTCCGCCTAGCCATGCCCTGTATTCTTCTGGGCTGATGTATCAAGGGCACAGAAAGGATTTCCTTGCTGAAAGTGAGGACAAGAACAGAGTACTAAAGTGGTCTTTGAGCAACAGCAAAAACAGACTGTCCACAAAGATTCAGATGGAAATCACTTCCACACTGATGTGTATTCTTACTTTATATTCTCCCAAAAGCCAGTTCCTCTCATCTAGCTTCCTCTGCAAATCCACCTGCAAGAAGAAGAAAGTTAATTGGCATTGAGGTATTATCAGCCAATTCTAGTAGATAGCAGGTACTGAGGGACCAGAGTAGATGCATGCAGTTATAGAATATGGCACAGAGAGGGCACAGGGATGTTAAAAACACACAGCTGCTCTCTATGTCATGAATGAAAGCCTCAGAATATAGATGCATGACTTAGCTTCAACTTCTTCATCAAAGTTGAAGGGCTCTAGGGCTTTTATCGAAGGACAAAGATGAGTCTGACGGAATAAAAGTAACTGCAGAACTGAGGGCAGGCATCACGAAGATAAGGGAGATTAGGATGTCAGAACTAACCGGACTTCATGCAATATCCTATTTTGCTACTGGGGCTCAATGAGGTCAGAGTCTCTTGTTCAACTTACATTCTGGTTGTGCAGCTCATCTCGGTCCATATTTGCCCTCAGTAGCTCTTGTTTGAGCTGAAGAACAGATGTGTCCTGCTGAGTCAACCTCTGCTGCAAGGCATCCTGGGGAAAAAAGCATGCTCCTTATTGCGGTCCCCACTATTCAATCTGCCAGTCATCATTACAAGTTATTAAATCCCTTACTATATTCAGCATTACTTCTGCCAAACTTGGAGACAAAGGGTGGGTAGGAGGAACTGTCATAGGGGATGAGCAGTTCTTCTGACCCCCTTCAGGATATCAGTATCTAAAGGAAAATCCTACCAAGCTGACTACGAATTTTTCTTCTCCTATTATTCATCCCTGCCCTCCTCAGCATTCTTGACAGCATGATGCCCTAGAGATGAGTGGCTTTGGGGGTCAGATAGACCTTGATGCAAATGACATGTCTACCAGCTACCCTCATGGCAGTGACCTTGAACCATGCACTCATCCTCCTACTACCCTGGATGATTCATCTAGATCTGGGCATATAAACATTCTATCCACCTCTCTGCCCAGTCCTTATTTCCCAGAAGGCAGGGCCTTATTAGTGCCTGCCACTCTGTCCACATAGAATCCCTGCAAGTACTGCCACCCTGCTTCCTGGAGTCCTGCTCCTGCCCTGCTTCCACTGGCTGCCCACGCCCAGTCTCAACCAGGATTGGGAATATATTTCTAGGCCCAGAATTGTGCTTGGACTGATGGCTCCTTTTCCCAGTGTCCTAGGATCTTACCAGCTTTAGGGGCTCAGTTTGGATTCTCTTAGTTCCCATTGTGCCTAAGAAACGGTGGGTTGCGTAGCTAGTTTTTGAGAAGGGTCAACAGTAACACATTCTTCCAACCACGGTGACTTCCAATGGAACTAGGGTCTGGAGCTGCATTCCTGGACACAGACTCTGACTTCCTGCTCTTAAGAGACTGCACAGAAATCATGTGCACTCTGAAGAATGTGGGAACCCACTGCTAAATATGCTGTCTACCATGCAGAAGAGGGCAAAGGGGGTGAAGATGTCCCTGGCATCAGCAGTTCAGAGGAACATCTCCTAAATTATGCTCCTTAGGGTACTAACAGATGCTGATGGGAGAAAAAGCATCGTGTGGTTAATAATTCTAAACTTATTCATAGGCTAAATAAACTCTTTATGATAGAACTTCCCACATCCTTTAACATGCTATTATTCATTATGAGTCTTCATGAGTTGGGCATTTCTCAAACTGATCTGACCATGGAACATGTTTGTTTACTGAAGTATCTCAAAGCCTACAGGATAGACTCTGGAAAATGCTGCTGGAGTACACTCTGATCCAGCTCATGAATGGGTAGGGAGTTAGGGAAGATGGGAAAGCAGCAGCTTAAGACTATCTTTTTTCACTTCAAGGCATTTATTCAACAGATATACTCTCACTTGATTGAAATAACATCCAGGATTAGCTAAATCACTGTTTTTATTAGCAAAACACTAGACAATCTAAAAGACCATCAATAGAAGACTGGTTAAAAATTATCATATGCAGTCTCACGAATCACTTAAAGATGAGAACATATTCTAAGAAATGTGCTGTTAGGTGATACTGTTGTACAAATGTCATGGTGTAATTACACAAACTATAGATGGTATAAATGGCATGGGCTACTACACAATTAGGCTACATGGAATACCCTACTGGAACCACAGGTGCATATATGATCCCTCACTGACCAAAACATTAAGCAACACATGATTGTATACATACACTGGAGTACCATAAAAGACTTAGGCAGGTATTTAAGTACTAAAATAGAATGATCTCCAAGATTCATTTTAAAGTGAAAAAAAGCAGGGCCTCCCTGTTGGTGCAAGGGGTTAAGCACCGCACTATGAAGCAATCAGCAGCCTCTGTAGCATCAGTTTGATCCCTGGGCCAGCCACGGAGCAACCCACATGGTGCAGCAGACCTCTCCTGTCTCACCCGCTGTTCCCCTCAGCAGTGTATTTTAGTCGGTCTGCCTGTTCTGTTCCCCATTCTGTCTCTGGTGAATCCTCTCAACCCCTGCATCGCTGGCCTGTACCCCAACTCTTGTATGCATAAATAAATAAATCTTTAAAAAAATAAAAATAAATAAAGTGAAAAAAGCAAAGTGTCAAGCTGCATTTACATCATACTATCATTTTGGGTGAAATGATACATGTACATACTTGTTGATATCTGATAAGTTGCTTCCAGAAGAGAAAACTATAGGACTGGAGGACAAGACTGGAAAGCAGACTTTTCACATATTATTCTGTTGTACCTTTTTAACTTTAAGCCACTTGAATGTTATCGACTATTCACAGGTAACATAGGCTATAAGTAAATTATACATTATTTTTAAAAGAACTTTTAAAAAAGAAAGAACTGAAGGAAACTGACAAAAAAAAACTGAAACTGAAGAAAACTGCTTTTAAAAACTGATTGTCTTCACAACAGTCAGATGGCACACAGGAAGTGGCAACACCATGAGTTATAACTACCAGAAATAGGCCTCAGCAAAACAAAGGTGTAGTCCTTAATGTGTCCCACTTCCCATTTAGACAGCTGTCTCCACTAATGGCATAGAGCCTGTAAATGGTAAGTATTTTCAAGACCAGAGGCCCCAACTCTACCTCCTAGTGCTCACTCTCACCAGCAGATTACTTAACCTTGTGGAGAGTTTAAAGAGTTCAAGGTCTTTCTTTTTACCTTTATCCCCTGTAAGTTTCTGGTTTCTTGTTTACATTTCAGCAGCTCCTTCTGTAAACCAAATATAGTCAGATCAGACAGTAACATATGGGTTGCTGTAAAAGTATTACCTCATTCTGTCAGTAAGAACACAAAACTCAAAAAAATAAACATATGCTTACTATAAAAAAAAAAAAAGAACACAAAACTCATATAACTATTCCATGAAAAATTAACTCTCTAGTGAGGTGGAAAGCAAGTCTGGTCAGTCTGGTCCAGAAAACAGCAAAGGCTGACGAAGGTTCTCCTCAGTGATACCCAGTGGGCCCAACAGCCCAGGAAGAGAAGAGTCTTGTCAAGAATGAAGGTATCAGGGTCTCCTATGGGCCCTCATTCCTATACTCAGCCATTTTCACCAAGAAAATTTAGTCATAATAGTCTAAGTCTCTTACTAAAATACCGGATCATATCTTAATGCGTTTACTCCCAGTGTCATTAAATCATTATTTCCATTTTTAATGTGCAACAAAGGTTCAGAGTGTTTCTGATTTTCCAAGAGGGTTTTGTTCTTTATGGGCTAAATAAAAGCATATTTATGGAATAATGAAACACTAAGCTATGAGCCCTCTCTGACTAGAGATAAAATGTATGTTTATGATTATCACCAGAGAAGAGATTTCAGGAAAGGAGCACCATACTGCAGGCCCCACTCTCTTCTTTTTTTATTGTATCACATCAAGAGTTTTCAATCAATTTACCTTAAATGGAGATTCTTAACCTGGACCCTACAGATGGGCTCCAAAGACACTATTACAAGTTCAGGTCCGTGAGTATAAGTACATGCACACATGCTTATTTATGGAGAGCGGTATTAACGACCATATTTATTATTCAAAAAAAAAAATTAGACCCACTGACCTTTAAGAATTCTGGGCACTATTCATTAAAAAAAAAAAAAAACCTATGCTGATAATAGACTCATTTTTTAACTGTAATTTTTAAAAAACTAAGCCACATTTCTAAGGTACTCAAAGGGAGAGCCAATAATAATATAGATAGGTATTACCAGCAAGATTAAAAAGACGTTATTTAGCATATATTTCTCTCTTCTAATTAAGACATAACACAGCCATACAGCTAAAGCCCGAAACCCACAGCTCTTCCCTTCCTCCCCATTAGTCTCAGAAGCTGGTGAGTAACGTTCCCATAACTTTTATGTTTTCAAAAGGTAAAAATGTGCATGTTCTGACATACCTTCAAGTCCTGGTTTTCCTCCATACTCTGATCCAGACGACTTTGGATTATAATCTAGAATGCAAGATAAAAAAGCCATGATCATGTATCTGTGCTGTGAAATTCAGAGGTTACGCTTCAACAACTATTCCTGGAGCACCTAGTAGACGCCAGCCCTGTCCATGGATACAAAGGCGAATGGGAATGGTGCCTGCGTTCCAGGGGAAGCAATATGGTGGGGGCGGGGGAGATGGCGGATGTCCAAGCACGCTTACAGGGATAATGCTGACAATAAGCACTGCGAGGGAGAAATGACAAGAGAGAAAGTTAGAGAGAAAAACTGGGGTCAAAGTCTAGTGAGGACAGTGGGGAGTGAGTGAAAAGTTTTAGGGAAAGGGATAACAAGATGCCGTGAAGGTAAATTATCCTAGCTGTTTTACAGAAAATGAATTAGAGGACAGGAGAGCAAGGCCAGTTAGAAGGCTGCTAGTTTGCTGATTGAAAATCTGAATTAAGGTAGTGATTGTGCAAAGAAAGAAAACGGATGAAGATGTTTAAAATGTGAACTGATAAAACTTAGTGATTGACTAGATGTAGAGAAAGGCGTCAGAAAGGATTCACGGACAAGATTCAAATTTTGTTTTGGGTATTTGGGTAGATGGAGACCAAGTAATCTTGGTGTGGGGAAGGGAGAGACGGAAGAAAAAAAGCTGTTTAATTTAGGACTCCATGAAATTGAGGTGCTTATAGGACATCTGAGTGGAGACAACCAGCATGTGGTTGCATGTCAGACAGACTATCTGAACTCCACCAAGATTGCTGAGCAAGAAATAAATATTTAAGATGTAACATCTGAGTCAGGTGAGAAGTAAAGCCTTGGGGGCAGATAATATTGTGATGGTGAATAAGACAAAGGAAGCCTAGAGTGGACCCCTGAGGAGCAACAGCTTTTAAGGCATAGGCAGAGTAAGAGGAGCTTCAAAGGGGACCTGTACACAAACTCCCTGAGGACAGGCTCTTTGCAGTTGCTTTGTCATCACCTTATCTCCAGCACAGTCAGCACTCAATAAATATTTGAGGGAGGGAGGGAAAAAGAGAGGGAGGGAGGGAGGGAGGGAGGGAGGGAGGAAGGAAGGAAGGAAGGGAGGGAGGGAGGGAGGGAGGGAGGAAGGAAGGAAGGAAGGAAGGAAGGAAGGAAGGAAGGAAGGAAGGAGGGGAGAAGGAAGGAAGGGAGGAAGGGAGGAAGGGAGGGAGGGAGGAAGGGAGGAAGGGAGGGAGGGAGGGAGGGAAAGGAAGGAGGAAGGAGGGAAGGAAGGAAGAAGGAAGGAAGGGAGAAGGAAGGAAGGAAGGAAGGAAGGAAGGAGGGAGGGAGGAGGAGGGAGGGAGGGAGGGAGGGAGGAGGGAGGAAGGGAGGGAGGAAGGAGGAGGGAGGGAGGAAGGAAGGAAGGAAGGAAGGAAGGAAGGAAGGAAGGAAGGAAGGAAGGAAGGAAGGAAGGAAGAGGAAAGGAAAAAGAAAAAGCAGTAAAAAAATGTATGAAGAAAATCAAGCAAGCTGGAGCCAGGAAAGGCAGCATTCCAAGGTGTGGCCAACAGATGAAATGTGAGAAACAAATCAAAGACACAAGTCAGACTATTTAGTGTCCAGTCACAAAGGCAGGAGCTCACCAACTGTTCCTCGGGCTTGACTCCCGGTTCACAGAGGGCCAGGGGCCTCTCCTGTTCATCTTCCGGTAAGGAGCCATTGAGCAATAAGGCCTGGAAAACCACAAAGGCAGAAAGAAACTTGACTGAGTCCAGAGCAGGGCTTAGTAAACACATTCCAACCTGGAATCACAATCCAGTTTCCTCTAGAAATCATCTTGGTAATTTTCCATCCTTTGGAACCTCCTGTGAACATCCTGTCAAATGTTCTGGGCACCACCCTCCTTGTTCTAGCAGTCAGGAGAGCAAAGTCATGGGCAAACTTGAAGTCTACGAGACAGACATGCAAACAGTTATGCAAACTCTGCTGCCTGTGCATAAAGTCAGTCTTTACAAGCTCCACCAACAACCAAGGAGTCTAATAAAGACAATTTAAATAATGAGTACCCAGATTTTGCAACTTCCCAGGGTATGTTTTAGAAAGGAAAAGATTAAACCCCAGCATTGCCTTTCTCTGTGCACAGAGTATCAACATATCTTTAAGTCAAAACAGCTTAGAACCAGAAAACCCCTATCAAGAAATAATTGACATTTTTAATGTCAATGATTGAACTGTTCCTACCTATATGAACTAAATTCAAAGATGTGGATTGCTAGAACAGTTCTTGCAGTGTAAAGTCTGTTGGACTGCTTCCTGGGTTCCAATCCTCACTTTGATTATCTAATAAACTCCTTGTTGAACTGCCACTGAGACTTTTATTCCAGTTAACTTTTCCCCCAATTGCTCATCTGGAGGGTCTCTCTGGAGTTCCTTTTGCCAGGCCCTGTTTCTGGCCTTTTTCTTCTCTCTGGGTGCACCTGGATCCTTCACTCCAAGGTTTCCTAGCCCCAGAAAACAATCTAAAATAAACTTGTCTTTCAGCAATGACATTTCAAATTGGAGCTGCTCAAACTGAATTTTACCAGCTGGAAAGTGAACTAAAAGCAATGTCGAATTGTCCTGGCCTAGAAAAGTTTATTATAATGAAGTACGTGGAATACATTTTTAGCAATGACTTGGATTTGATTGATATTGTTTGTTCAATAATTCTACATTTGCATTCTCTAAAGCAACCTGAATAGAACAAGTAGGACAACATTTGCAGACAGAAGTCCTCATTCATTTCCACTCCCATTATCATACTTTGTTTTCATTAGAATAAGGAGGTGGGAGGCAGATTCATCCTAAAGCTAAGGAAGCTGAAGTCTCACAGCCTGCTTACTGAACTGCCCCTCTCAAGGTTCTGTAGCTCATATTGTATTTTTAGAATTTTATAATCTTACACTTAAAGAAAGCACCCAAATTGTATACTGAGGATCCCCAAAACTTGGACCTACTGATAGTTATGAGACCCATCAGTTCAGTTAAAATTTTTAAATGTGTCCTCATTTTATTTCATGATTCTGTCTCAGTTCAATCAAAAGAGATTAGAGAAGCTGCATACTGTTTAAATAAAGAGAACACAAATTACATCACAAATGTAAATATATAAAAACATTTCAGAATCCAGCCACTGGATTCTGAAGCACTGAAGCACTATTTAACAATAAAATGTTAGTAAATCAAATGAATTTGCTCATCCCACGGAGTGCAGCAAGAGATATAGACAAGGGTAAGAAGCCACAGGGCTGCAGGGGAGGAAAAGTGGGCAATATGATAAAAATACTGCAAAATGTCCAGTGAGCTCTAATTGCGCCAAACTAGTAAGTCAGAAATCCTGGACATCATCTAGAAGGCAACTTGCTCATCACTGACAGAGTTAAGCCCTGAGGACACTGTGAGCCCCATTGTGTTCTATGGTGGAACTGAATTCTCATTGTGATCATGTGGCTGTGAATTAAAACTCCTGTGTGTAGGGAATATTAGGATGCTGACTTTCTGCCTGACAATCCTCTTCTTTTTCTGTCTAATCGGCCCCTGCCATCAGATTTCTCCTTGACTGAAAAATGCAAACCAACCTGAAAGCCAAGCTGATGTATATCTATGTCCATATAATGCCAAATGTCCTGGGAAAAGCCTGGTTGGGTATAATCCCAGAGTTCCCCATGCACTAATACTTCCTATTAAGGGACAGCACAAAAACAACAACAAAAAACCCCCAAACACTGCATTCATTAAGCCATTCCTTAATGGACTAGCAGAAAAGGGATCTAAAAGGTCTTCAAAGCCAGGCATTTTAAAAATACAGAGCAAATGAGTGTGTATGTGGTAGGGGGAATCAACTACTCTCCTCCGGAATGTTTAGACAGTGAACACTCCTCCAATCCTCCACAGTCCCAGGGCATATATTATGCAAATTGTCTCACCACAGCACCAATCTCCTTTCTTCCTTAGGAACCCTTTGTGTCCCCACCCTGTTGCTGGCAGGCAGGGAGCACACCCTGCCCAGCCTGCCGGCTGCCAGAGCCACTCGCATAATGTGGGCTTTGTTTACGTGTCCATAAATATTTGACAATTCAGAAGCAGTGCAGTTCCCAGCACAAACAGAAAGGAATATCCCTAGGCAATTTCAGGGTCATCAGCACACTATATGGGTTCCCCCAAACAAGGACAGACACACAAAGACAGATGATTGAGGGTCATCTGGGGTAGGATCTAAGTCAAGTGGGTCGGTCAGTCTCGGGGAGAGCTGCAGAGCTGGCGCTGAAGGTATAGGAAAAACTGAAAGGCTTTGTTACTCAAGGAAAACCTTTTCTACCTGACCATAATGGTTTGCAAGTGCATGAGGAGCCAGCTAAATCTCTGAAAGACTCAAATGGAAACCTGCTGCATTACTGGCTCTTACACCCTTCCTGCTAGAGAATTCCTAGGAGAAAATCCCTGACAATTCAGTGTGATTCTTTGGTGAGAGCAACTGAAGGTCTGTAGCTACAAATAGGGCAGAAACCTACCTAGGGAGCAGTAAGCAACAATGAGATTTGGATAGGGGCTGAAAATGGCTCCCTGGCTTGCAGAAATCCTAACAGCTGTCTGATAAACAGGAAAACTTAAGGTCCATTACAGAGTATCACTCACAAGGAATTTTCTGAGTACTATTTCTAGCTAAATTCCCCATTCGACTCTGACCTTTTACAAAACTAAGTTTATTTCAATAGATAAGAATGACTTAGAAATAATACTCAATTGGTATCCCCAGGATCAACTAAAAAGAAAGAGCTACCTGCAATCCTGATATCATTTTCTTGGCTTCCTCCATTTCTCTTTCTAAATGTTCTTGTTGTTCCAACAGCTGTTCTTCCCATGAAGTCTCTAGGTAGGTTCCGGGGCTCCCTGGTCGCCAGTCCCGGGATAATGGAGAGTCTGTCTCCTCTAAAAAATAAAAGGACGGGGGACAGTTCATGTTGAAGAAAAATGAGTGTCCGGCAGAAAGCGTTCCCAGCCCTGTGTGCTTCCAGGTTCAGGTCACCTGCCTCCTGAACCTGTCCTCACGGCACAAACTGTACTCTCCACCAGGTGGGGTTGTGAGACAGAAAGAATTAGCCATTAACTTGGCCTCCAGTTAACTGGGACTCCAGCCACAGGGAAGCACCACTTAAGAGGGTCCGCGACCATCTACCCTCTTTTGGAGGCATTAAGACTCCCTTGCTGGGCCTCCCTGGTGGCGCAGTGGTTGAGCACTGGGTTGCAAAGCTGCCCGCAGCCTCTGCAGCGCCGGTTCGATACCCTGTTGCTCCCCGACCACGGGAGGAGGGTCCCACATGGCGCACAGACCTCGCCTGCTGCCCGCTGCTCCCCTCAGCAGTGTACTTCCGTCCTTCTGCCTGCTCTGCTCCCTGCTCTGGCTCTGGTGAATTCTCTCACCCTCCCATGCTTCTGACTGTACCCAGTGTCTATATAAATAAATAAATAAATCTTTAAAAAAAAAAAAAAAATAGTACTTTAAAAAAAAAAAAAAAAAAAAAAAGACTCCCTTGCTGGGAGTCTTGATAGGGGACCCATCGATTTTACTCTTAATTCTCTAGAACTGGCATCCCTAAAGCTTGATTCTGACAGACACAAAGAGGGGAGCTGTCAAACGCAATCAAGTTTCAGAAGGAAAACTAGATTTAATATTTCTGGGGCCAGTCGGTCCTAACGCAACTAATCTCTCTTACATGTAACACTGTATGAGACACACAGTAAACAAACAAGTAAAAGCACACTGGTCCGAGATGTTTAATCTCTTTCCCAGAAAGATATGACTCCTTTTGAGTATGCTCCTTCATTCATAAGCAGAAATATAGTATGTACAGTCCCTCTGGGTTATTGTGAAGGTTAAACGAGGTAACTTATGTGCAGAGCCCTGTGGTGCCAGGCCCAGGCAGGCACACAGTACACACTCTTCCCTCCCCTCCCCAGAGTCCTGGGAGCTTCGGACTCAATAACAAGACTGCCTCTTTGGTACTAGTGCCAGGGCGAGAGGGCGCATGGAGTAGGGAAAAATTTCATTCCGGTTTTACTTTTGAGGGCTTCGTTTCATCACAACTCTTACAGGTGAATAAAAGTACTTAAAGCACATGCTTTGCTGCTGCAATCCTTCACTCTAGATTTATATAAGAAAAAAGAGAGCAACTGAGAAGGAGAAGTCTAAACAAAGAGGACTCTTTGTGGTCCTTTGTGCAGCCCTCCTACGAAGTCTAACAGTAGAGTAGACCAGCTCTCTACTATATGTTCTCACAGACACTTGGCTCTTGTTAGGTAATCCTGGCCCCAACTGAACTTAGGGAAATATTGAAATTATTTGCATAACACCGAAATAATAAAAACTGTTTACATGAGTAAGGGTTATGACTCTTTCAGAGTCATTTCCTAATTTGTAGGCAGTCAGCTGAGAAACAGTCTGCTTATGCTGCTGGGGGGTTTTTGGCAGCTGAGAGTCAGAAGTGACATTCTGCCAAAGGACCACTACATTAATTGGCTGGGAGGCATCAGCGCCCCCTAGAGCTGACCCTGAATGCAGACTGCGGGAAGGTTAAGGTCAGGGTGCTTATAGGTAAAGAGTGAGTGAGGACCCCCAAACTCTTCAAGCTGAGTACTGTTCCTTGAACGGAGCCAGGCAAGGCTGAGCGATAATACCTGTTCTGTTCTCTATTCCTTCAGCGGGAATAATCACAAAATCTGCCTTCTCTTCCGACTGGGTTATAATGGATTCACTCTTTGCACTGTGAATAGGACTGGGTGAAGCCAGGCTGTGATGGAAGGAAAAGAGAAACAATTATTGTGAACAGTTGTTCAGAAGCCAACTTTCCTAATTTATCCCAGAGGCATGTTCTTAATTCATCTTGCTCCTAGTGCCTTCCACAGTAGCTGGCCCACAGTAATAGAAATATTTGTTGAATGAGTGAGAGGAATACTGAATGAATGAGCCAGTTCTTTATTCGTCTAGGAACTCTTTCCAACCAGGCTGCCTTTAAGGTTAAATCATTAAGAAGAAATTTACCAGAAGGGTGTTAAAGAACCCCATGTTTTGCTTTGTTTGTTATTTCCCATACCATCACCATCTCTGGGCCCAAGTTCAAAGACTGTGTAGGACGTGTCTTAGCAGCTTTGGGAGCAGGAGGGAAATGCATTTCCCATACAGGACCGGTCACAAGCAATACCAGCAGAGTAACATGATAGATCAGCTCTGGGTGGATCACCAAGAGGGGACAGGGTGGGGATGCCTAATCGGGGAGTACTTGTTAGAGTGTGGACAGTGCTAGGTAGAGTAAAGGGTCAGTGATATAGCAACAAAGGTAGATTATGATAAGGAAAAGGGTAACAGTATAAGGAAAAAGGGGAAAGACTTTCTAGGGGGTGGTAAAGGTATACGTGATTTACTCCCATTAGTTATTCTTATCTCTGCCACAGTATTTTCAAACTGTCACCAGAAACCTCCCAATAATTCTTATGATCTGATCTAACTATTAGATTTGGAAGGAACCATTCGGATCTTCAGGGGAGTGTAATTTTAAATCTACAAGGCAAGATGGGAATGTAGGGCTGAGGTTCCCATTGGAGAGGAATGAGGGCTGTGAAGATCCTTTTTCTTTGCGCTGCACCTTGAGAACATCAGCGTTCAGGCAATCTCAGGGGCTGAGGGGTCTTTGGGCCCAGCCCCCTCTCAGGAATTCTTTCCAAATTCATCACCCAGACAACAGTGAAAGTGTCTAGGATTCACTGACCCACTTAATGTGGCCCTGAAGTCTTCCAGGCTAATCCCCACAGCTACGATCAGGAGTTAACATTTTGCCTTCCTAGAAACCAGTAAAAACAGCCAAGCTCGGTGAAGGTCGCCAGAGATTTCAAAACCTCTGAAGCAGATTGAGGATGAGTGTCTCATCCTCACCGTTGTCCAGAGCTTGAGGATTTTGGTGGGGATGAATTCACTCAACTCATTCTCTTTCTTATTAAAACCACAGGAAAAAAAAGTTATCTTTTTTTTTTTTTTTTTTTGCATCTTCAAATTACAATAACAGGAGTAGTGCGGTGTGGTGACATCCATCTGAAGAAGTGTGACCCTATTCCTCTAAATCATAGAGGGTTGTAAACCAATGTTACCTCAATTAAAAAAGAAGTTACTTAAAAATAAGGTAAGTTGTTTAACTATTGCTCTAGATCTACAACCTGAACAGACAGGAGGGGTGGAGAGTGGCAAGAAGTGGTGTTTAGAAAATTGCTTTATAGACTCTCTTATCCATCTTTCACCACTTAGGCAATCTGAATTTCAGGCCATGCATTAGCTGCTGGAGAAGCACTAGTCTAAGGGGATCATATCATTTATAAAGAAGAATAGATTTAAGATTGTTCAGCCCTCAGCATTCATCTTCTTTTTTTTTTAAAGATTTATTTATGATACAAGAACTGGGGTACAGGCCAGAGGCGTGGGGGGTGGGAGAATCCACGAGAGACAGAGCGGGGAACAGAACAGGCAGATCGACTGAAATACACTGCTGAGGGGAGCAGCGGGCGAGATAGGAGAGGTCTGCTGCGCCATGTGGGTTGCTCCCTGGCCAGGGATCGAACTCCTGTTGCAGTGGCAGCGGATAGCTTCATAGGTTGCGTCTTAACCCCTTGCGCCACCAGGGAGGCCCTCAGCGAATGTTTTGAATGTTACTGCAAAACATGGGGATCAGAGAGCAGAAAGAGATCTGCAGCAGCTGCTTCTCTTTGAGACATAACAAAACAGCACTTTCTCGGCTGACAAGGTGCTATGGTTGACATGTTGCCTTGCCTGCATTTGTCTGGTCCACAGTGGGTATGTGTGAGACGAAGGGGGGTCTGGGAGGAATAGTGTGAACCTAGAGTGCTAGAAAACTGCTTTCCCAAGCAGAGAGCATGCTCAGCTCCACCTTCTCCCTCCTAAGCAAGCTGTCTCCCATAAAAGGGCAGAAGGGGGCGGATGTCTACGGATCCAAGCCCACTGGGGGAGTGGCAGAGCGGTCAAAGAAAAACAACATTTCTCTTTCTTGAATTGAGGCTGCAGGCCACAGAGAGGTAGGACCAGGAACTAGATGGCCAAGTGCAGAGAGAAAGGCCCTGAGAAGGTAAAACCCTTATGCACATGTCAGAGCAGGCACCTGCCAGGCTCCCCAGGGAAGGCCCACAAGGATGAGACCATGCATTAAATCCTCTGCCTCAGAGAAAAGTATTTTAATGCTATCAATTTATGCCTTAGGGTCTCTCTGATTAGCTTACAAACCATATTTTATAAACCAGTACATAATCCCCTGCCTGCCATCACAATCTTCTCTTAAGACAGGGAACAAGGGATTGCAAATCAGGTCCCACAGACACATTTTTAAATTCCCTTATGTCGAACATCTCTCCCATCTTAATTTATCCGACAAGCAAAGACACTCCAATGAGAGTCAAATTCGGTTTTCAGAAAAATGGGCAATGAGGGATAAGGGCAAGAGAATCCTGCTCCCTCCTGAAGGGCCCTCCCTCCTTTGAGGGAAGAGGCAGCGGGGTTAAAGGACCCTCCTCCTTCCCCCACGCTGGCTGCAGCTGCCTAACAAACCCACCGTGTTTGACAGCAACAATCCCAGGCGAGCAGCCGGCTCTCCCCACCGCAGCGCCCCCACCCAACCCTCTCTGCTTCGCCCGAGAGCATCCTCAGTCTTGGCCCTGCTCCCCCCACCCCGTGCCCCCCACTTCCCAAGCCAAAGTGGCCTCTGCTCACCATTTGACTTGCGTCCCTCCCATGGTCCCCCTTCTGGCTCCGGCCTCAGCGAGCCTGCTTCCCGGGGCGCAGCGGGGGGCTGAGAGTCACAGTGCGCCCCAATTCGGGCATGTCTCCCCGCGCTGGGGCGCGAAGGACCACTCCGCCGGCAGGTCAAGCCCCGGCGCGGTTGGCCGCGAAGGCGGGAGGGAGAGGCCGGCGGCGAGGCCCCGGGGCCGGGGATGCGCCCGGGTGCGAGGCGCGCCGTCCCGGCCGCTCAGGCGCTGCGGCAGCCCGGCCGGCGCGGGGGCCGCCTCCCCTCGCAGGTGGCCGGGGCCGGGCGGCGGCATCGCGGGCGCGGCGGCCGCGCGGCTCCGGGCGTGCCCCGGGGCGCCGGCATCTCAGCCCATCTCCCCCGGGAGCGACGCTCCCCGCGGCTCCGGCGGCGCGGTCGGGTCCCCGGGGCGAGAATGCGGGCGAGCCCCGCGCCCCGCCCCGCCCGCCTCGCCCGCCCCGCCCGCCCCGCCCGCCTCCCCCCTCCCGGGCTGTCGGCGCGGCCCGGCGGCTCCGGGCTCCGACCCAGGCGAGCGCCCGACCCGCCGACCCCGCTCCGGGCAGCGGCCGAGCGCAGGCCGGGGGCGAGGGCGGGTCCAGCCGGGAGGCCGAGCGCGGGCCGGGGGGCTGCGCAGGGGAGGGGCGCCGCGCGGCGGGAGCCCCGGGGGGCGGGGGAGCCCGGCGTCGCGAAGACCCCAGGACGAAGACGTCGCCTTCTGGACCCTGACCCCTCCCTCGCGGACCCCGGGGTCGGGAGGGGTCTACCCCGCCCCTCGTGGGAAGGGGCGGCGGGCACGGAGGAGATTCGGGGTCTCCCCCTGCTCCCCGCCTCTCTCCTCCCACTTTCCCCTCGGGCGCCCCAGGTTTTCTTTATTCCCCAGCCCTTGGTCCCACAGAGCAACAGGCGGGCCGGGCCGGGCTTCACCGGGGTGTCCCTGAGGAGCTGGAGGAGGGGCTGGGCTCTAGGGGGTTACCTTATCTAGCTTCCGAGACACCCCCAGTCCCGAGTCACAGGCCGGGGTCTCTGGGCCTTCTTGGGACACTAAGCCATTAGGTGGGTTCCCCTCGGGCAAGGGAACGGTGGGGAGGGGTCAGGGTGGGGTCTCCAACTGTGCGGGAGCCTGCTGGGCCCCAGGGAGCGGGCTGAGGGAAGAGCAGGTGAATGAGAGGTAGATTTGTGAGCAAACGACAAAGTCAGGAAGGAGTGAATGCAAATTATTCCCCTGTCCGGCTGCTAGAAACCTCTCACCATCAGCCCACTGCAGCCGGGTTTCCAGGGGTCCCTGGATCGCGGCCTCACAGCCCTGCCTGGGTCTCAGTTCTCCTGCCAGACAGGAAGGAAGCAGGTGCTGCAGGAAGACACCCAGACTCCGTCCTCCTGCCCCCTGACTCTGGCAGGCATTAGCAGGTTCAGAAGAGAAAGACCTGCGCCGTGCAGGAAGCACTAGATCGCACTAGACAATGAAACGTCCTTTGATTCTGTACCAAGGGATGGTCCCAGCAGCAAGCAGGGAAGAAATGGTTTAAATTCTCATAAAAACACACCTTTTGCTTAGTGGGTACAGGGTTTCCTTTTGGGGTGATGAAAGTCTTCCGACAGGAGAGGTACACCACATGAGAGGCACGAACTGCCACTGAACTGAGCACTTTAAAAGAGCTAATTTATGTTATGTGATTTTTGTATAAATAAAAAAGCATTTATTAAGCTTGAAGAGAAAGGAGAAGTTGAACACGGTTACCAGTACACTAAAACGCTGAGAAGAGCTCCATGTGACCTCTGTAGAGGAGGAAATGATCCATCAAACTAACACGGAATTTTATGAGGAAAATCAATAGAAGGAAGAAAACAAAGATACATAAAATCTATATACTACAAGGAACAATTAGGTCTAACTAGAGCAGCCTGAGCTGGGTTTGGGTCCGGTAGGAGAAAAGGTCCGAAGAGCTTAAATATGATTTGGCAATGAAATATAGTTAGTAAATGAGCTAACAAGATCTGGGATGCTTTTAGGAGTCTGGTTTCCATGATCTAGGAAAGTCTGTTTCTGCCACTACACTTGGCATTGATTAGGTTTTATCAGAGCACTGTGTCCCTCTGGGGTCTCTGCACTTGGCTCTCAGGGATACACAAACTACCTCTCAGCTCCAGTCACCAACAACATTAGCCCACTCCAGGGCCTACTAATCCGCCCCAATGCATCCAGTTTTACACACGAAAGCTAGAAACAGTCTTATGCTCTCAGACAACTCTGCTCGATTTTCTCTCTTGCTCTTAGCTTCACTTAGAGTTACACTAGGCACAAAGACAACGCAAGGGAACTGGCTCTCATGAACAGTGGCAGCTGATAATGCAAATGCCACGACCAGCAGGCTGGGACCCACAGATCACAGTCACACCCCCGTGTGGACACAGCCGAGAACTGTCACTGCACAAAGCTTCCATGGGTAGGAAATCCACCAGCACCCCTCCCCCGCCTCTGCCCACAAAACCACCTGGCAGTGCTGAAGCTAGCCCCTGAAATTTTATTAACTTAAACTGAGGGAAAGAGAGAGGGTTTGGGGCCTTACTGCCTATCAGATTGCGACTGACAGCTGAGAATCCACAAGCATTCAGCTTTTGGTCAGGACTGCTGTGGTCAAGAAACTGAGATTACCTGGAGCAGCTGGACTCAGACGGGGACCTCTGCTGCCCTTCGTACTGCTGCACCAGGGCTCGCACACTCCAGTATGGGTTCTCGATCTCCTCATCCGTGCTGCTGTTCCTACAGTCAGGACACCAGCAAAGGAGAGGGGTTAATCCTTCAGTGCAGGTCAATCTGGCAAGCACTGAGGGAAGCCCACCCTGTGAGCGCTAAAGAGAAAAGATGAATAAGGCCAAATCCCTGCCATCCAAACACCTGGAACCTAGTAGGGAAAACAGACAGAAACAAGTAATTGTACCAAGTCTCTAGCACCTCAGGGTCATGCTCTCTCTCAACAGATAACAAGCCCCAGAGTGTTATCTGCTTCCACTCTCCAGGACAGCTGGGCCTTCTAGAGACATTCCAGGGTGAGACACCCCCAGATGAATCAGAAACAGTGTTCCACATATCTCCCAGTGAAAACAGAGTGTGCCTAAGCATGTATTTAAAATCCTGGGCATCGCAACAACAACAAAAAAAACCACACATATGACTCTTTTACTTCCTGCTAACTACAAAACAAACATCTCTTTTTAAAAAGGACTTTTCTTTTTTGGCATGCCCTGGCCAACCTGACCTCCATGCTCTTTTCTGCAGCATGCAAGTGCTTAGGTGATACTCCCATCGACCGCACTGTACCACGGAAGAAATATCAGCGAGCCCGACACATTCTCATTCCCAGGTTTCGATCCTTACCTCTGTCGGAATCGAAAGACATCCCGCCCTGACCGGGACATGTCATGACACACGTCAGCCAGAGCAGCAGCTGCTCCCTGGGCCACGGCCGTGGCGCAGTGTGGCTGGTGACTCTGCAGAAGGGCTCTGGAATCCCGTCCTTGGCTCACCGTCCTGCTAGAGCCAGGCTTGAAATGAGCTGCCAAGGCAAGGACCAGCCTCATGATAGACTTCAGGTTTCCTTCCACAATATCTGAGGGACAGAAGAGACAGGTGCTCAGAGAGGCAAAGAACTGAGGACTCTCATTTTACACGTATTTTCCAGGGATCCAGGTGAGCAAAGCAGGCAATGTCTCTGTCCTCCCAAAGCTATGTTCCATGAGGGAGATAGAAGATTTAAAAGCAATTACAACAAAGTACAATCATGTGTGATGGGTTCTTTGAGAGCTCAGCATCTTGCCTAGTCCAGAGGGCTCAGGGAAGGATCTTGGAGGAAGTGAGTTCTAAACTGAGACTTTATTGCTGACTAGTGGTTCATCGGAGAAGAGAAGGAAAAGCAGAATACCAAGAGGAGAGAACAGCAGAATTAATGGCCTAGAGGTGAGAGAGAGTGATAATAGAGCCAACAAGGGAGCTTACTGTGTGGCTACTGGGCACCCTTAAGACAGAGTCTGAATTGAATGTGCTGGAAGTAAAGTACACAGTACACACAAAGAATACAAAATATCTCATAGACCTACTACAAAAAATAGAATGCAAAATGCCTCATTAATAGCTTTTAGATTGATTACATGTTGAAATGGTAATTTTTTATTAGGTTAAATAAAATACGTGACTAAAATTAATTTCACCCATTTCTTTCTTTTTTTAATGTGGCTATTAGAAATTTTTGAGTTCCAAGCAATGAGTCTCATTATATTCTTGTGACACGGCCCTCTGGTAGGGGAACAGAAGACATTCAGCATCAGAGGAGCACCAAGATCAGGGGCAGAGGGTGAAAAATGAGGCCACAGGGGAAGAACCAGAGGTGGGGTCGGTAAGGCACAGTAAGGTGTAGCAAAGATGGGATTGTTTCCTAAGTGCCCTCAGATGCAGAGAATTGGTCAGAGTGGATGTACTCTTCCAAAGATCATTCTGGCTACTGAGTGGAGAGCAGGCAGTGGGGGGACCAAAACCGATGCAGTGGGACTAATTAGGAAGCTGGTGCACTGCTGGCAATAGAAGACAATGATGTCCTGGATGGCAGAGCTCACTCAAAATAGTTTAATGGGCTGGTCCCCCAGCTCCCTCCACCAGGGGCACCAGATCAGAGATTATAGCATTCTTAATTTTGCTTGAGAAAAAAAGAGGAATGCAGGCAGAAAATTAGTGATATATCTAGAGAAAGCGAAGGTAAGGAAAGGGGTAAACTTCTACTGTTCTAGTTTCACGGCCTTTTAAATATGCAAGGCTGGGCCTCCCCGGTGGCGCAGCGGTTGAGCGCTGGGTTGCGAAGCTGCCCGCGGCCCCTGCAGTGCTGGTTCGATCTCCGGATCCCCCGCTGCTCCCCGCATGGCGCGCAGACCTCTCCTGCAGCAGTGTGCTTTGGGCCTTCTGCCTGTTCTGCTCCCTGCTCTGACTCTGGTGAATTCTCTCGCCCTCCCACGCTTCTGACTGTACCCAGTGCAGACCTTCCATAGGCATTCTGGCTGTACCTGCCCCACCTGAGTGACTCCACGCAGAGAACACCAAGAATTCAACACGAAAGGAGGGTTCCTTCCTGCCCCCACTGTCATCAGAGCCACGGGCAGTGAGACCCAGAAACTGAGGCTGAAACAGAATCCGATCTACAAGCAGCTCTAGAGAAACAGCAGGAGGACCAGGGAGCCTGCCCTCCGAGGACATCTACACAATTTCTTCCTCGCAGCTGGGGCTCAGAGTTGATGAGAAGTGTCCTTTTCTGCTCTGTGGTTACTGCCGAGAGCCTGTGCAGAGGCCACAGGGCTCCTTTCATCCTGCCTGGAATGTTTTGTGATGTCTAAAACAAAGGTGCTCTAAAATGTTTTCCTTCTGGGAAAAAAATCTATTATGATTTGAAATAACTCATGGTCATGAAACCCAAGAACTTGAATAACATGCTCTATGGCCAATTTTGATAACTGAAAGGAGACATTTTGAAGTTTATATCCCAATTTTGTCATTTCTACTCAACTATTAATTTTCTTACACACACTCATACAAACCTATATTCAATTAAAATGAATAGAGAACATCTGTCTTCATGCAGGTCCCCAAACTTACTCAATCCAATTTTGATAATCACTCTACCCCAAGAGGATAACTTTCTTTATTTTTTTTAAAGATTTATTTATTTATGCACACAAGAGCTGGGGTACAGGCCAGAGATGCATGGGGTGAAAGGATTCACCAGAGTGGGGAACAGAACAGGCACACTCAGTGAAATACACTGCTGAGGGGAGCAGCGGGAGAGACAGGAGAGGTCTGCTGCGCCATGTAGGTTGCTCCCTGGCTGGCTGGGGATCGAACTCGTGCTGCAGAGGCTTTTTTTTTTTTATTTATACAAGCACTGGGTACAGTCAGAAGCGCGGGAGGGTAAGAGAGTTCACCAGAGCCAGAGCGGGGAGCAGAGCAGGCAGAAGGACCGAAGTACACTGCTGAGGGGAGCAGTGGGCGGCAGGAGAGGTCTGCGCGCCATGCGGGACCCTCCTCCAGTGGCCGGGGAGCAGCCAGGGATCGAACCGGCGCTGCAAGGCTGCGGGCAGCTTCGCAACCCCGCGCTCAACCGCTGCGCCACCAGGGAGGCCCTGCAGAGGCTTTTGATTGCTTCATAGTGCGGTGCTTAACGCCTTGAGCCACCAGGGAAGCCCGAGGATCGCTTTTTACAGAAAAATGATATGAAGTCAAGGAACTAATCCTACTCCAGTTTCTACTCAGGACCTCGGGCTACATAACCTGGGCTTCTTCTGACACTGGCAATCACCAGTTAAAAGCTGAAAGCACTCATCTGCCAGGGGTGTGTTGAGACACTGACCTTTAGCTGAAGTCTGGTGCATACGAATCTTTTTGGAGGCCACGAACTGCAGGACTTGTTCCACATTATTCTTCATCTCCTGTTGGTTACTAGGACTGAGCTGAACCCCACTCAGCTTTTCTCCTGCTGTTAGAAGAGAAAAAAATGCATGAAGTTATAGGGTGGATTAGTATCAAAGTTTCATAAGAAGGAAATACTTGATGGGAACAGCAAAATTATGTGTCAATAGGCAAGTGAGTTATGTTTTACTGTTTGTAATTTGGAAGGGAAAAGGAAAACCAAAGGCCCTTTTGGAGGGCTTTCAAATTTTCAAGTCTATATTTAGTAGCCTGTGAAGTTACTAAGTGTACATTACTCATTCAGCAAATATTCATTCAACAAATATTCATTGAACACACACTGTGCACCAGGCAGTACTCTGGGCACCAGAGAAAGAGCAATGAACAAGACAGAGTCACTTTCATCATGGAGTTTCTATCTGGAGGGATGACAGATGACCAAGTTAGCAAGTCAGTGTTTCATGTAACTTCAGGCAGTGATAAGTTTTTTGTTTTTTTTTAAAGATTTATTTATTTATTTATACAACCACTGGGTACAGTCAGAAGCGCAGGAGGGTGAGAGAATTCACCAGAGCCAGAGCGGGGAGCAGAACAGGCAGACTGACGAAATACACTGCTGAGGGGAGCAGCGGGCGGCAGGAGAGGTCTGCGCGCCATGTGGGACCCTCGCCCAGTGGCCGGGGATCGAACCAGGGTTGCAGAGGCTGCGGGCAGCTTTGCAACCCAGCGCTCAACCGCTGCACCACTGGCGAGGCCCAGTGATAAGTGTTTTTGAAGAAAAACAGAAGAGTGATTGTGGTCTCTCTGATAATACATTTGGGCAGAAACTGGAATAAAATTAAGGATGTTCAGACTTGAGGGGGAAGCAATCCAGATGAGAAGCCCCAGGTACAAACCCAAGGTGGGAATGAGCTCAGCTTATGTCAGGAACAGTGGCTCTAACATGCATAGAGCGAGTTGAGTCCCAGGAGAAGGGAGAGAGGTGGGCAAGGCCAGGTCATATGGGGCTTTGTGGGTCAGACTAAAGAACTTGAATTTTCTGCTTAATACAAGGGGCAATCAATGGGAGTATGTGATGCAAGGGACTTACATGATTTGATTTAGGTTTTTAAAAGTTGATTCTGTGTGGACAATTATGGGGAAAGGAAAGAGGGACATTAATTAGAAAGACAATGAAAATAGTCAAGGCAAGAGATAATGATGGTTTGGGCGAGAGTGGAAAAGATAGTGAGAAGACGGATGTCTAGTAGAGTTTGAATGCAAAGCTCACAGCACATGTGAAAGACTGGAGATGATACATGAGGAGGGAGAGTAATTAAAGAGGACTTGTCAGTGCTCTGCCTTAACAGCCGGGTAAATGGTGCTGTGATGCGTTACTCAGTAGAAACCTCGAAGACAAAGGGATCAGCGGGGGTAAGGAAACCAAAAGTTCTGATTAGGACATCTGAGATTAGAGATGCATTCTAGACACCCAGGTAGTGGTGCTGAACAGGAAGCTGGATACTTACATCTAGAATTTACAGCATAGTTGAGGACTGATGATATGAATTTGAGAAGAGCTCACTTAGGGATAGAGACCATGGGAGGGTAAGAAATGACCTGAAGAATGTCAACATTTTGAGTCAGGGAAGAGAAAACTCAGCAGAGCAAACAGCAAGAGCCAGTGAGGAAGGAGGGAAACAAGCTGCCCTGGGGATCCTGGAAGCCAAGTAAAGAAAGTGTTGAAGGAGGAGGGAGTGATCAACTGTGCCAAGTTCTGCTAAATCAAATAAAATGAGGCCCAGGGACTGGCTGCTGGATTTGACAAGGCTCAAGCTGCGACAGCGAGGAGGGCGGAAGTTTGGAGATAGTAGGTTCAAGAAAGAAAGCAAACCAAGATGGAGAATTCAGTGCATTTTTCTTTCTATGTAGCAAGTCTCAATAAAACACAGCATTAAAGAATTTGAGTTTGGGGGAAAATAAAAACAGGTCATCATAGAATTGGAAAGAAAGCAGAAAACTGCCAAACTGGTAGTTGGTGGGGATGGGGTTGAGGGTGGTCAGAACACAGTTAGAAAAAGGCTTTTGACTTTATATCCTTTTGAACCTTATGGATTTTTCCACCAGATGTTAGTTTCCAGGACATTCTATTTGAATAACTGAAAAATTAAATGCTTAAAATGAGCTTTGGAATAAAAGCCAATCTAGATTTGGACCTCTGCTTTGTCTCTGATATCTATATGACACTGTAAAGCTGCTTAGCCTTTGTAAACCTCATGAGTAAAATAGTAGCATTCACATATACCATATCATAAATCAATTAATCAAAGTGGCAAGCTTAGCCCAATGCCTGATAGATACTATTTTTATCAATAAATATAATAAGATATTATACATTGTATGTATAATAAGCACAGATTTATTTTATAAGTCCCCTTTTTTAGGCTGGTTTTAGTGGGGGTAATATTGCATCCCCCAAACACAGATGATAGGGTGAAATGAACAGAGCTGCTATTAACTATTTCCATTGTTCTTATCAGTGAATGAACGTGCTGATGAATCCATGAGCTCTCTCAATGAGGTATTATTCATGCATAGGCTACATGTAGTGGACCCCACTCCTTCCATACCACGAAGAGCCCCACATCCTTCAAGGACTCTAAGCAAAATCATAACAACAAATGTTTGAGTATCTATTATGTATCAGGCTAGAGGTTGCAGGAACAGGAGAAAAAAATCACACTGTGCTTGCTCTTTAAGAGCTCAATCTCTACAGGAGAGATAGGTGAACAGCCGCCATTTGGTAAGAAAAGAAAGCTGAGGTTCTGTGCTGAGGATAAGTTACAATTTAAAAAGAATGACCCGCAGCTTCTCCAGGGCTTTGAGAGGAAATGCCCTTTCATGAAACATCATGGTAGTGTGTACAGAGGTCCTTCTCTTCTGGGGACACACTCTATTTTTGCCTGGCTCCTACTTCCCTTTCTGGGTTTACTTTTTTTTTCTCCTTGCCAATACTTCTGGCAAGGCACCCCCAACTCCCAAGATGGGGCTGGGTGTCCCCACAAGTGCTCCCATCTGTACTCACCCTGTCAGAGTACTAAGCACATAAATGAAAGCGACTTCACTTTGCAGCCTTCCCACCTTGGAAGACTCTTTTGAGAGCAGAGACTGTGCTCATCATCATATTCCCGAAGAATAATCTAGTGCCTGGCACATCGTGTTTATTGGCTAGTGAACAAATGAATTTGCCTTAGCGAGTATTTTGAGTCTTCTACTTCCTTTTCCATCTATTTTAAAGAAGAAACTATCTGCTCTGCTTTCAGAGCATGTGGGGGACAAACATGGTTACAATCTGATTAAAGCTAGCCTCAAAGTCCAGGACTCACTGACCCACAATCTCGATGAGATAGGCCAGGATCACCCCATCCCGAAGATCCTGTCTCAGGTCCTGCACGGGCTTCACCGCTGGCCTCTTCTTCAGCTGGGCATTCACCCAGGCCACGTATGCTTGCAGCTGTTGCTGAAAAAGGAAAAGTGGAAATAAGGGGAAAATTTTCTATTATTTCTATCCTCTATCCTGCACTCTCTAGCGCGCACTTGACTTTGGGCTATGGTCGGAGATTTATAACCAGAGGAGCAGCGTGACATTTTAAGGAAAGAAAGAAGAATTATGGTCAACAGAGCTTATCTAAAATTCCTTAGTTTTATGCTTGTCTTCGGGGATGAGGTAACTTCTGACTTGGGCAAAACAAACTCAGATTAGCAGAAGAGTATTTAAATGATTAAGATTCCTGCTTTCTTGAGATGTACTCTGCTGAACAAAGATGAGGGCTGGGCTCAGAATCACAGCCAGTTTTCGGGTTTAAGCACTGCTCCCTGACACTACCCCCGGCCTTGTCTCCCTGTTTCTTTGACACATGCACTCACGTCCCATATGCACAAGGGACAGTGATACTCCTAAGAACTATCTCACACAGGCAGTTGAGTGCAGTGCTGTGAAGCTGTCCGCAGCCTCTGCAATGCGGGTTCAATCCCAGCCAGCCTGGTAGATACCCACATGGCGCGGCAGACCTCTCCTGTCTCGCCCGCTGCTCCCCTCAGCAGTGTATTTCAGTCAGTCTGCCTGTTCTGCTCCCCGCTCTGTCTCTGCCCTCCCACACATCTGGCCTGTACCCCATTCTTGTATAAATAAATAAATAAATCTTTAAAAAAAAAAAAAAAAAAGAACTATCTCGGGAGAGCAGAAGTAAATAGTCAGCAGCTCAGTACTGCCTCTCCAGTAGCTGCTTTCTTCAAAATGAGACGCAAGTGAAACTATTTCACAGTCAACTCAAGATTTATTCTCCTAAATAAATCCCATAATCCTGGGATTGCTACAGAGTTAGTTTTAATGTGTGCTTTATATTGTCAAAGAGGATCTAGTTACTTGAAATCTGCACAAAGAATGAAAAAGAAAGGCCATTGTGAGCAGTGTTTCTAAAGAGGGAGTAGGGGTGGGGAGTGGTCGGCGGGGTAGTTTTCATTTATTTTCAGACAGAGCTAGGGCCCAGATCATCAGAAGCCTGTCAGGCCCTGAGAGGGATAGAGAGTTCACCCAACTCATCATCCCATTCCACAGGAGAGCTTACATATTCCATCTGGTCTCAGAGAGGGCTCTAAATATCCAAATAGTGCATGAACAATGCCAGAGTATAGGCAGCAGCTCTATCTGGTTTCTGTAGAAGCTCAAGATCCTGAACCTACAAATTAAGTTCAGGGGCTAATGGCATTAAATTATAATTTGGTTTAGTAGGGAAGTAGGGCTGATTTCTAAGCCCCAACTACTTCCTTAATGAAATGGTGTTGGAAATTACTCACTAGCTGCTTCCTGAACTTAAATTAAATCTTCATTATTCTCTCTCTCTCAATGTTGATTTGTGGGATTAAGTCAAATCTTTGGAAGACAGTCCTAAAGCAATAAACATCAGCTACTGACAAAGTGTAGGAAGCACAGAAGGGAGTGAGCGGGGCAGAAGCTAATATTTATACTATTTATTGAGTACCTATCATGAACTAAATACTTCTTTTGGTGTTTCAGCTATGTTTCAATGACTTAATGAATGTAACTGGAAGAGGGCCTGTCACAAAATGGATGTTTATAAATGGTCATTATTCATTTCATCATTATCTTCCTCTAATTTGATTGTCACAAAAGCACTGAAGGGTCACTATCATCTCCATTCCATGGTTAAGGTTATGTAACTTCTCCAACATCCCCTTAGCTAGTACAGAGCAGAATTGGCATTAAAACCTGGTAAATGTGCCAGCATTGACCTATTACTCTCTAACTCGCTCTACAGAACAAAGGTGGCTGCACCTTATAGCCAACAAGGGCCTGACTCCCCAGGGAAGGCTGAGATATGTAATGCTCCAAAGTTTGCTCCCACTGCTCAGTGAGTGTTTGCATCAAAGTCTGCTCCCAAAGCACTGAGGCAGACCAGGCAAAGGACTCCTTTGTAGTGAACCATTCTGATCTGGGGAAAATGAGTTTAGACCAGAAAAGGCAGTAAGGGTTGCAGCTGGGGTCTGACTACTTAGTTTATGTGTAAAACTCCTAACCCATCTCCCTGTACCTAATATCACCTTCAACTTGCCCACCATACATTCCTGCTAATATCTTCCACTGGTCTCATACTGTTCTCAAGGTAAAATCCAGGGACCTTAGTTGTCATTCAAGTCGGCCATGTGCTGCCCCTTCTTCAGCGTCACTCATTTCTTATCCATCTGCCCTCCAGGGTTCAGGACATCCAAGCCAGGAGCAGTGCCCCCAGTGCACCAGGCTCTCCAGCCTCTCCATCTTCCCCTGCTTATCAACCCTTAGGTCTCAAGGCTTTCCAGAGAGTCTTCCCTGGCCCTCCCACACATCTCACATGCTGCCATCCTTCAGGCATGATGTCAGATAGTCTGTTCAACAATAACTTGGGAGCAGACACTATGCTAAATTAGGGGGCTACAATGAGCTTCATGTTTTCAAGAAGCATGCAGGAAAAAAAAAAAAAGCAAAGAACAAAGCTTGAGGTTGGCAGAGCCAAAATTCAGACAGGGCTGCACAAGGCGCTAAGAGAGAATTAGCCCAACCTGAAGCCCAAGCTTCAGGGGGTTCCTGAAGGAGGAATGGGGGCAAAGAGAACAGTGAACTCAAAGGAGGGGTTAAGGGCTGAACTCTGCTCTCGGAAGAGAGCATTGATGATTCAGAATGATTGGACTCAGGGTAACAGGTGCTCAACAAATATTTGTTTGAATCAGTGAATCATCTGTCACACTTCATCAGACCAAGACTTGAGGTGATTGCAAAAGTTAATTATGCAGAAACAGACGAGAGCAAGTATTTTTCATTAGGCCAAGATCGTTTCAACTTAATAGCCTTCTCTTGACTGTTGAATAGAAGTCGTCTCTGATGCTAAACTGATTAGAGGTTTCTAACAGGAATTTTCATGCACATTAATCACAGCTGTGGTTCCCAACAAAAGAGGATGCTACAACATAAATGATCATAATAGTTAGCACTTTTCTAAACATCTACTCCATATCAAGAGTTATGCTGGGTCCTCACCAAAACTCTCATGATGGAAGGCTTAGGAGTCTAAACCACTTCCTCCCCAACAGCCAACATTTATGTCTCATATATAAGGATCTACACTAAGTGACTGTCTACTGCTCAAAGTGGGTCCCTGGATCAGCTGCACCAGCATCACTTGGGAACCTGTTAGAAATGCTTGCTCTAGGGCCTCCCCTGGTGGCGCAGTGGTTGAGCGCTGGGCTGCGAAGCTGCCCACAGCCTCTGCAGTGCTGGTTCGATCCCCGGCCACCAGCGAGGGTCCCACATGGCACGCAGACCTCTCCTGTCTCGCCCACTGCTCCCCCTCAGCAGTGTATTTCGTCATTCTGCTTGTTCTGCTCTCCGCTCTGGCTCTGGTGAATTCTCTCACCCTTCCACACTTCTGACTGTACCCAGTGCTTGTGTAAATAAAGAAATAAATCTTAAAAAAAAAAGAAAGAAAGAAAGAAAAGCTTGCTCTAAGGCTCCACCCCAGCCCCACCAAATCAAAATCTGTATTTTAACAAGATGCGCTGGGGATTCACATGCACATCAAAGTAAGAAGCACTGACCTGTCCCACCGGTCCCGTACCTGGTTGCACATCAAGACCATAAGGGAAGTTTTTCAAAAACAGATGGGCAAACCTTACCCCAAGTCCACCAATTCACTCTACAGGAGAAAACCTAGAAAGCTTTATTTTCCGAAGCTCTCTTATATGATTCTTGTAGAGCTGACTTGAGTCATTTCTTAGCTGAACACTCCAGATGCCTTAACCAAGGGGTTATAATCCTGACTACTTATCAGAATCACCCAAGATTTAAAAAGATATTGTTTGAGCCCACCCCAGTCAGAATTTCTTACAAGTGAGGCCCAGATCTATCAATATTCCTTAAGTGTTCCAGGTATTCAGTTAACCATTCCTCACATAAATGGTTCTGCATATTATTGATCTTCCCATCCAAATCTCTCTGAATACAGGACACCTCAAGCCTAACACAATACTTCGGGTGTAAAGGACTCATTCAGGGATTTCCTTTTTTTCCTTCCTTCCTTCCTTCCTCGGCCACCAGAACACACTGATGACTCATACTAGATGTTATTCAGAACCCCTAAGTATTACTTATTATTTTATTAGTTTTTCCTTTTGAAATAATTTCAGACCCAATGCAGCAAAAAAGGTACAAAAAATTTCCTGACCTCATAATCCAGTTTCTCCAAATGTTTGTCTTATATAACCATGACATAATGACCAAAACAGGGGATTAACTTTGAAATTGTGAAATTAATACTAATAAACTATGAAATTGTGAACTACTCTACATAGCTTGTTCAAATTTTACCACTTATTCAAATTATCCCACAAACATAATTTTTTCTGACCAGGATCCAACCCAACCTCTCATCCTGCATTTAGATGTAGTGTCTCTTTTGTCTCCTCCAACCTGGGGCAGTTGTTAAATCTGTCTTTTGTGATCTTGACAATTTTGAAGCATATGAGCCTATTAGTCATTTTTCAGAGCTCCATAGTACTCCAACAAATGGATATATCTTTGTTCATTTAACCATCCTCCTATATATGAGCATTTAGGTTTCTCCCACTACTTTACAATTGAAAGAAATGCTGCAATGAGTAATCTCACATATGTGTGTTTTCACGTTGCCGAAAGTCTGTCTTCAGGGTAGATTCCAGGAAGTGGGATTATTGGGTCAAAAAGCAAGTACAAGAAGGGCCTCCCTCGTGGCACAGGGGTTAAAAACACAGCACTATTAAGCTATTACCAGACACTGCAGCAGAGTTTGATCCCCGGCCAGGCAGCTAACCCACATGTTGCAGCAGACCTCTCCTGTCTTGCCTGCTGCTCCCCTCAGCAGCGTATTTCAGTAGATCTGCCTATTCAGCTCCCCACTTTATCTCTGGAGAATCCTCTCATCTCCCCCACAC